AAGGGGGGTTTTCGCATGTCACGCCGTATGTCAGAAACTATTTATGCTTATTGCATAAAAATTCACACACAAGACGACGGGCGTATCATGCGCTCATGGCGCAGCTGTTTATTCAAGAATACGGTTGTCAAGCCGGTAATTATTTAGGTAATAAATAAAATGAGTGCATAGATCCATATGATAGTGATAGAAAACATTTAGATAGAGGCAATCAACCTCCCTAGCTTAGTGTCAAAGAATACAAAATAGTGGTAACAAAACATATCAAAAACTTTCTGTGCAAGTTGGAGTTGTATTTAATGCGAAAGCGAATGACCACACTTCAAATCTTGGTGACACATTATATATAATGAAACTACCGCAAGCGACTGCATGATTACCGGTTTTTACTTGCTCAAGCAACGTGACGAATATCACATATGGAGCAAGAACTGCTTGCCCTTCCAGAGCACTTATGTTCAACCTCGTTTTTTTTGTTTGCAGTTTTTTTTTTCAAGATGAAACATGTGATATTACATTATACAGTATTAGACACAAATTATAAAAATCAAATAACACTTGTAAGTTATAAGGATCTAAGAAAATATATTACAACTGATTTTGGTTAATTAAATGCTGCTTCTAACAATCGCCACTTCTGCGCATGCTCTATTCTAACTTTCTGTGCAGGGGTATTTTTCTATACTTATCCAATATCTTAAATATTCTATCCAAGTTCTATCAAGCGAAACAACTTCAACAGCATGCATATGGCAACCGGATCATATACCTATAGTCAGTTTGAAATACGATCTTACTATGATTTTTCAAGTTTTATGGGATTTAATCTGGATTGAACAATAGGAATCATTTTGCCCACCAAAGGTTGATGATTCTTTAACCGAAAATGTACTAAGCACGAATTTGTTGATCAATTAACCAAGAAAATATTTTCATGAACCTCTCTGGAACACATGAACACCTTACTGTTACCAAATACTTATGATAATTGAGAACATGACCTAAGATAAGATAAGATAAGAAAAATTTATTTTGAATCGGCACAAGTTAAAATACAAACACAAGCTCTAAGGACCTCTTGACCGAATATAAAAACATATACATAACATAAAAACAGTCTAATCAAACATATAAAACAACCTGTTATACAGAGTTGAACCTTACATACATAGCATGCAATTAAAAATTTAGCAACAAATTTAGAATGAAGTAAAACATTTTTTACCTACATTAAAGTTTAAAATTTAGATTAAAAATATGGTAACTATTTAAATAAACAGATTACTTTTAAAATTCAAATAAATAAAAAGTTTAGAACTATAGTACATGCTTTGAGATCTAGAAATTTCAAAGAACAGAATATTTTCAACATGAATTGATTATCCAATTTCTGGGAATATGTGTCAGAAATTAAAATTTAAATATATAAAAATTCGTGAAGAAATACATCAATACTAGTCCAAAGCAACAAAAAGCAACATAAATAATAAACAGCTCAAGAGTTATCTGCAGGCAGAACAGCGACATTCCAAACCGTTCCAGGACTGAACAAGACTGGCTTTTAAAATGTGAAAAACTATTTTCAGTCCTGAAATGGTTTGGAAGGCCGTTCCATAAAGTTGCGGCAGCAAATTTTAAAGATTGTTTTACCGTAACGGGTTGACTTTACCTGTGGAACATCCAACAATACTTAGATTTTTTTGACACTCACCAAATTTTGTAAGCACACAGGAGCTATATTGTTTATAATCTTGAAAGTTTCTAGCGCCATTGTTCTTATCCGTCTGATCTGGAAGGAGGGCTTCTTAGCTTTAAGTAAGAGGTCCTCGTAGGAGCTGTTAAAATCCTCGTATACAAAACGGAGTGCTCTTTCCTGCATCTTTTCTAGTTTTTGGAATTTTTCTCAGTACAAAAATGCCATGCCAAAGGGCAAAAATTAAAACTACTAAGAATAAAAGTATGAAAAATAGTAAGTTTACTAAGATTATCCAAAACTGAGCCCAAACGTTTTAAAACATTTAGTTGCTGTGAGGCCCTCCTACAGATTGAGCTGATATGAACATCAAAATTTAACTGATAGTCAATTTCAATGCCTAATATTTTTACTGTTTTTTTACATGTAAGGTTCGAATTTTGAATATGTATAGATGGTCTTTTTGCCAACAGCCAAAACTTGAAAGTTGTCGGGATTTGCTTGCATTTTATTCACCCGGAACCATTCAATAAGTATTTTTGACTCAGATTCCAAAGTTGAAATTAATAAATCAAAATCTGGAGTACATAAAGACAAAGTATTGTCATCTGCATAGTTATATAATCTACCGTTTTTAACAAAAGGAAAAATATAATTTATAAATACGTTAAACAACAAGGGCCTTAGTATAGAACCCTGTGGTACGCCTTTATGGATGTCAGCCAAACTACTCAGAACATTGTTGACTTTTATTTGTTGTTTACGATTAGATAAATAGGACTTTAACAGAGCAACTGGTTGGGGGGGGGGGGATACACCATATGCTGATAATTTATCTAGCAAGATATTGTGAGGCAGTTAGTCAAAAGCCTTAGAAAGATCCCTCTGCAATATGTACTGGTTTTTATCAAGAGCTTCACGCCAATCTCCTAACACTCTGAGAAGTGTGGTCTGACATCCATGTCCACGTCTAAATGCACACAAAAAAGGATTAAATATTTTATCAAAGTAGTCAGTTAGTTGAATTTCATATATTTTTTCAAAGATTTTAGAAAATATATGTAAGACACTAACTGGTCTATAGTTTGTTTTTAATAATTGGTCTCTCTTTTTATGAAGGGGGGTCACTTGGGCTTCTTTAAGCTTATCAGAGAAACAGTTTTTTTTCAATTGACAAATTTACAAGAGTTGTCAGCTGTGGTGCAATTTAAGATTTACAATTTTTACTATTTTTGCTGGAATACCATCAGCTCCTGTAGCCTTCTTGATGTTTATTTTATTCAAGATTCTATTGACATTTTCGTTAGATACTTTCTTAAACTCAAAATCAGAAACATGCTTTCTGTTACTCAAAATTTCTTTTATACTTGGATGATTTGAGGGGTCGTATACCACATCTGCTCCAATTTTGTCTGCTACTGTGGAGAAAAAATTATTAAAAACATTTGAAACTTCATTTGGACTATTTACAATTTTGTCATTTTCACACAATAAGATTTTTTGTTCTCCACAGTTCCCCTTTTTTGAGAAAAATGGTTTGACTGTTTTCCAAAACTTGCATGATTTTGACCCATCTGAGCAACGTTCTAAAAAGTTTATTTTTATCGATTTTTTCTTTATCTTAGTTACCAAATTTCTTTGTTTTCTAAATTTCTCCCAATTTTTGCCACTCCGGTTTTTAGTATATTGTGAATAAAGCATTTGTTTTCGATATATGGCCACTCTCAGTTCTTCATTCATACATGGAAGTGTTTTTTTTTTCTTTGACATCTAGATTTTACAGGTACATTTTTATTTAATATATTTTTGAAATCTTTTTCATAATCATCATATATACTATTTAGATCTTTCTTTTCCTGATTACGAAAACACAACAGAAACAACACTTAATAATCATTTTATACACCAACTGACCTAACCATGAAAATTTAATATTGAACAATTATCCATGAAAATGAGGACGTACATATTCAGCGAGAAAATATTCATAATGAATACAATATAAAGTAGGTTCTACCAAATCCCTCCACAGAGACCATTTCGAACAGGACTGTCATTTGAACATGCATGACAGGTACTGTTAAATAGGGACGAAGAAAGCGAGATGAGGTGCAGTGTACGTGAACGCAACGGCAAAAAAATGACAACAAGACATCTAGAGCATGAAGGCAACATAGTCTTCACAAATAGACAGATGCCAAACTCAGTATCGTTCTGAGTCTACAAAGTTGTGAATAAATTAAACAGAAACGATCAAAGGTCTGCAATCAACATCCTATTACGCAGAGCCGGCTTAAGAATTGACATACGACAACTACTGGCGAGGTTCCTGACTTCACACAGGCACATGAATATGTGATGGGACTAGATTAGTTTTTGTTTGGATCTTAATTCATACCCCCTTTTAATCTCGATCAAAAAACTAACAAAACGCACTTAAATGAACATGCAGTAAAAACCAGTATTATTGTATTATTGTATTGTATATTGTATTGTTACTAGTATATTGTACTAGTATTGTATATTGTATTGTATATTGTATATTGTATTGTATATTGTATTGTATATTGTATTGTATATTGTATTGTATATTGTATTGTATATTGTATTGTATATTGTATTGTATATTGTATTGTATTGTATAGTACAAGAATAGCACTTAATTAACTCTAAAGATAACGATATAAAATATAACTAAGGGGTAGACATTCCGACTTCCAAAATGCCGCTTGCGAACAGTTTAATGAAATGTTGTAAGGGTTCTTTAACGTATAGAAATCGTGGCGCATTTCCTAGTCAGTCGAGAGACACCGAGGCTAGACGGTTCCAATTCATATCGAATGTGAATGCTAATTTATACATCTTGATCAGTCCATGGAAGTATTATATTATATAATACTTCCATGATCAGTCAAACTGGCGCCTTCTCGTCACTAGTTTACTGCCGGACTGGAAAAGTCCGGGTGGTCATAATTCATTGTGTGCACCCAATATGAAATCTGTATTTTTACATAGAAAGTTATATCTAATTGTTCATGACGTGCGATTGGTTAAGAATACTCTTATTCTGTATGTTTACTATTAACTTAGTTAAGTGTTCGCAAGTAGTTGACAGAGTATAGATTACAATCAATTATATTAGCTAGATTTTTTTGTAAGAAAAGTACAGTTTATCGTTGAATTTGAATCAAATAAATTCTCTCGATGTTCAATCACCATCAAATAAAAAAAAAAACAATTGCACATGACCACGTGACATTTTCTACCGTTATTTAGCAGTTAATAAAATTAACAAAAAGAATTTAAACTTGATTTCATGCAGTACACTCTTGAATAAGAGTCAGTGATTCGTTTAAACAAAGGAAACAAAAATCAAATGATTTTTGTTTTCACATACACATTCAAGTCACGACAACACTGGATAATCTAAGGTAAAATATTGCTATTTTATACAAAAATTAAATTCTCCAAATGGTTAAACTTTCGTTAAAATAGATATACAGATGTAGTGTTAATCAAATCAGTTGCAACGTATGTCAAAGAAGAGTAAAAGAGTAGTTTTTTATACAAAACTTCGGTCGTCAGGCACTAAAATAAATATTGCCAGTCCTAGTTCCCGTCTGATGTTAACAGGCATTGCATTTTAACTTTTGTTGTGATTCGCGATACCATCAACTGTTCAAGAAATTTTTGTTCACTTATCGTTGTTGTCCACGAATCAGCCTGAGACATGTTTTAGCCACTAATCCTTCTCAATATTCTTTTTAAAGCTTTAGCTATTAAATGTCAGGAATCGTATGACACTAAGATGACGTTATAATGACTCGACGTTGTCTGTTGGGTTTCATAGACACGGCAGGTCGGATGTAAACATCTTTTTATGAAGTTGACTATTGTAGTTGAGCTGTATGCTAATTGACATATACCACATATATAACGTTGTTTGGTTTCCTATTAAAAAAGAGACCGGGACAAATTCCCCTGTATTTGTTTCACTCACATGGTCAAAATCACAATGTTTTTAAAATCTACTGGAATTGGGGAGTTTAGATATATAGTATACTTTTTCATGATATAACCGACTTGGTGAACAAAATATAAGTTCTTATTTGTTTTAACAACTTTAAGAAAAGTTAGCTTAAATTATGCTAAAAATTCAAATTCTCAAAATGTAGATTTTCTGAAATAGGCATATGTTCGTGCGATTTTTTCTTGAAAATGTGGAATACATGAGATGTAGCAAAAATTTTAGCAATAATAATAATAATAATAATAAATCTTTATTTTAAGAGGGTAACTCAATTAGAAGTAGTCTAATTTTCATTGAGGCCCTCAAACAAAATACATGTATACAGTTAACATTCATACATTCGATTCATACATTAAAATACAATATATATTACTAGTATATACACAATTCAATCATTCAAACATACAAATGGCAATAAATGGCAATAATTGCTAAAGTTTTGATTAAATTTTCTTATTCTTACAATAAAAGAAAGAAAACAAATTATTCGACTTGCATAGAATTTTCAAGAAAATGATTATAACAATGTTTCTTAAATAATTCCACATTTCGACAATTTTTTATTTTGAGTGGTAAATTATTCCATACCTTTGTTGCAGAATAATGAAAAGATTTTTTATAAAAAATTGTGTTTGGTCTTGGAACAAATAGATCATTATTAGAGACAGATCGTAAGTTGTGGTGTTGCACATCATTAATATTTAGCATTGTTAAGTAATCAGGTGTTAGTCCATTTACAATTTTATACATTAGAATTGATTGTTGGTATTTTATTCTTTTTGTAAAAGATAGCCATTTTAAAAATGAAAACATAAAATTAGATGGAACAGAAATATCGCATTCAAGTATAATTCTTGCTACTCTTTTTTGAAGTTTTATGATTCTATCTGAATCTTTTTGTAATAAATTTCCCCAAACTGAACTACAATAAAATGCATGAATGGGAATACATTTCCTTTAATATATATATATATATATATATATATAAAGTGGTTTGGTTTTATTTGATCCTGCAAAATGGTCTTGTTCACTTAAACAAAGAGCCAATTTGAAAATTGAAAGTTTGCCGTAACTATGGTAACACACAATGTTTAAAAAAAATCTTCCCGTAATGTTTTATGATGAGATGAATAATTTGACAAAGTATGGCTTAATTCGAAGAACATGCATTTCCAACCTCATATTCAAATAGTAAGGTCCTTACAGAGAACTGGTATTAAAACGTTAAGGAGTTGGCCAATAATTTTACATATTTCCATAGTAATATAGATGTAATCAAATGCTAAATATTGCTGTTAAAGATAATTTTGCCATTTCCACATGTTTTTTTTTGTGTAAAAATTTGCATCGAAGGACTTCCTTAACCCAAATGAATTGATTTTCATATCTGAAAGTCAACACTTGAGATAGAATGTTTGTTTCGACTAAGAAAGTCCATTATATACATTACCTGAATAAATACATTAAATTCGCCTAAAATTATCAAAATGCAGTTTTGAGCATTGAGCTTTAGAGCTTTATAGTAATTTGTTTAGAAATAAGTCAATATGTTGTTAGAATCAAAGTAAACACACATAAGACTGTTTAAATGTTAATTTTAGTAAAAATCAAAAGACTGTTTGAAGATTGGTCTCATGTGAATATATTAAGGAGAAACTGGTCCTATCTCTTTCATTCACAGAATATAACCAGATTAAGGAGCGGATAAGGTATGGAAGAAGAAAGTACGGAAACAAAAGAAAAAGGAGTTACGAGTAAGGCTTCGTCTAGATCAGGGTCAAGGAGAAGTTCTAAAGCTGGACTTTCTAGTTCAAAAAGAAGTTCACCAAAAACAAAGAAGAGAACTACATCACCTAAAACCAAGTCGTCCAAAGGTGTTGTGAATGAGCCGGATACTCCAGGTAAACAAAGGTTTTGATGAATGAATGTATCACCTCTAACAACATTCCTAACATTGAAAGATCTGAATGTACGAGCATGCTCTTATACTCTAAAAGTTTAAACATTCTACACTTTCAAATGAATATAAGACACAGTAGGCGAGTGTCCATAATTTGTGTGGATCCTCAAATAAAAGGAACCATTGGCATGCTTCAAATACAATTCTGATTTTTTAGTTCTAATGTCGCGCTCTCCCCGCCCCCTTTTTTTTTATCCCAAGTTACGGTTCTAATTTTTCAACATAGTTTTTTTTTATTAGTTTACACAGATTTCTGATGAACTATTGGCTTTAACAAACTATACAGAATGTCAGTCATCTGTTTTAGTAGTAGCTTAATTTAATATTAAAATCCTGAAACCATAAAATGTTTCCACAGATTTCAAATGATTTGTACAAATTAGAAAAAATGAATAACTGGTCAAATTTTTGTATAATTTATTAGTACTACACAACAAAGCTAACTTATATCACTCAGCCAGGAAGGTCAGTTTCGGAACAATCAAAAGGTCATATTCATCGTATTGTAGTAGAGGCTTGCACAATATGCATGAATGAAAGAGAAATATATTTGGTCTACTCGACATCGCAATAATTGCATGTTTATCTTGTATGAATATCATTTCCTGTTATGGTAACAACTATATCTTTACCGAGAATTTTCTTTTTTCAATTACGTTTTACGAGTGGTAATCTACGAAAGCACATTTAGGACCTCCCGAAAATATGATTTAATTCGAAATAACGATTTTGAAAAAATCGTGATCACGGTTTAACATCGTTTTCACCTTTTGTGTATTTGGTCGGTTATATATCAATGAATTAATTCCTGTTAACGAATCTGAGGAAAAAGTTATATCGTATTTTTGTTGCCCGAGATCATGGATTAAATTCGTTATCATAGATTGCGATTAAATTCGTTATCGCGAAATTAAAAAAAATCGTGCTCTCGGATTAAAATCGTTATCGCAAATATTATATTTCGTAACAAGGGATTTCGTTATTACGATTTAATTAGTGATATCGAATCTGTTGAATGGGCTTGAATTAGTTATCACAGATTTATCAAATTCGTGATCGCGGATTTTATTCGGTATCAAAGATTTTCGCCGGATTAAATCCGTGGTGAAATTTTGTATAACTTTTTTCCTGAAAGTCCATTTAGGACCTCTAAAAAATATATATATTTGGATTCGGAATCACGCTTGTAATCCGTTATCTCGAATTACACAAAAAATTGGATTAATTATTTCATCGGAAATTCATGATAACGAATTAAATCTGTGATAACAATTCGTGATATCGAATTCAAGTTATATTTTTTGGAGGTCTTAAATGGGCTTCCGTAATCATATGTAATGATTAATTTCAAAAATTCGTTATCACAAATGTAATCTGTGATAACGAAGTATAGCTGGTGATAACACATCAACCGGATCCGGGGGGAGGGTGTATTGTTGACCCCCCCTTTTTCCACTTTTTAAAATTATGTGAACGTTTCATGGTGTTAAGGGGGTTTGCAATTACTGGATCCGCGCCTGTAACGAATAGTAACAATTCATGATTACGACGATTTTTATGTCATTTTTGGGAGGTCCTAAATGAGCTTTCGATTTTCGTTGTGCCAAAGTTAACCCAAATAAGTTAGACCCTCTTCGTGTTCGACTCTCCCACTCGCGAGGACCCACACATATTTATATATCCATCGTAGAGCAGAGAATTATATGATCGTTTATGGGTTAGTCCAAATAGAATAAAACATCCGGAAAACCCGTTCCGAAACGTTCACGGTCCAAAATTATGTTGGAGCTGGCGAAAGCGTAAAAAAACGCTGTCATCTTTATAAAATGTATCGACGATATGATGTAGACACTATATATATACACTTGGTTAGTTAATTATGACTTCTGGGAGAGCTAATCTCTCAGCAGACGTCATAAAATCTGGACCATATCTCTAATACACTACAGGTCTTAGGATATTCGATAACATATAAAAAAAAATATAAGAGTTACGGTTCTGCAGCTTTCGATTCCGAAATCCTGGGCTTAAAAAACATGGAATCCCGAGGTCCCGAATTTAAAAAATTTAAATCCTTATTCAGACATCCCGAAATTCGAAAAAAGAATTCCCGGATCCCGAAAGGATCAATCCTGAAATCCCGAGCTTAAAAACACACTATCCCGGAGTCCCGATAAAGGTCCTACCCCCCCCTTAAATGACATTAATAAATCTATAAATGCAGATATAATAGAATGTGAGTTGTGTGATAAACGTTTTTATGGTATGGCAACCTTAGTAGGACATTCCTATAGGGACAATAAGCTGGATAAATATAAAAACTACATGGACAATAACAGTAAGGGAACAACTCTTTATTATTCTTGGAGGGGGAATGGGGCAGGAGGATTTTTTGCAGATTTTTGCATTCATTTAAAATTTTTAATCTGTCGCTAAGCATGCCTATTTTTTCCAGCTCTTAACAGGCCACCATATTCATATTCAAAATCCTCCTGTCCCCCTCCCCAACAAATCAAATGGTTTTCCCCTTATTAAACACAAGTTTAAATTGATTGATTGTTGGTTACTTATTTTTAATGTCCAGTGACTAATATTTCATACATGTTCAGAAAAAAACACGAATTTAAAAGTCAGTTATAGAATATCAAAACTAGTAGGGAGATGCAGCATGATTGCCAATTAAGCAACTATCAAGCGGAGTTTAAAAGAAGTGTCAGCAATTGTAACCAACCGTACGTCCTTCAACAATGACTAAAACCCATACCGTATAGTCAGCTATAAAAGGCCCCGACATGAAAAATATGAAACAATTAAAACGAAAAAAAATAACGGCCTGACTATATATATCAAAACCCTTTAAAAAAAAAAAAAAAATATGAGTTGACAGATATGAACCAACAACAACCACTGAACTATAGGCTCCTGACTTTGGAGAATGTGTCAGGGTTAAACATGTTTGTGAGCACTCAACACTCCCCTAAACTGGGATAGTGATGTAACTGTACAACATAAGAACAAACTGTAAAAATCAGTTGCAATTGGATTTACTCAAAAACAACTGACATTAAGAGGATAAACGTAAAGCACAAGATGTCCTTTTCGATCATAAACCAGACAAACATTGACAAATTCTTGTATAGTTAAGGATTATTCCAAAAAAAATTTAATGGTCTGAGCTTTAAGCCGGATTTGTTTGTTAATATTAAATGAGAAAAGCATAAAGAAAAAATTTCACATACACAGCGATTTTTTCAAAATTTTCTTTGTCTTTTTTGACTTATCATATAATTACATCAATGCCAATACGGAGAACACTATTAAAGTCATGTCTACCAAATGAACTGACGTAACTAAATTTTCTAATAAATCATCGTGAACTTCGTTTATGTTATCCAACATAAAATAATTCTACTATATTCGCCGGCAAATTGAATTTGTTTTATTGGTCTCTTCTGTACATCTACAGAATATCTTCAGAAGAGGTCCAGATTCATTTTTTTGGACTCTTCACCAGAAGACATTCTGGAGATGTACAGAAGAGACCAATAAAACACGCCCTAGTATATATGTATATGTATGCTCTCTATAATCCCCCTTTTGCAGGAGCACCACAATAAAACATGGTGTAAAGAAGGACATTAAAGCATACTTTCTTGGCACAGATTAATGTCATTGTGAGCTTCAGCATACCCAGTTCTCAGCTAAACTGGAGTCTGCTTGTGTTGAATGTTTTGCAAGTGTAGTAGTTGGCCTAGAACCAGATCATTCCGTAGTTAGAATAATTATGTTATCATGAAAGACATCACAGCAAAAAATTAAAATAGTCTTTAAAGACGTCATAATTATTTGGAATACTTTTTCCCCAATCTGGCTGTGATGGTCTTACTACTATTAGAAAAGTTATGAGAAAGTTAACCTCATCTTAAACATTGATTAATACAATGCAATAAAACATACATGTTTTGTAATAAATAAACGTATTTACACTTTTGGTATTTAGTTGAATTTTGTCTCCGAATTACCTTAATTCTGTCTCCAAATAACCTTCTTACGTCAACTATCACATTTTAATTATGATGTCAAATATTTTAAATTATGATGTAAAATTTTACAGGAACTTGTGTGATTTTTAAGTAATTGGTGGAGAAATCTGCATACAAGTGTAAATACGTCTATTAGGCCGTTTCAATTGAATTGTTTCACATTTTTCATGTCGGGCTGTTATAGCTCACTATACAATATGTTTTTTTTTGTCATTGTTGAAGGTTGTATGGTTGCCTATAATTGCTTAATCCACTTTATTTAAACTTTTGTGGATTATGTTATTGTCTCATTGGTATCCATACCACTTCTCCTTATTTTTATATACGACACACAAACTCACCTGATTAGCTCAACCTTAAGATATTGCTAAATGCACAGCTGTATTTCTAGTTTAAAAGATAAAGGTGATCTTAGTCTTCGAAGAAGTCATAATTGACATAAGGTAATCTAAACCTTTGAATACACCCTGAGATTAATATAACAGTGCTGTAGTAATCTCAGGTATATATACCACAGTAAGAAGAAATTATAGCAGACACTTATTGTCCTCCCAGTTACAGTGGTGAAGCCATTAATGGTACCACATGTTTTTTCAGTACTAACATTTTTATAATTTTGTTACAGAGGAGATAACCACTCCTGAGGGGGCAGATGGAGGAGTTCCAGAGATACAGCCACCCATTGTGGCAAAAAAGGTGCAAACACCCCAGAAGCCATCCGTGGTAAGATAATGTTATGTACAATTTAAAATATATTCAAAGATATAAATAGAATGAATAACACAATTTAAAATATATTCAAAGATATAAAAGGAGAATAACATTGATCAAAACTTGATTAAAAACAAGTTGGTACAGTTGTCATTATAACATGAAGCAGCATTGGCATTTTAGATAAGAACAAAAATAGAATTGTGGAAACATCAACAAATCAACAATCCAACAACTAAAGTTAGCCAAAAAAAGGCCACCACATATTCTTCTAACTACAATAGCCTAATAAGAAATTTGAAGTATCGTCAAATGTCTTTACTCCACAGTTTGCTATATAAACAGGGGAACTATTTCTTTAAAGCAATGATTTTTGTTATCTATGTAATTGTTTATTTATATAGTTACAAATGTTAAAGGAGAGAATTATGGTTACAAACTTAAAGCCATCTATGTAATTATTTATTTATATAGGTACAAATGTTGAAGGAGAGAATTATGGTTACAAACTTAAAGCCATTTATGTAATTGTTTATTTATATAGGTACAAATGTTGAAGGAGAGAATTATGGTTACAAACTTAAAACCATCTATGTGGGAAGAATCCCATAATTATGCTATGGAGAAATTTATAGAAGACCCAGGATTACAGCTGATGATAGCTTATATGGACCAGTACAGAGGATTTGTTATAGAATTTACCATCCCAGGATATCCAATAGAACAAATGACATACTTCATTAAATGTCAATTTGTAACAAAGTTAACGGCAGAAAATTTCCACAAGATTTTTCGGTATGGGTCACTTCAAGGACAACATATACAGAGTTTGTTAAGACTGATGGATGGATTCTTTGCACCAGCTTTCTTTGAGAATACTTCATGGCCAGATAGTATCCTTTGAAATAGATTATATATATAACTTAGGAATAGTTGTCAGGCAACTTATGTAAACCCTGGATAAGTTTTCAGGAAACATATATAATTAAGCTCCTTTAAGCTTTTAGGAATTATATGTAAGCCCCAATAAGTTTTCAGGAAAAATATGAAAGCACCTATTAGTTTTCAGGAGACATTTACAATGTATAAGCCCATACAAGTTTCATGAAACATAATATGTAAGCCCCAATAAATCTCAGGAAGCATATGTAAGCCCTTTAAGTTTTCAGGAAACATATGAAAGCCGCTATAATTTTCTGGAAACATATGTATGCCCTAATAAGTTGTCAGGAATTGACATCCTTATAACAATTGATATTTTGTATATATTCTTTAACCATGTAAAGGTATACAGAATGAGTTTGCCTCACACTTACATAGATTCCTAGCCAAGTTAACAGACACGAGATGGAGATTGGCTGATAAAACTGTCCTGTATGTACCAATGGAGGGCCTTAAAACATCTTCAGAGGAGGCAGCTAGAAAGACAGAATATATACAGAGGTTGGAAGGTATTTATAAGACTAGAACAAATTGAAAAGGTTCTATATGTACTAAAGGAGGGAATTAATAAACATTAAAGACAGAATATATACAGAGGTTGGAAGGTATTTACAAGACAAGAACAAAATGAAAAGGTTCTATATGTACTAAAGGAGGGAATTAATAAACATTAAAGATAGAATATAAACAGAGGTTGGAAGGTATTTATAAGAATATAACAGATAAAACTATCCTGCATGTACCAAGGTAGGGAATTAAGACGGGATATATACAGAGGTTATAAGGCAATTTAAAAAGAAGATCTATAAGAGTATTATATTTTATTCAGGTCTCCGACAGGGTATATAATGTGACATTTCCGGCTTAAGAGTTTATATTCCCTGAGCCGAAGGCAAAGAGGATATAGACCCTAAGCCAGGAATGTCACATTATATACCCTGTCTGAAACCTAAATTACACACATATTACGGATTACCCCTGCCTTAATGTTTTTTCCAGTACCAAATATTTGTTAAACATTCACCATGCAGTAATATAGGCCTATGTATTTTCCATATACATAAGGATTTTGTAATTTGGTGTGAAAATAATTCTATTGTGTATGCAATAATTTGTAATAACACTTTAAGACATTAATTAAGTATTTGATGTGTAAATTGCGTGATTTTAAATTAATAAAGTATAATTGACAGATACACGTCATTATTTTCCCTCTGTGAGCCTCCATAGCACTGTAAGTGTTCTCTATAGCGTAAGACTACATCACATAGTAACGATTGTTATGCTGACGTTGTTGAGGTTCCAATTGAGGTAAAAAACGTTGCATATACCCCCGGCAGTTTCCTGAATATATACTGACATCTCTGTGTTGTTATCCAATCACAAAACTCAACACATTTGTAATCCGTTATATAAAGTGAAATTTCCGACCAGCTTAGCAGAAATAATTCCTGAGCCGAGGTCACAAGGGGATAAAAACCCTAGGTTCTGAACTTCACATTATATACCCTGTCTGAAGCTAAAATTACATATACAGTCGAACCTCGTTGTGTCAAACTCGGTTGTGTCGAAAACTCAGATGAGTCGAAGTAATTTCTCTGTCCTGGTAATATTCCGTTTTATTAATGCATATTTACCTCTTATGAGTTGAATTTGGTTGATTCGAATACTCGGTTAAGTCGATTAAATTTTATAGTCCCATGGATGTAAAATTAATGTAAATTGACCCTAATGTCTCGAAGTTCGAAAGATGCAGACTAAAGATAAAAATATAAATCGGATGTATTTCTTATGTTATCTAATCATTTCCAAAAGAGATTACAGCTGTGTAAACATACTAGCTTGTTTGTATAACAGTTAAAATTACATGTTCATGGGGACCGGTAATTAACACCTTTGTCGATTGTCCAAGCCGAACTTACTAGTGTGTTGAACATATTTCACCTGTCATGAAAACGAAACAGATTTAAATGACCCAAGCCAAGATTAAATGAATTGTTAGAATAAAAATTCATTAATTACAATAAATAAAAGGATAAAGACAATTTTGATAAATTTATAATAATTGAATGCAAGGCGGACGACCCTCATCAGATATTTCAGAACTTGTTTCGTTCCGCGAGTGATTTCATAATTTATTGTTATTGACCTTTGTAGATATTAATGTTTGTGTATTGATTTTATTTGCGATTGTTTTGTATCTGTACTTGTGTTAAATTATTATGAGGGACCTAAAAATATAAAGATTGAATACACAATTATAAAGTGTCATATAGAAAAAGGCACGCTGTTCAAAATATTTAGTTTACACTAATCTCGTACTGTATTTCGTGCATTCAAAATTTATGACACCACACTCGACCTCGGATGAGTCGTACCTCTGATAAGTCGAATACATTGGTCCAGTCCCTTCAACTTTGACATAACAAGGTTCGACTGTATATATATTTGGATTACCCCTGCCTTAATGTATTTTCCAGTACCAGGTTTTTGTTTTACATACACCATGCAGTATAGATATTCAGTACATGTTTCTTTATAATTTGTGTTATTCATTTAAATGCACCCTTTTCATCTTGACAAATAATTTTTTTTTCAATATCAACATTTTTGTAAAAGAATTTTGAGCTTTCATGTGTACTGTTTGTTAGGGACTTTATTATATTTTTTACACCAGAAAAATTGAAAAACCCAACCTGATATTTTTCAGCATAGATGAAAGATTTTGTTAAATGCAGTAAAAGTAATTTTAACCTGTATGCAATACTTTATAACAACACTCATAGTCATTAATTTAGTATTTGATATGTAAATTGCATGATTTTAAATTAAAAACGTATTAATGACGGATACTCATCATTATCTACCCTTTGTAAGCCTCTGACATCCTCAACTATTTCACTACTTCACATAGTTATGATGACGTTATTGAGGTTCCAATTGGGGTAAAAAACATATGTACCCTGGAAGTTTCTGGAATATATACTGATATCTGTGTGTTGTTATCCAATCACCAAACTTGACACATTTGTAATTCATATATAACTTGAAAATTCTCTAACAGTTCTAAATCACACAAAAAGGGGTCATATTGTAATTGATTAGATCATACCAAATCAGTGACATGTTATCATTTCAGCTGCCATGATTCACTGGATCAGACAAATCAAGGAAGTTCTTGCTACCCAGAATGCCTATGAAATTGTCGAGAACACTGGTCCCCTGCATGAGATAGAATTCTGGAACAGAAGATGTACCAACTTAACTGGTATCAGTAAACAACTGGACAAGTCTGGTGTTAAGAAGGTTACAGAAATTTTAACATTTTCAAAATCATCATATATAGAGCCATTTCTCAAAGTATCTGAACAGATCAAGGTAAATATTGTCATTTCTTATAGTCTCTAAACAAATCAAGGTAAATACAGTCATTTCTCATAGTCTCTAAATGAACCAAGATAATATCCACCACAGATAGTATATGAAATTGACAATGGAAACGGGGAATGTGTCAAAGAGACAACAACCCGACCAAAGAGCAGAAAACAGTCCAAGGCCACCAGTGTGTCTTCAACACAGCGAGAAAATCCGGCACCCAGAGGTGTGCTTTAGCTGGCCCCTAAACAAAAATGTATACTAGTTCAGAGAAAATGGATGTCACACTAAACTCTGAAACATATAAATGAACCAAAATTAAAAAAACATGCAAGACTAACAAAGGCTAGAGGTTCCTGACTTGGAACAGGCACAAAAATGCGGCGGGGGTTAAACATGTTTTGTGAGATCTTAACCCTCCCCTATATCTCTAGCCAATGTAGAATAAACAAACACACAGCAATACACACAGTAAATCTCAGTTTAAAAGATGTCAGAGTCCAATGTTAGAATAAATAACAAAAGAAACTAACCAAAATGACAATGATATGTATTGATCTAATCATTAAAACTTTGTAATCTATGGGACAATTATAAAAATAAATAATAATCTTCCAAGAGGGTAAGCTCAGCAATAATTGAATTAGTGAGGAAATTTTGTTTTGCAGATCGGGATAAAACTATCATAAAAACCCTTTTAAACTTACAACAGAGAATTTACACAAAACTTTGTGACAAAAGGTGATTATAGTTATGTTTCCAAATATTTGGGTTTTTTTACCCAAATTTCAACTTTTGATTTCAGAATGAAATTTGTGCTGTCCAAAGCTTTAGTGATAGGTATTCTCCTTTTGTATACCAGGGTCTCTACTATTTGTCTATTATCTCTATCATGTTGTGTCATTATAGTCCCTTTATACAGATTTATTTCTTATTGCCTGTAAAACATGAAATATTGTGTTTGCAGGTTTACTTGATATGGAATACATGTAATAACTTAGGGACAATGTGTTTTATAAGCAATTTTTTTGTATCATTGCATTTTGTGATTTAATTGTTATGACGTGCACATTGAAATGTTTTTTTTTTTAATTCTGTTTTTTATATATCATTTACAACAACAATCGGAAGAATATTATTTCTATTTCAGGAAGGATCAAAGCAAGCAGAAAGTAATTTGAAGTTTTTAATGATGCTGAAAGATCCATGCTATGAGTTATCTCAATCCAAACCAGCAGACATTCCTAAGTTGTTACCTAAAATACTCCACTACATCAGGATCATATGGGTTAATGCCCCTTACTATACTTCAAGAGAGAGACTCACATCATTGTTTAAAAAGGTAACATAAAAAAAGATGAAAAATATCATAATTAATATCACTAAATAGGTTCCTTGGTAGAAGATGTCATTATATGGAAAGACTCAATATTGGAAGTTTGAAATGTCATGCACATATTTAAAAAGATGAAAGCTAGCTATAGCATGTGGATATAGTTTAACAATATTCATCATAATCAAATCAAACTTACTTCTCAAAAGTGTATCCAGTCATGTGTTTATTATACTGGTGTGATATTCAAGATGACAGTCATCTTAAAAGTGTTTTAAAAGAAGATACTTTTTTTTTATTCTACATATTTTAGATAAGTAATGATTATATTTGAAGTTGTGGAGCAGCTAGGATATTTGATGGGTATCTACAGTCTGGGACTGAGAAACATGTATTTGACATATTTTAGGTCAGTAATGAGATAATTAGTAGATGTAGAGCAGCTCTAGATTTAGACAGGATGTTTGATGGCTATGTACAGTCTGGTTTACTGACATTACAACAGTGTATTGACAGCTGTGAAGGATGGAAAGATCTTTATGAAAAGGTCAGTGAAAACAGGAAAGAAAGTCAAAAGTACAAATAGGCTATCAGCCACACTGGATGACAGGCTATGATTTGGGATAGTATGAATGCATTGCATAACAAAATTCCCCAAATATCTGATACCTACAGCATATTCTTGATTGATGTTTGGATTAATTAAATTTTGTTGGAATTGGTTAAAGGCAGCTTCCTTTCAAAGTTTTGGGACTTTAGAAATCAGATGTTAGACCATTTTTCACAAATCAATCATTACCGTAATCGGGCTTGTATAGTTCGCACTGGTACATAGTCCGCACCCCCTTCTCCCAACGAAATTTTAGGTAAAAAAATTTTTTGTAACTGTTAGAAAAGGTCTAATGAAAATCCGGTAATTTTAAATCGTGTGTGGTCGTTTGCGGTATTTTCTTGGAAAAACCTATTTTCCATCACCAAACAGAAGCTGAAACTGCTTGAAAATGGTTCTAAAACACTTCACGCTGGTTAAAATAAGTCTAAATCACTCAAAAAAACAATTTAGAAACGTGTGTATGTTTAAACCGGAAGTTTGAAAAGCATGTGTAAAAGATGAAAAAACCCGGTGAGAGTCGAAATCCGTACATAATAGATATCACTATAATACGACTTTGAAAGTAAAACAGTTCCCTCCTTATGTAAAACAGTGTTTAATATATCTTTCACATTAATGTTTGAAGGGTCTTAAGCTAATACAAAACATATTTGTCAATAGGAAATACCAAAACGGAACGAATAATAACCGATTACGTTTTGTAGTTCACACATCGTAAGCTGGTTTACGGTTGTCTTTTTTTACTTTTTTTGTACGATTTCATTCAAGCAGATACCAGTTTATATTTAGCAATGCATTGAAAAGAAACGAGAATTTTGTAATGAAGCATTTAATTTTTAAATTTATCAGGATTAATTTGATATTAAATAAAAATAACTTATTAATATGGATTGGGTAAAATTATTGGTTTGAAAAATGATAAGAGCGCCCTCTACAATGTCAATAACAAACATGGCGGAACGTAAACAAACCACATCGCGAAATTGAAATTTTCTCTCTTATTTCTTGCTTATTGTACTCTATAGTCTGCACCCCTGCTGTCAGGGTCAATTTTGCAGAATAAAACCGCGGACTATACAAGCCTTTTAACGGTAGCTTGAGCATACTTGGATCATTTTATTTCAAGCTTTATATTGTTGTTATGATTGGTGAAAGTAATTTCCCTTTTGATTTTGAAAATTCTAAGAATAGGATTCCCTGTTATAGGACTTTAAATGTTAAAATTTTGCCATTTTAATTACTTTTGTTTGAATGCCTTGTGTTGTATATCTGAGTATGTTGAGTATGTATATTCCAGAACAGTTGTCTATTCCGTTATTGCTATGATTTATACCTGTATCAGCCTCTTTTAATAAAACAACCAACAGTAAAGGATGTAGTATTTTGCAGCTCTGTGTTTTTGATTTCTTTTATACCTTACTTTTGGGTCCCCAAATTAAGTCAGGTATATTACATGGTGGAGGACCCAGGGAATTTTGTCACACAACATAAGGGAAATGATTTTCTCTGTCCATAAACAATTTTAAGTAGAAAATATTCTGTTCCTGCATTCACAGAATTTTTCATTGAAAACACAATGGTTGGAATAAAATCCTCCTGATTTGAATTGTTCTAAATATATGATGTGATTCGCTGTACCAAAGTTCTATGTGAGCGTTTGCAAGTTCCCAATCAGTGATGTGTAAAACTTGGATTAAATGTTGTTTGATATCCAAGAGTTGGCATATTTTCTTTGTGCATTTTCCTATCATCTTGGATACATGATCTCTATTAAAACCACCTTGTTCAATATTCCATTTCATTCTTGCAATAAATTTTAGATATACCCTTGAATGAAGATTAATGAAAAAATTAACGAGTAAGCTGTAACAAAAAATTAAGAGAACTTGTTGTAGACAATATCTTAACTAAGTTCAATAGGGGAATCTTCCACAAAAATATTTCCTCTTTTTGTATATAGGTTGCATACAAAAACAATGCCTTTAAAAATAGGTTGCAAGCATTCAAGGTCAATCATATGTGTCAATGTAACCAATTACACAAATATGTCTTAAGAATGTTGCAGTTTGCAGAAATTTAACATAACACAAATGTTTAATTTGGTACTATAAACAAAATTTTCGATCATACAAAGCACAATTTTAAATCTTCACAACACTCATAATTAAGATATTGTTTTTGGTATAACTTGAGCATGTGCATATGATTTCAATTTTTATAATGAAAGTACACCACAGTGATTGGCTTCTGGTTCAGCCATTTTTGTTGCTTTTTACTTGTAAGTTTCATATCAGCAGAGGCTACATGTAGTATTTAACTGAAGAATATAGAAATAAGGAGATGTGTTTGGATTGCCAATGAGACAATGTTAATTATCCACCAGAGTTCAAATGCTGAAGATAAAAGCAATTATATGTCACGTATGGCCTTCAACAATAAGAAAAACCCATACCGTATAATCAGCAATAAAAGGCCATGACAGGTAAAACGTGAAACAATGTTACACTTCTGATTTCAAATAATGGTACAAAAATTTTATTTTTATTTCAGACCTCTTACCTGCATCACAAACTTTTTTGTGTTAGTTTTTTTTAGATGTAAGTGACATATTTTATTTTTATTTCCAGACCTCCAAAATGCATCACAAGCTTTCTCCTGTGCCATGGGTTCTTGATATGAGCAACATTTTTGCTCAGGTAGATGCCTTTGTTCAGAGATGTAAAGATTTGACTGAGGTTGGTATTTTATTAAAGACATTATAAAGAATACTATAAATTCAGAAATTATTGTGTGCTTTTTTGATTGCAATTTTTGGACAATGGACAAAAATGCGAGATTAATTATTGCTTTTTTTTGGGTGAAAAGCTGCATACAGATATATGTATTAGATGTCAAAATGCTAATTCTTTATATTTCAATATTCACCCAGACAGATTATTCGCATTAATAAAAATCTCGCAATAATTTCTGAATTTACAGTATGTTTTCTATGTCTATCTCTTTTAAATTTATTTCCAGAAACAAATTCCATATTTGAAGGGGACAAATGTTGTTAAAGATTACAGTAAATCGCAGCATGGGACAATTATTCTATTTCCATCAATTTGATTTATCTCTTAAATCCTAAAGTATTTCTAAGATAAAGGTAGCCCCAAAGTAAGGCATTAATTATACTATGTAGTATTCAATATCTAAGCTTAATTCTGAACATTTAGGACATTAGGACAATTTTCCCAAAAAATATAAAAATGTCCCCTAAAAATTGACTGTACATTATTTTGAATGTTTAAGTTTAATTGATACACTTAGTAATCAACTTTTGATAAAACTAGAATGATAATCCTATTTAGCATTAAAAATATGTCTTTTATTAGATTAAGTTTCTGTGTAGGATGTTAAGCACCTCCAATAGACAAAAATATATACTGTAAATTCAGAAATTATTACGTGCATTTATTATTGCGAATTTTCTAGAATGTACTAAAATGTGAGATTTATTATTGCGATTTCAGGAAAATCTGCATGCAGTTATTTGTATCAGATATAAAAATGCGAGTTCTTTATATTGCGATACTCATTCAGTCGCATTATTTGCATTAATAAAAACCTCGCATTAATTTCTGAATTTACAGTATCTGAATTGAAATTTTGACAGGTGTGTAATGCCCAGGTACACTTTGCCAGAATGGAGGATGGTAACAAGAGTGAGATGCCACAGTTTGGTGGACAGAAAGGTCCAGAGGTAGCTAAAGGACTACTTGAAATAGAGAAAACATTTGATAGGATGCTGAGGAACCTTGGACTTGTCAAAAACAAGATATTGGATGTTAAAGTGACTTCATGGCATGATGATTTTAACAGGTTATTATTAATAAGTTGGACTTTACAAGCTTATATCAATTACCAACAAAATGTTCGCTCAAAAATGTTCTATACTATCATTAATATTTTTTTACTATAACAGTTGGTACAAAGAATCTTTTCTAAAGCTTTGAAAAAATATCAGTAAAAGAATGGTGAATTGTACAATGCCATAATTATGAGACCTCTAAGGCCAGTCACTTACCCATAGAAAAATCATCCTTTGCATTGAAAGACTGCGGTTGAAATGTTCACATAGATTTAAGTATGACGAATTATGTAAGTTATGACTTACCTGCAGGTAAAAAGTAACTGTCAGTAAAGTATTCCTATCTATAAAAACAAAATTAATAGAAGTCATTTTAATGTACTTTAGATTTCGAGACAATATGAAGGATCTAGAGGTAATGATGCAGAATATGATGGACTCTGCATTTGAAACTGTGAAAACAGTTGAGGGAGGTGTGGAATTATTGGATATTTTCTGTCACCTGTCACCAAGGGAGGTAAGTAAGGATTTTTCTACATTGTGACAACAGTCACTGATTTGTCATCAAGGGAGGTAAATCACAAAAGACTTTTGCTTTTTATACTTTGTCAACAGTTAATGTATTGGATAGTTACTGTTATTTGTCATCCAGGGAGTTAAGTCATGAAGGACTTAGCATTCTTATACTTTGCCAACAGCAAAGAGGAATGATATTTTCTGTTTCTGGTCATTTAGGGATATAAGTCATGAAGGTCCTTTGAATTTATACTGTGACAACAGTAAAGGGATCAGAAATTTCTGTCACTCGTCATTGAAGGAAGTAAGCTATGAAGGACTTTTGTATTTTGTCAACAGTTAAGGTTGTGGATATTTTCTGTAATTGTCATCAAGGGAGGTCATGACTGACTTTTGTATTTTATACTTTGTCACCAGTTAAGGTTGTGGATATTTTCTGTAATTGTCATCAAGGGAGGTCATGACTGACTTTTGTATTTTATGCTTTGTCAACAGTTAAGGTTGTGGATATTTTCTGTAATTGTCATCAAGGGAGGTCATGACTGACTTTTGTATTTTATACTTTGTCAACAGTTAAGGTTGTGGATATTTTCTGTAATTGTCATCAAGGGAAGTAAGTCATTAAGGACTTTTGAAATTTATACTGTGACAACAGTTAAAGCATTGGATATTTTCTGTCATTTGTTATAAAGGGAGGCAAGTCATGATGGACTCTGTGACAGTAGTTACAATTTCTGCTGTCAATGAGTCTGTCATAACTTGCCTCCCTTTATTGCATAAAATATCGAAAATATCCAATATTTTAACTGTTGTCACAACTAAATTGCACAGTGTTGGATAATTTCTGACATTTTTTGTCAAGGGAGGTAAGTTGCATGATATGCTTTTGACACGTAGACAACATTTGTGGGATGCCTCGTAGAATTATTTGAACTTTTCAGCCATTTATCATCAATGTTAACTTTAATGTAAATATTCCAAATTGGAAATCGTGAAGTTTTACTAGGAAATATACATCTTTTTGGCATATTTTATATCTTTTGGTTAGATTAAAAACCCATGTATTCAGGTTACTTTAAAAGTAACTAACTAAGCAGCTAAAAATACAGAAAATGGGGAGTAAAAATAAACTGAATATCTATTTCTAGTATATGAAGTAATAGACAACACAGTAGGAGTTGTAAAATTAAAAGATGATCTATTTTACTAATGTTTGTATTTTCAGGCCATTAAGAGGATGATTGATAAGAAGACCAAGGATGTATTTATAATGTTTAATGCAGAACTAAATTCTGTCAAGCAGGAACTATCTTCAAAACCAGAACTACAAATGTCTGACCATCCTAAATATGCTGGACTGGCTCTGTGGGCCAGACATCTTAAGAATAGAATCCAAAGAAACATGAATGTAAGGTTAACTGATTGTATTGATAAGTGTATATGACACACTTAAATCAGGCTGTTGGTTTTCTTGTTTGAAAATTTTCACATTTTGTTGTGTTCGTAAAACACGTAGTTAAAAAATTGGCATGTAAGTTATGAAAAGAAATTTATGATCATTTTGGTGTAAAATTAACTATGAAAAACTAAAGTTTTTGTTAAAATTTTGAGAAACATCTTTTTGTACCATGATTTCAACAAAAAATGATGTATAGGTATGATATGCTAGCTTTTCAAAATTGTTTCCTGTTGTCAAAAATATATATAAAAAAAAAAATAAAAGAGGGGAAAGATGTGGTGAAAATTTTAGTTATTGTTAAAACATCACAAAAGAAATAGTATGAACTTACTTTTTGTTAAAAAATCACAAATATTGAGACACAGCTTTTCATGGTAGGATTTCAACAAAAATTGATATATAGGTATAATATGCTATTTCTTTTGATATTTGATGTCAAATATAGGTATAAAGTTTTTGTGAAAAATATCACAAATCTTGAGAATCATCTTTTCATGGTAGGATTTCAACAAAAATTGAGATATAGTTATAATATGCATTCCAAATTGTTTCCTTTAGATGTTAAAATTGTGATAAGGAAAATCCATATGTAGGTATTATTTGCTATTTCAAAATGATATCCTTTGTCAAAAACTATTGGTTGTCCACAATTTACTAATTTGCCTACCAAAATACATAGTGCTGGGATTTTAACAAAATCATATTTATTGAGTACATATCCTGAATTAATTGCTGGTGTCAAAATATATGAAAAATTGACAACCCATAAACATGAGTTGCTCTGTATGCATCAGTCTCTAAACTTTACACAAAAATGTGCTAGAAAGGACCTTAATGACTTGTCAGTTTTCTAGTTTTTATATTGATAGGTCAGCCATTGTTTTGTCAATACATCAAATCCTGTCTTCGGACACTATTTTGTTTTTTTCTGTATGAAATCTGCTCAGAAGTACAGCAGCTTATTGGTAGAACAGCAATATTTCTTTATCAATACATGTATATGCTGCTTTGGGAATAATATTTTCTTGATTTCACATTTTGATTTAAGAAAATTAAACATAGCGATTCTTCAATCTGCCAACATTTATTGAGAATTAGTTCATAATATCATCCTTTAATTTTTTAACAGTTGCTATCAAAGTCCCATTTCCTGCCATTTACTGGGACTGGAGAAGAGGTTCGAGGTGCCTTTATACAGTTGAATCAGGCTTTAGATGAGTATATGAGGAAAACCTTTCATGAATGGACCTTAAGTATTGTTAGAGTAAGTACTTTTTGTTTGAAGTTCTTTTAAGGTTAGAAAAAAACAATTCAGTGATAAAGTCATAAAAAACATAAAGTATGAAAATTGTATCAGATACATTGTTTATATGCTGTTTATCTGGTTCATGCATATGGAAACATAGATTACATGCTACTAAGCTGGTTCATGCACAATGAAAATTGTTTATATGCTGTTAAGCTGGTTCATGCATAATGAAACATTGTATATATGCTGCTAAGCTGTTTATTGCATAATGAAACATTGTATATATGGCCCGAGAACACAGTTATTTCGTAGTGCATTTCTTTTAGACAATAAATTCAAATTAAAAAAATCGCAACTGCTCGATCTCAAAAAGATTTTTACAGTGTAGTGTACTACTATTGATACAAATAATATCAAAATTATAGAAACTTCTACCAGCTCTAACTCAAAATATTGACAATTCTGTGTTAAGGGGGGCTAAAATTCAGTTTGACAGCTTCAGACTTTCTAATTTTTGATCTTTTTTAACTGGACCAAATCACTACTTAACATAAAGATTCAGCACCCAAATTTTTTTAACATGTAATTTCATCCCCTTACTTAATATTTCATGCATAAAACATCAAGAAATAAATTGGGAAAGTGTATCAAAAAAAAATGCAAGTTATACACTGTTCACACTAGGGACTATATTTGTAGACAACGAAAACCAAAGGACAATAACTGTGTCCTTAGGCCATATGCTGCTAAGCTGTTTAGTGCATAATGAAACATTGTGTATATGCTTCACTGATTTGTGCATAATGAAACATTTATTATATAGCTTTATATTCAGTATTGTCACTTGATCATCTGGGTCAAGTTCAGAGCTTAATATATGGTATATGGTATGGCACCTTATCATCTGGACCAAGTTTATAGCTTTATATATATGGTATAACCTCTTGTCATCTGGACCAAGTTCAGAGCTTTATGTACGATTGCCACTTATTATCTGGGCTAAGTTTAGAGCTTCGTATATGGTATGGCCACTTGTCATCTAGACCAAGTTAAAATTCATATATGGTTTGGCCATTTATCATCAAGACCAAGTTCAGAGCTTTATATATGGTATTGACACTTATTATCTAGACCGAGCTCAGAGCTTTATATATGGTTTGGCCACTTATCATCTAGACCAAGCTCAAAGCTTTATGTATGATATTGCCACTTATCATCTAGACCAAGTTCAGAGCTTTATATATGAATTGGCTACTTATCATCTAGACCCAGCTCCTAGTTTTATGTATGATATTGCTACTTATTATCTAGACCAAGCTCAGAGCTTTATGTATGATATTGCCACTTATCATCTAGACCAAGTTCAGAGCTTTATATATTGTTTGGCCACTTATCATCTAGACCAAGCTCAGAGCTTTATATATGGTTTGGTCACTTATCATCTAACCCAAGCTCAGAGCTTTATATATGGTATTGACACTTATTATCTAGACCGAGCTCAGAGCTTTATATATGGTTTGGCCACTTATCATCAAGACCAAGCTCAGAGCTTTATGTATGATATTGCCACTTATCATCTAGACCAAGTTCAGAGCTTTATATATGGTTTTGCCACTTATCATCTAGACCAAGCTCAGAGCTTTATATATGGTATTGACACTTACCAACTAAACCAAGTTCAGAGCTTCATATATTGTATGGCCATGTAACATTCTATGTGATATATATATTTTTGAAAAATATGATTTTTAGGACCCAATGAAGTTACTTGATATTCCCCTGATGTGTAGAAGTACTGAGAGACCTCCAATGTTAGATATCAATTTTGATAGGTAAGTTATTTCAAATATAAATTTAACAGATAAAAGACATTTTAAAGTTGGATTTCAGTTGTAAGAGAAAGAAAAACCTTATTTAAATATCCTTTTTGACAGATAAAAACCTTCCAAGGTGGGATTCAATTTTGAAACTTTGGAGATTTAATTTTAGATATAAAAGGTATGATAGATAAGAAACCTTCCAAGGTAGAGAATCAATTTTGGGAGCGAGAGGAGATCTTATTTTAGATATCACTTAAGACTGATAAGAGACACTCCAAGGTTTAATAACGTTTTTGACAGAAGAAAACCCTGGTTTTGGATATCAGTTGTGACACAATTACAGACACCTGTCAATGTTTGGATATCGCTATCTTACTTGTTCCTCTAGTTTATGATCTATTCTATAAAAAGGGATCAGTTCTATATTTTTTAGTATTTAATTTCAGGAGACTTGAGAAGATTTTCCAGGAGGTACATTACTGGGAGAGATTAAATTTTGATATTCCCCACTATGTACGTATGGCTTACAACAGAAGGGAAGATCTCAGAAATTTAAAAGAGCATGTTCTCTTGGTTGTCAGAGATTATAACAGGTATGATACAATAGCACAATATTAAAAGGTGTTCTCTTTGTTCTCATGGGATATAACAGGTATGGTCTACTTTATAGTAAAAGATCAATGTAATATATATCTCAGATTCTGTAGGAAGTTATGATTTAAGAGCTCACACTACTCATGGGTTATAACAGGTATGATAAAATACAATATTAAAAGGTGTTCTTTCCCAGCATACAATTTGCTTGGTTTTTACAATATTGCTATTTTGGCATTTGCATCCTACTTGCCGGTATTTCTTTCTTTTTTTTTGTATGGTAAAAATGTTTTATTTGATATCTTTTATGGTTACAACATATGTAACAGTTCTACTAGACAGGCTCTACCATTAAAATATCAAGCAATGTAGCAGTTTTAAAGAATAAATCTGAAAAGAAAGAAAAGGAGATTTATAAATAATTATTCAGTGTTGAAAACTGTTCTGTTTGCAATGTTCATTTCTTTTTCCTTTTCTTTACAGAATGTATAAATAATAAAATAAAAAAAAAGTAACTTAATTGAATGAATTGAAACATGCATTACATTAATATATATGCCAGTAGCTAAGGGATTTTAACAAAAGGTCTATACGTATTGAATGCAAAGTTTTTACTTTTGAGCCCTTTATTCCTTAGTCAGCTCAGCTATACATGCATCTGTAGTTATCATTATAAGAATACATTTGCATGTCAAAAATAATTCTGACTCTGATCTTGAGTCCAATAGCTCACAAAAAATGGCTGCTGAGAAAAGATTACTAAAATAAACATAACTGGAATAAATCAGTCATTATATTTTACTGCTCTACAATGTCTACAATAATGCCTGAATGCATTGACAATGAAAAATCATCAATCATTCAGAATTAGCTGCCTGCTGGTGATTTACCTATCTTGATATATTAGAGCTGACTGCTGACAGGACACCAATCAAAATCCATGATTCATGAAGAGTTTTTAGTGTGTTAGGACTTCAGACCTTAGTAAGTAGGAGAGATTGATTATGGGGAGGGACCGAATTATTCAGGTCTAAGTAAACATGGATCCTTAATAAGTGATTTCATGTTTATATTGTAATTAATAGGTCAAACATTAATTAAAGTTCAAAAAGTGCAAAGTGAAAGAAATGACAAAATAAGAAAATTGTGTGAATAAAACATTGTGTCTTTGAAATAATATACAATCAATCTACAACCTCAATGCTGTAAGTTTGTTTCTCAAGAAATAGATTGTCAGTGCTTGCTTATTTCTTTACTTTTAAATGAAAAATTGCCATTACATCAACATGAATAGAACAGAAATTTACCAATTAAGAGGATGACTATTGTTACACCAAGGTAACACGATATCTCTTTTGGTGTATGGAAAATGTGAAGTGACAGACAGGAAAGTAACCCTAGTCACCCAGTAGTGAGAGTCTTGAATTTGATATTAATGGTCGAGAACTTTATAATGCTGAGAGTGTGTAATCTACTGGGCAGTCATTTCATGTTTGCTCATACTTTCATATTTTGAATTTTCATTTTACCCAGCAGGCATGGAATTTTTATGCCCCATTTATGGGCATTATGTTTTTCGGTCTGTGCGTCCGATCGTATGATTGTCCATCCGTTCGTCTGTTCGTCCGTCTGTCAGTCTGTCCCACTTCATGTTAAAGTTTTTGGTTAAAGTTTTTTGTTAAAGTTTTTGGTCAAGGTAGTTTTTGATGAAGTTGAAGTCCAATCAACTTGAAACTTAGTACACATGTTCCCTATGATATGATCTTTCTAATTTTAATGCCAAATTAGAGTTTTGACCCCAATTTCACTGTCCAGTGAACATAGAAAATGATAGTGGGAGTGGGGCATCCATGTACTATGGACACATTCTTATTTGTTTATGTCTTATAATGAGTGTGTGACTTCTTGTTTGAAAAAATTCCTAAAAATAATTGTCAGAGCTAATTATCTATATTGATAAGATATACACTGCAAAATAATTAACTTACTGTAAATTCAGAAAGTTTTGTGATATATTTATTATTGCAAAAATTGTGACAGGATAGGTTTTGCAAAAAGTAATATTTTTGATAGCATTATTGTGCATGCAACATTTCTTGAAATCACAATCATAATGTAATTCACATTTTCCACATTGCTCAACAATAGTAATAATAAATGCATGCAAACATTTCTGAAATTACAGTTGTCAAAAACATTAGAGTTTTTTCAATTATTTTTAGAGTTTACCGTAATTAAAATACAGGGGATGCTATTATACAAATTATAATCCCTGTTTTAGGATCATAGCAGCATTGTCATATGAAGAAAGAGCCCTGTTTAGAGAGAGAATAAGATTCCTTGATAAAAAGATCCACGCTGGTTTGTCAAAACTAACTTGGGTGTCACATGGTATATCAGAATACTTTGTCTCTGATTGTCGAAATAATGCCAGCAAAGTACAAGTAATTGTTGATGATTACAAAGGAGCTAACACAGAGATTGCTGAACAGTGTGTGAAAATCAGTGAACTGTTATTGATCAAGATTATTCCGAAGAAAGTTTATGAGAAAATGGACTTTGATTCTTATCAAGTTAGTCAATTTTAAACTAAGATTATTTAATAATTGACAGCTGTCAAAGAGTTGTTTTTATACGACTGCAAAAAAAATTTTGTGGTCGTATATTGGTATAATGTTGGCGTCGTCGTCGTCCGAAGACACATTAGTTTTTGCACTCTAACTTTAGTTTAAGTGAATGGATCTCAATGAAATTTTACCATAAGGTTCAATACCACAAAAGGAAGGTGGGGATTGATTTTGGGGGTTATGGTACCCACAGTTAAGGAATTAGGGGCCAAAAATAAGCATTTTTGTAACTTCCAGACATAACTTGTGTGTAAGTGTATGGATCTCTCTGACATTGTATCACAAGGTTCCATATCACAAAGGGAATGCTGGGAATGATTTTGGGGGTAATTACCTCCAAATTTTAGGAATTAGGGGCAAAAAATGGGCAAAAAACAAGCATTTTTCTAGTTTCATGACAATAACTTGTGTGTAAGTGTATTGATCTTTATGAAATTGTAGTACAAGGTTCCATATCACAAAGGGAAAGCTGGAATTGAGTTTGGGGGTAACTTCCCAAAAAGTTTAGGAAAAAGGGGCCAAAAATAAGCATTTTTCTACTTTCCAGACAATAACATGTGTTCAAATGTATGGATCTCTCTGAAATTGTACTGCAAGGTACCATACCACAAAGGGAAGGCTGGGATTGATTTTGGGGGTAATTCCCTCAAAATTTTAGTAATTAGGGGCCATAAAAAGGGCAAAAAAACAAGCATTTTTCTAGTTTCAGGACAATAACTTGTGTGTAAGTGTATGTATCTTTATGAAATTGTACTGCAAGGTTCCATATCACAAAGGGAAAGCTGGGTTTGAGTTTGGGGGTAATTGCCTTAAACGTTTAGGAATTTGGGGCCAAAAAACAAGCATTTTTCTAGTTTCCAGACAATAACTTGTGTTCAAGTGTATGGATCTCTCTGAAATTGTACTGCAAGGTACCATACCACAAAGGGAAAGCTGGGATTGAGTTTGGGGGTGATGAATCATAAGGGGGTTCAAAAAATTGGGGAGGATTTTTTTTTCCTTTTTTTTCTTTAAAATTTTCCATTTTAAATTGGTTATTTCTTATTTATATATAAAAGCAAATAATAATGATATGGTTTGAATAGGTAAATTAAAATTTTTTAAGTTCTTAGACCACTTTCATTCTGTGTGAGAAACCTATGCTGTGTCAAATATTTAATTACAATCCAAATTCAGTGCTGTATCAATCTTGAATGTTGTGTCCATACTTACCCCAACTGTTCAGGGTTCGACCTCTGCGGTCGTATCAAGCTGCGCCCCAGCGGAGCATTTTATTTAGATATGATGTCAACATGTTATAAAGCCAGAAAAAAATTCTCCAGTAACAATAAACGGATAGAAGTTGACCTTATGCAAGTGCATGTATACATGTACATGTATAAAACTTTGATTGATTTTGGAACATTCAAATACGATATAAAAGATGAATTTTGGTCTGTTTTGTAGGATTCTTATAACAACTTAGTTTTCAAACAGTTACAGACTTTCCATAGAGATTTTTTCAAACTGAAATAGGTTATCAGATGTATTGATATTCATTTGCATAAGGTCAATTTCTATCCGACGCACCTCATATGTTGATATCTGAATACATTTTTGTTTTCAGTTTTGTGAATGTAATAAACAGTTTTCAAATAAAACTCAATATTTTTTTTATTACAATTTATTTCAGCAAATATATACATCAGCCTATAATTATACCTCATGCTACAAAAACTGGAATATATTGTTTTTATTTGTCTGTATATGCAGTCTGTCATTCTTATTTGTTTCCAGGTTCGATCAGATTGCGCAACTAACTTGGATATATGCATGGCCTGATAAAGTGAACAAAAAATACCTATTGATTTTGAGGTCTCTACATCAAAGGTCAAAGTAAAAAGTTACTAAGAATAGTCCAAAGTTAGTGCAGGAAAGGAGTTTTCCTATTTTTATTCTTAGAATAGAACCTGACATAGAAATAGAATTATACTTAGATATATAGTTACAGATAATGAGTGGAAGATCCCTATACATATTGAGATTATGGTTTCCAAGGTTGTGGTTATAATTACTAAAAATAGACTGAATAAGTGCAGAAAAGGGGTTTGAGGTTAATAATTCCTAATGCTTACAGGGGATAGCAAGGATACTTGCATATATGGCCAAATAGGAGAGTAGAATCCCAAATTGTTTTGAGATCATTGCTTCCAAGGTAAAGGTCATAGTTACTAAAACTAGTTTGATAATAGTTTGAAATTAGTACAGAAAAGGGTTTGTAGGTAATAATAATAAAATTGATCTTTCATATAGGATTGGAACTAAACTCATATATATGGTCACAACTAATGAGAGGAAGATCCCTATTGATTGTGAAATCAATATGTCAAGGACAAAAAAGGGATTTCCTGATGATAACTGAAAGACCTAACATGGGATGTGAACTTAACTTAGATGTATTGTGACATATAGTAAAAGGAAATCCCGATTTATTTTTAGCTCATTACATCCAAATTCAAGATCACAGCTACTAGAAATTGAGTGAAATTTGTGAACAATAGGGTCATTATCATTCACTTACACGTAGATTTCTATAATAATTACAGTAATTTCATGCATGGTATTGTTCCAAGTATGGTAGAAGATGATTATCATAATTATCCTCTTTTATGGAGAACAACTTTGTCATTATACCACTAAGCTGTTGCTGGTTAGAAATAAGTTTATTAGGTAGGTCATGTTCACTAAGATTCTTTAATATCAGTAGACAAGGTCTCACTTTGAAAATAAGGAAGTAAATACCAAATATTTCATTTTTCTTGATTTTTCTTGTTTTCCATTTAAGACCAAACACAGAGAGATTGTTACAAAAAGATTGACACAGATACATGAGAATATTGTCAGAACAATGAAGAAAACCCATGAAATATTCAGACTGGATGGAAGTGAGGTATATTCTTAATCTTAATCTATTTTTCCATTACTCTAGTTCCTCATAATCTAATTTCGCATTTCTCTTAATCCTCCTGATCTATTTTCACATTTCTCTAGATCCTCATAATATATTTTCAAATTTCTATACATCCTCACAATATATTTTCACATTTCTCTAGATCCTCACATTCTATGTTCACATTTAGAATCCTCATAATCTATTTTTACATTACTCTAGATCCTCCAAATCAATTTTACATATTTCTCTACATCCTCATAATCTATTTTCACATTTCTGTAGATCCTCAAAATCTATTTTCACATATCTCTAGATCTTCATGATTTATTCTTCATTTCTGTAGATCCTCATAATCTATCTTCACATTTATTTACATAATTTGATTTTGAGTTCTTTCCTTTGACTACCATTTTGGAGGTGTAAATGGTTGATTTTCCTATTTGACTAAATGTGGTACAAACAAGTCTGATAAAAGATCCATACTAGATCGTAGTGATGACTTAAGCAAGGCTAATAGAAATTAAAATTGTTCAGAAAACCACTTTTTCTAAAGTCTAGCAGTCAGTATAAGTATAACAAGTTGAAATTGTACAGGTAGACCTCCAACATGGCGATGTAGCTCTTGCTCAAATTGTGTTAATCAAAACCTATCTATACATGCAGTAAAACTCCTGTTTCGATAATGTAAAAGAAAGGACAAAGATTATTAATTCATTACACAAATCACATTCTAGACAAACGTTAGATTTCATATGTCACTGTATGACCTATGCTCTGAATGACCCTAGATATTCCTCCTAATAACCTTCTGATGTCATGCAACAATCCCTAATTATGATGTAAAATTTGTTTAATTGTGATCAAAATTTTGCAAGATTTTGTGTGATTTTAAGTAATGGCATAAAAAATTTGAGTAAATACTAGTAAGTCTTTTAAATCCATTATGTATAATTCTTACCATATGATCTACTTTAGGTACAGGTACACTGGCATAAATATACAGAGAAAATGGATAAAATGGTGGCAGAAGCTTTCAGACTAAATGTGAAATGGTCTCTACAGGAATTGTCTAAAGCCATAAATGGAGATGGCAAAAATCCACCAAATTCTTTGTTTAAAGTTAAAGTCCTGCTCAAGGATAAGAAGGTAGATAACTCAGTTATTAACAAGTATCTGGTTTATTAAATCTTTGTCTGTCCAAGGATTCAATAAAACAAGTTTGATAATGTTTTGATCATAAATATATCCAAGATGTGTACACTGTAGTTAACTTAAACATTAGTTTGTACCAGGTTTAGAAACAGGAAGAAAAGAGTGGCTTATCATGCAACTTAACCTTTACACTGATCACCTTGTTTGTGTGTGTGTATGCTTGTGCTTGCTTGCATGCATACTTGTTCTTCAATGAATGTCTTAACGTCTACAGTCAATTGTTTATTTTTTAATTCCCTACTGTCTTTGATTTTTATTGAAATCAACCTTAACAGTATTTTTGGCTCAACATCAAAGCAGGATACCAACTGGAGATTTTATTTGTTTATTATACATATAAAGCAAAAAATTATTTCCATACCTGTTATTTGTACAAAATTTGGCTGATTGTAGATAGTCCAAAAATTATGTTGTCTTGAAAGGCTATTTTAATTTTTTGCTTTGATGCCTTCCAACCTAGGAAGCCATCACGTAAAAAAAATTAAATAGACTTTCAAAACATCATAAGATTGCAGGATAAATATTAGTAAGTGGGGAAAAGAATGGACTAAAAAAGACATATTTAGTTTCATTTTTGCATTTTGCATGCATTTTTGTTTTTGGTTTAATGTTGAGCAATCCCTAGTAGAATTAGTGTATAGTGGAAGTTTATGTTGACTTTGCTACATTTCGGGTTGAATTTTAGCCTTCCCTATGAGGACTAGTGTATAGTGGAAGTTTATGTTGACTTTGCTACATTCCAGGTTGAATTTGAGCCTTCCCTATCAGAACTAGTGTAAAGTGGAAGTTTATGTTGACTTTGCTACATTCCAGGTTGATTTTGAGCCTTCCCTATCAGAACTAGTGTATAGTGGAAGTTTATGTTAACTTTGCTACATTTGGGGTTGAATTTGAGCCTTCCCTATCAGAACTAATGTATAGTGGAAGTTTATGTTGACTTTGCTACATTTCAGGTTGAATTTGAGCATTCCCTATGAGAACTAATGTATAGTGGAAGTTTATGTTGACTTTGCTACATTTCAGGTTGAATTTGAGCCTTCCCTATCAGAACTAGCCTATGCTGTAAGCAGTGAATATGGCTATATAACCGGTGCTTTATCACAGATACAGAGACTACCTAGTCTGTTGACACCAAAAGAAAGTGTAAAAGAGGTCAGATTTAAATAATTCATACAATTTTTCTGAGTTGAAAAGATAATCTGAAAACCTTATTTAAATTTAGAAAAATGCAACTTTCTGAGTATTTGCCAAATATTTAATAGTTATAAATACAATTGCATGATAAATTACGAAATTCATTTATATTTCATTGTCACTGTTTTGTAAAAAACTGAAGTCAGTTTTCTACTTCAAAGTAGAAACTATAAGGCAAAAATATTGTCGAATTACTGAAGGAAAAAAATTATTGAATTAATTTATTTGAAGCTGTTTCCTGGACAACCTTATTACAAAAAGGACTAAAAAATGTATTTAACATCAAGATGTATTCCAAAAAACATTATTGTCCATAATTACTGGCTATTTTTGGCAAAAATTTATTTGAACAATCCTCATTCGAAAAAATGTAAAGTCCTAACTTGGTACAGGCACCATTAAATTAAAGTGTTGGATTGGACTAGGTTTTATGATGTGCAACATAATTGGTGTGGAATTCTAAGATCCAAAATATTAGATAATCAAAGATGTGTATGAAATGTAAGTCCGTGAGTGGTACTATTATCTAAAAGGCCCTAAAAAGTGTAGCATTAAAATCATATACATTTTAAAAGGTTTCTTTGAATCTCTTAATAAGCCTTACCCACAGAAATATGCATTTTGATCTCCAGCATCATTCAAAATACAACTGACATTGCAAGTTTCATTGTGTACACCATGTTTTGTTGAGATTAGAACATGGTTTGATGACAAAAGGGAAAGAAGAGCATAATATTTCTATCTTGTAGCCAATCTATGAAATGATAGCAAGAAGTGAAGAGGCCAGGAAGATCCACAGTGTAATTAATACGGGAATGCAGACTAATGCCACTCACATGCTTAACTATATAAAGACCTGGGACAACTATCGTGAGATCTGGGAAATTGACAAGGGAATGTTTATACAACGCTATCAGAACCTTGGTCCAGTTGTTTCATCGTTTGACTCAGACATTGCCAGGTAAGATACCTTCGTCTGTTTAGCTGTACAGTGTTCCACTCTGACTTGGTGTCTTGGGGTTGGTAAGATACCTTCGTCTGTTTAGCTGTACAGTGTTCCACTCTGACTTGGTGTCTTGGGGTTTGTAAGATACCTTCGTCTGTTTAGCTGTACAGTGTTCCACTCTCACTTGGTGTCTTGGGGTTGGTAAGATACCTTCGTCTGTTTAGTTGTACAGTGTTCCACTCTGTCTTGGGGTTGGTAAGATGTTATATTGAAAAAGCCATATAATACTGTATATTCAGAAATTATTGCAATGCATTTATAAATGTGATTTTTGAAGAAAGGACACAAATGGAGATATAGAATTATTGTGAATTCTGGGAAATCGGCGTACAGATATAATTTATCGGATATCAGATTGCGAGTTCTTATTATTGCGATACTTATCCAGACACATTATTCCCTATGATAAAAAACCTTGCAAAAATTTCTGAATATTTTCTATATATTTATGACTAACTCTGCTATTTAAACCAGCTACCTTTACATACATCACAAGATAGTTAACAAAGCAGATACCTGTAACCTTTTGAATGACAATATACCCCTGCTTAGTAAATCAGTTGTTATAAGTGATAGTTCTGTCTGTCTGTCCAGGATTTGTATCTACAACTCTTCAAAGACCAGTGGCTGAATTTTTTACCTTATGATGATTGACTGTTCACCTTTGAACTTTGCCATTATAGAGCAGTAATCTTTAAATTCTCTTGATTGTATTACAGATACGATGAAGTTGCCAATAATGTTGAGGCCCATGAGACCATAGAAATCATACAGTTTATGATGATTGATTGTTCTCCACTGAAGACAGCCATCATGAGCCACTGTCGAGAGTGGCAAACAAAATTCACCCAACTGTTGAAGAAAATGTCAACCACCAGTCTGATGGATCTTCAGGATTATCTAGTGGAAAATGGAGATAGGTGAAAGGATTTGTCTTACTTAATTTTGTGGACTGTTGAAGGTCATTTCATAGTTTTCTTTTAGGTCATAAAATTGTTTTTCTTTGACTTATGGTTTTTGATTGCCTTGGAGAGATTAACAATTAGACATACCACATCTTCCTATTATATTTGTAATAATTTTAAACAATTTCATGATCTGATGAACTAATATTCCATGACTTTTGAATACATAAGTAGCATATACCTTTAGGACAGGATAAAAACAAAAATGTTAAATGAAATGATTTCTGTGAATAAACACGTTTCTTGATTTACATTCATCAGGTATGCTCATGGACAAAAGTTTGGAAAGACAGCAATGTAAAACTTTTAAGAGCATAAAACCAAAAGGGCCTAAACAGAACAGTCAAAATCATTTTCTGTCAACTAATGATTTATGTAAAATTTTACAGAATAAATCAGCTACCCCAGACATTATCAGAATTAGGTATAAGTTTAAACTTATGGGACAAATTACATAATGAACTGGAAGAGACAGAGGAAAAGTTTGCACCACTGGCGGAACAATTTCAGATTCTGGAGAAATATCAAGTATCTGTGGAAGAAAAGGTATAAATAAAAGTAGAATAAAATCTTTCATATCGGATATCAGTTATTATTCACCCAAGGGTGACTGGGGTATAGAAATGTTGTCATCCCTTGGTCTTCTTCAGACTGGAAGTAAAACCCTTTTCAAAGTAGGCATCTGTTTCATACCTGTCAACTGACCCGAATCCTGCGGGTGTGACCCGAGATTCACAATTCTGAGGGGTCACCCGGAACCCCCGCCGGGTGACCAAATATACCCGGGAATTCGGAAAATAACACGTTTTCACCCTGATTTCTTAGCCTTCAGACTGATTAGATATAAAGTGATTTCAATGAAATACCGGCAAATTCGTAATATTCTTCCTGGACAAGAAGTTCAACTAGCTGTGTAAACTCAGCTCAATTGACCCATTTCAGTGCATGGCTTCACTTGACAACTTTGGTGTCAAACACACTGTTAATTAACACCAATTACCTTAGCTTTAGGTCGTAAATAATTTGTGTATTTCAAAGTTGTTTTAAAAACAATTTGAGTTACTTCCCCTTTTTTGTCAATTCACAATATACTCCTTAAACTTATATGTTTTTTTTGTAAAAAGATTAAATCTAAAATGAATTGAATGCACACACATATCAGAATAATACTTTTACTTATTGTTCTACCTTAGAACAATTAAAAAATAAAAATTTTGAAAATTACTTTTTTCATCTATACCTACTTTAATTGTTTAACTTTATTTTATTATACTCTAATATCAACATATGATATGTTCTACTGTTTAAAAGCTGCACAAATGTATGTAAAGAAAACACAAATTGGCACATTGTATGTCATGGAATGAATATGATCAGGAGTTAAGGCAATGTAACACAAATCTATCAATGGCCTCCAGGTGCAATGAAATAATAATATGTACAATTTTAAATTACTTAACCATGTGGACATGTTTTGGAAACTTTGATATAAATTATAAGAAAAATGTCCCCTAAATACTGAAATTCAGCTCGAAAAAGTTTGTATGCGTTATGACCTGAGATTTCATTCTTCTATGCAGGTCATCACCTGCATTTTCATTGTCATAGGTTGACAGGTATGCTGTTTGATTGTGCAGGATGCATAGATTTGCAGTAATGTCTGGTCAGAATGGGGACATTTCATTAGATGGATTGTGTAGAGAGAGTCCCACACACTCTGCATGTTTAGATTCCTAACAACAACTCTTTGAACAATGTCGCAAAGCTAAATTTTTGTCCTTATATAATACTTATTGTAGAATCTACCTATTGTAATTATTTTATTGTTCTCCTCTTGAACATATACGAAATATTTGTCACTGGGCATTAAGCAAACAATAATCAATCAATTATTATTCTATAAATCTCTTTCATGCAATGTATATTTAAAATTTCTGTATTTTTCAAAGGAGAAATGTCCAATGATTGTAAAACTTCATTACACACCCTTTTATTAAGGAGGGCAAAGTGCTTCTAAATAAAGTATTATGTAAATCATTCTATAAAGATTGTCACTTAGTCTTATTTATCGATAATAAAAATAAACATGACCAATAAACAAGGGAGACAATCGCATAAATCTGTATGTATTAGGGATATTCTGACCAGTAAATGAGGTACATTCTGACCGGTGTATGGGATATTAAGAACACCTACTACTGTAAGGTTCTATCAATCATTAATATATATTACTTTAGAATTAGGAAAGCAATATATTATCTGCCATTTCTGTTTTAATGATTTAATTTGCTGACATCTTTAAAAATTGTTTTGAAAATTGTTTTGAACACTTTCTGTTACAGTATCTGACCACACAAGAAAAACTAAAAGACGAGTGGATTATATTCCAAGAGAGTTTGAAAGAGGCTGAAGGCATGCTGAAGAAACATAAGGTATATTTTTGTAGTAATGAATACATTGACTACTGTAAAACATTCTGTTGATATTTATTTCACCTACATATTGCTTGAAATACCTACTGTATTTGGTATACCTATAATTAAATGGTGTTGTGTGGTAAATTCATACAAAAACTATATTTATTTCCTGGTCAGTGCACTTAGACCCTGCCTACGATAGTAGAGGGCATTATCTTTTTTTCGGTCTGTACATCTGTCTGTTTGTCTATGCAAATCCTATATGAATTATTATATATATTTCCAGGATATATTTAAAGCAGGATTACTAGCTCAATCTGATGAGTTCAAGAAAAAAGTACATTTCTTGTTAGATAACTTTCAGAAGAATGGACCGTTCACTAGTACTTTAGGAACAGGAGAAGCTTTAGAAAGTATCAGTGTGGTACAGGAACAACTCATGGCCTTCAAGAAAGCTCAACAAGAGATAAGAGATGGTCTTAATATCTTCAAAATAGATCAGCCACCAAATAAAGAAATAGCTTTTATGGAGAAGGTATGAAAATAGAAATGCTCTCACAATATTCATGATTTTAGAACAGCCCCTAATAAAGAAATGGTTTTTATTGTCTCGCCTTGACAGAGTCAAAAGCGAGACATAGGTATGCTGTTTCCGGCGGCGAGGGCGTCAATAATATATTAGTTTGTGATTAGGTCTAGTTTATGGTGAACCACTAGTGGTAGGTAAATAATATTTGGTATGCAGTTGTATTAGCATTGGCACATCTCATTACCATGGAGATTATTTTGCCCCGCCCCTCAGTCATGGTCTGTTGACTTTGAAACTTTGGTTAGTTTACATGTATTAGTCTGTGATTAGATCAGTTTATGGGGAACCACTAGTGGTAGGTCAATGATATTTGGTATGCAGTTGTATTAGCATTGGCACATCTCATTACCATGGAGATTATTTGGTCCCGCTCCCTCAGTCATGGTCAATTGACTTTGAAACTTTTGCTTAGTTTTCATGTATTAGTTTGTGATTAGGTTAGTTTAAGACGAACCACTAATGTGAAGTCATTGATATTTAGTATGCAAATGTATTGGCATTTGCAAGTTTCATTTCCATGGAGATTACCGTATAGCAGGTTATCTTCGCGGGTGTAAAATTTCGTGATTTAGGGGCAACAAAGTATCCGAAAAATTTTGGCGGTTTTTATTTTAGCGGATTCTTAAATCCCAATTAAACATTTTGTCGGATACTGAAAGTTGCAGTTAAAAAGTTGTTTAAAATTGACAAACAATGGCCTGTTGTTATGGTTAATTTTTTGTTTTTTTGTTTTTTTGTTTTTAATTCTATATAATTTTATTTGAAATGTACATTTGTTAGAGATACATAAAGTACCGGTACCTTATCCCGGTCTCGTTGACGTTAGTGTATAGCATTTCATAAGGTTAGTACTTGTTAGTACACAACATACAGTTTTGCTAATAAATAATGTATAACACAATAAAAAGAAATTACTATGATATATTATAAATCTTAGTTAAGAAGATAAATTAATTTTTTCTGCAACCAAATTGTAGAAGTTTTTATATTTGCCTTGTTTATTTGTCAATATTTCGTAATGTTGGAGAAGTTCACTTTTAAAAAGTTATTATTCTTATTTATTTATTTATATTTTGATACAGTTAATCAAAAGAATACCGGTGTACATAGTTATTTGTCACATGTGTACAAACTTCTTGTAAATGTTACGGTTGATTAGTTACGAAATTGACTGGACCTTTGATGTACTAATTAGATTATAAAATTGTCATAATTAACTTGCAACTATTATATAATTTGACACTAATTAATAAGGATAAAATACCTGACAGCATACTTTACACTTTTTATTATATAACCAATAAAACTAATTAACACCTGACAGCCAGTGTAGAATGGTGTTTGTTATTTATGTTGTTTAAATTAATATAAACCGTTATTGATCCGTTGAACGGGAAAAAATAGTTAGTTTTCAAAACGCTTTAGCTATTAGAAAGTATCGACCGTATGCATAAATTTTCGCGGAATTTATTTTCGCGATTTCCCCTGACCAGCCAAAATAAGCGAAAATAAACACCCTGCGAAAGTAACCCGCTATACGGTATATAACCCCAACCCCTCATTATGGTTCATTGACTTTGAAACTTATACATAGTTTACAAGTTAATGTTTGTGTTTAGGTTTGTTTAAAGGGAACGACTTATGAAAAGTCAATGATATTTGGTATGCAGTTGGCACATCTGGTTTCTCACAGAGGAAAGTCGCCGAAAGTGAGATATAGGGATTGCTTTTCCTGCTATGGTGACAGCGATGGCGTCAACAATTGTTAAGTTTTCTGCCTAAGTTAGTTTGATAGGAACTACTTGTGATAGATCAGTACATATCAGTTTGACGAATATTTTGAGGCCCCACCCCCTTGGTCCAGTGACTTTGAATTAATTAGCAATTTTAAATGTTAAGTTTTCTGCTTATGTTAAATTGATAGGAACTACTTGTGATAGATCAATGATATTTTGTATGAAGTTGCTTTGCTATCAGTACATATCAGTTTGACGACTATTTCAAGGCCCTGCCCCCTAGGTCATGGTCCAGTGACTTTCAATTAATTAACAATTTTCAATGTTAAGTTTTATGCTTAAGTCATTTGATAGGAACTATTTACAATAGACAACAATATTTTCTATAAAGTTACATTGCTGTCTGTACATCTCAGTTTGTCGACCATTTGGAGGCCCTGTCCACTAGTTGGTCCAGCAACTTTGAATCAGTTAATAATGTTGCTGTCCATCAGATTGTCTTTTTTTTGAATTTTATGCCGACAGGCGAGACATATCTCTGTGTCAACAGTTTAGTTGTTTTGTTTTTGTTTTTTTTTAACCTATAAAGGAATCGCCTTGTATATTTAAAGACTTCATTTAGATAAGCTAATATAGTTTTGCAGGGCAGGGTGTTTCCTTTTGTGAGCTTACTCACAGATATAGTTTTATAAGAGGAATTGCAATATATAAGCGATAACTGATTGGTTCGCTAACTTAAATGTTTTATTACAGGATTTACAATATATAGAAGATATCTGGTTAATGAACAAAGAATGGGAGACATCGTGGGCTGAATGGAAAGGTAACAAGTTTGAAGATCTACAGACAGAGACCATGGAAGCTACAGCTATTGCTGATCATAAGAAACTAGTAAAGTACAGTAAACTGTTAGCAGTAAGTAGTCAGCATTTTTTTCTCATCTGTTTTACAAAATAAAAGAAAATTTTTTTTAGTTTATTTAAGCCTTTAGATTTGTTTCCTACTAGAATTACATCCTATGACCCTTCACAGAGCCATTTGTATGTCGGTATATAATCACTATGTTATTAAAAGATTATTTTAAGTTAAATGAAAATATTGATATATAACTTTTTATTCTTCCCAAACAATTGCTTGCACAAACATGTTCTATATTTGTGATGTTTCTTCATTCTAGGATAGGAATTGGGAAGTTGTTGAGACTAGTAAAAATCGTGTTGATCAGTTCAGACGTACCATGCCCCTGATTAATGACCTGAAAAATACAGCCATGAGAAAAAGACATTGGGACAAAATTCAGGTATTACAGTGTAACATGTATATCAGAAATAGATGATATTGTTATAATTAAATCCTTGCAAACAAAGTTGGGTGGAGAGTATAAAGGAATCACCATGTCTGTCCATGTGCCTTGTAAGCACAACTCCTCCTTACTGCCTGGATTGATATTGATGAAATTTTATACAGTAGTTGAATACTATCTGAGGATGTGCATCAAGGAATATAATCTCAAACATGTTCAAGGGTAGATAATCAAATTTGCAGTGAAGGTATCTTTTTATGAGTTAACTCACAGTTTTAGTTGTCCTTGGTATGAAAATATATATGAATGGTCAATTTAGCCAATAAATCAAATGTATTTCATGAAATGAAATTACAATTAATTCAGATATATGGGAAAATTATTCAATATTTTTACTATTTGACTCATAATTGTTGAGAAATGATATTGAGCCCCCAACATAACAGTAAATTTATTTTTATGTCCCTACCGTAGCAGAGGGGGCATTAAGTTTTACCCTTGTCCATACGTACGTCCCAAAATTGGTTTCTGTTCTCTAACTTTAGTTTGCCTCAACCAAATGTTATGAAACTTATACACAATGCTTATTACCACAAAACACAGATCAAGTTTGAATTTTGGTGGCGTCACTTTTACTGTTCTACAGTTATGCCACTTTACAAATAGAAAAATTGCTGAATTTTTCCTTTCCGTTCTCTCACTTTAGTTTGCCTCAACCAAATGTTATGAAACTTACACACAATGCGTATTACCACAAAACACAGATCAAGTTTGAATTTGGGTATCTTCACTTTTACCATTCTAGAGTTATGCTCCTTTACAAATGGAAAAATTGCAGAATTTTTCGTTTCCATTCTCTTAACTTTAGTTTGCCTCAAACAAATGTTATGAAACTTATGTGCAATGCTTATTACCACAAAACACAGATCAATTTTGAATTTTGGTGGCCTCACTTTTACTGTTCTAGAGTTATGCCCCTTTACAAATGGAAAAATTGCAGAATTTTTCATTTTTGTTCTCTAACTTAAGTTTGCCTCAACCAAATGTTATGAAACTTATACACAATGCTTAATTACCACAAAACTCAGATCAAGTACAAATTTGGGTAGTGTCACTTTTACTGTTCTTGAATTATGTCCCTTAATAACGTTATATGCAAGCGGGGGCATCATCTGTGTCCCATGGACACATTCCCCATTTATTTTTTGAGTTTCCTTGGTTAAAAAAGAGCAATGCAGTTGCTGTGTAATTATTTAGCCAAAATGTTCTTGAATTTCACTTTCCTTGCTTTCAGGATGAAAACCCTTACTACATAGTACACTATAGAAGGCCCCAACATGGCCTGATTTATGTTCCATACAATAAATGAAATACAAATATGATATACAGCAACAAAAGATAACCACTGAATTACAGGCTCCTGAAATATTACTCAAGCCTACATTTCTTGTAGGACTGTTATGAAATTTATGTCAGCAAAGTCTAGAAAAAGCTTGAAAATTTGCGTGGATAACATTTTTAACAGGAATAATATCTGTTGGAAGATTTTATGAAATTCATATGAAAAATTTGTATCAGTAATGTTTTGGATGAGTTTAAACAACCTGCCCATCAACAGTAGTCTTGATAGATGTATATAAATACAATGACAATTAGTTTCACTTTGTGTTTAGGTAATGACATCAGATGTTTTAATAATGACATTAAGTTTCACATTGTGTTTTAGTGATGAAATTAAGTTTCACATTGTGTTTTAGTGATGACATTAAGTTTCACTTAATATTTACAGAATGAGATGGGGAAGGATTTTGATCATAAATCAAATGATTTTACTCTAGAGAAGATTATAGAGATGGGATTTGATCATTATGCAGAACTAATACATGACATATCAGAGGCTGCCAACAAGGAGTTAGGCATTGAGCAGGTAATTATACATTCTGGGATTGCTCTGATGTCTGAGAACTAGGAATTATAGAGTGATTAGTCATTGTACAGGTAATTATACATTCTGTGATTGCTCTGATGTCTGAGAACTAGGAATTATAGAGTGATTAGTCATTGTAAAGGTAATTATACATTCTGGGATTGCTCTGATGTCTGAGAACTAGGAATTATAGAGTGATTAGTCATTATGCAGGTAATTATACATTCTGGGATTGCTCTGATGTCAGAACTAGTAATTATAGAGTGATTAGTCATTGTACAGGTAATTATACATTCTGGGATTGCTCTGATGTCAGAACTAGTAATTATAGAGTGATTAGTCATTGATCAGGTAATTATACATTCTGGGATTACTCTAATGTCTGAGAACTAGTAATTATAGAGTGATTAGTCATTGAGCAGGTAATTATAGACTTTGTAAATTGATAAGTCACCTCTGACAGTAATTGTCTTATGTAAAAGTGTTCAAAGTAGTGAGAGAAATACTGAGCAGAAATATACACCTAGTTCGTAATAAAATCTGTATCATTGTATGATAGCAAAACAAAACATATCTATTAGATTTTTTTTTATTCAGATAAAGTTAAAATAAATGGATTTAAAATGCTTCTTGCTTTAAGCTCTCTTTTATTACTTAATTTTCATCTTGTTACTATTAAAATGTTTTACATCTGTATAATGTATTTTTTGCAGGGACTCGAAGTAATAGAAGCTGTATGGAATACAACAGATCTTGAAATTATACCATATAAAGATAGAGGTCACTATAAGCTAGTGTGAGTATTAGGTCCAGATTATACTGTATAAAGGTAGAGTTCACTATAAGCTAGTGTGAATATTAGGTCCAGATTATACCTTATAAAGATAGAGGTCACTATAAGCTAGTGTGAATATAGTGTATGTCAAGATTATACATTGTATCCCTTAAAGATTAGGGTCACTATTAGCTAGCATGAGTATTTTGTCAAGGTTATACAATTTAAAAGATAGAGGTCACGATAAGCTAGAGTGAGTATTTTGTCAAGGTTATACCATATAAAAGATAGAGGTCACTATAAGTTAGAGTGAGTATTGTGTCAGGATATAGATCACTCACAAATTGTTTTTCTGTTTACAGGAGTGTTGAAAACGTTTTCCTTTGCTTAGATGAAAATCAGATGCGGCTATCATCAATGAAAGCCTCCAGATTTATCAAAGCTTTTGAAATTGATGTTGACAGATGGGAGAAAATTTTATCAAATATATTGGAGGTTATAGAAATTCTTCTACTGGTACAGAAAGAATGGATGTATTTAGAGGTTGGTACATTGTATGATTCAAATCGGAGCAAGTAATGATAGGTAGTAGAACACTTTATCTAACAATGAAAATTTACTGAATCTCTTCAATTGATGAAAATGAAAGGATGTATTTGGAGGTTGGTACACTTATAATTGTATGTAGACAGAAACAGGTGTGATGAGATGTTAGTAAAGAAAGAGATATTTGAATTGATATTGTTGAAGTCATAGAAATTGTTCTACTGGTATGTATAGATTTAACCATGTGTTTAAGGTCAGCAAGTTCAGAGGCTATACTGGTATGTAGAGATTTAAGTAATGTGTGAGGTCAACAAGCTCAGAGGTTATACTGGTATGTAGAGATTGGTGCATAATTTAAGTAGGCAGGAGGAATGTGTGAGGTCAACTGGTTCAAAGTAATACAGGGAAATTTCACTCACATGTATTTCATGTGAATTTAAATTCATGTGAAATTCACATGAATTTCACCTCAAACGAGCTTATACGTGAAACTCATGTGAAATTAGTTCATGTGAATTTCACGTGAAAATCACATGAATTTTTTTCACATGAAATTCAAGTGAATTTTTGTCGAGCCTGCGACTTTTGTCGCAGAAAGCTCGACATAGGGATAGCGATCCGGCGGCGGCGGCGGCGGCTACGGCGGCGGCGGCGGCGTTAGCTAACTTCTTAAAAGCTTTATATTTTAGAAGATGGAAGACCTGGATGCTTCATACTTTGTATATGGATGCCTCATGTTACGAAGTTTCCGTCAGTCACATGTCCAATGTCCTTGACCTCATTTTCATGGTTCAGTGACTACTTGAAAAAAAAGTTCAGATTTTTTGTAATGTTAAATTCTCTCTTATTATAAGTAATAGGATAACTATATTTGGTATGTGCGTACCTTGCAAGGTCCTCATGCCCGTCAGACAGTTTTCACTTGACCTCGACCTCATTTCATGGATCAGTGAACAAGGTTAAGTTTTCGTGGTCAAGTCCATATCTCAGATACTATAAGCAATAGGTCTAGTATATTCGGTGTATGGAAGGACTGTAAGGTGTACATGTCCAACTGGCAGGTGTCATCTGACCTTGACCTCATTTTCATGGTTCAGTGGTTATAGTTAAGTTTTTGTGTTTTGGTCTGTTTTTCTTATACTGTATGCAATAGGTCTACTATATTTGTTGTATGGAATGATTGTAAGGTGTACATGTCTAGCTGGCAGGTGTCATCTGACCTTGACCTCATTTTCATGGTTCAGTGGTCAAAGTTAAGTTTTTGAGTTTTGGTCTTTCTTTCTAATACTGCATGCAATAGGTCAGCTATATTTGGTGTATGGAATGATTGTAAGGTGTACATGTCTAGCTGGCAGGTGTCATCTTACCTTGACCTCATTTTCATGGTTCAGTGGTCAAAGTTAAGTTTTTGAGTTTTGGTCTTTTTTTCTAATACTATATGCAATAGTTCAACTATATTTGGTGTATGGAAATATTTTATGATCTATATGTCAGTCACGCAGGTTTTATTTGACCTTGACCTCATTTTCAAGGTTCATTGCTCAATGTTAAGTTTTTGTGTTTTTCGTCTGTTTTTCTTAAACTATAAGCAATAGGTCAACTATATTTGTTGTATGGAAGAATTGTTAGCTGTACATGCCTGCCTAGCATGGTTCATCTGACCTTGACCTCATTTTCATGGTTCATTGGTCAATGTTTAGTTTACTTGGTTAATGTTAAGTTTATGTGACAGTTGTAATAAAGCTTTATATTTAGGACTATCAACATAATATCAATGATTAGTAAAGAAGGCGAGACATTTCAGCGTGTGCACTCTTGTTAAAATAAAGTAATTCAAATAACATCTAAATTTTCAAATTTAATTAAAATGATGAAAAACACAATTCAAGTGAAGCTCAATTCACGTGAAATTCACATGAAAATTTTCACGTGAGTTTCATGTATAAGCTCGTTTGAGGTGAATTTCACATGAAATTTTTCACATGAATTTCAAGGGTGATTCATGTGAGCAAAATTTGCCAGTGTAGAAGAAATAGTAAAAACATTTGTTACATTTGGTATTTTCTGCCAAACTGATGAATTTCATCCAATAGAAAAACAGTTTTGATTTAAACAGTGGGACTTTTTGTAATGAGCAGAATTAATATTTTCAGAATATTTTCCTTGGAGAAGATATACGTAAACAGCTACCAAGAGAATCTTCTAACTTTGATGAAGTCAATGTGAAATGGAAAGCTATCATGACCAGAATGCATGCTGATAAAAATGCATTACGTTGTACACATCATCAAGGTAAATGTGTTTCTTTCCACTTGATTTCAAGTGATTCTCTCCACCATTTGCAGTTCATTCAAAATTCTGACCCAAAAGCAATTTGTTACATCAAATCAAGCTGTTCAACTGGACAGAACTTTTACTAAAATGCTTCAGAAAAACCACAGTCAAGTCATCAATGTTATAAATGTAATGTGAAAAATACATATAAATGAAAGAAGATATGGTATGATTGACAATGAGACAACTTTCAACCATAGAAAAAATGATGTAGAAGTTAGCAACTATAGGCATACACACAAAGAATTTGGTTTGATATACAAAAGTATTTTCTTGAAATGAGTTTTTAGGTGAGTAGGTATAAAAGTTTATTGGCACAGACTGTTTTAGAAATTTTGAAACCATATACAACATTTTAGTTTATGCATTGAACATCATAGCCTGAAACTTGCTTTAAAAGTAGGCTTTTAAAAAAATTGTTTGGTGTACATACAGATAGCCAAGACAAATCTTAGTTTCTGATGAATCCTACTCTGTTAATGGAGTAAACATAAATGTTAACAAAAAGGAGGGGCAGTACAAAAGGAGGTATTGCCAAATGGCATGAAATTTAATACCGTAATTGGCCTTGTATAGTTCGCACTGGTACATTGTCCGCACCCCCTTCTTGCCACGAGAATTCAGGAAAAAAACTTTTTGAAACTGTTAATGAAACTCCATTAATTTCAAATCGTGTGTGATTGTTTGTGGTATTTTCATGGAAAAACCTGTTTTCCATCATCAAATAGAATTTGAATGAGGAGGTCTTACCAAATGGCATAAAATTTCGTATGCTTGATTAAAATAAATTTTAAATACTATTTACTAATGAGTATAGAAAAGCTTTTAAATCTGGCAGAAACTAGTATGACTAGTAATTTCTTGTTGCATATGCTATCCTTTATGAAAAAGTAAATGTATTAATATGTTTTTTCAGGCTTGTTAGATGAATTGAATGAAATGAACAAGAAATTAGAAAGTATTCAGAAATCCCTTGAGGCCTATCTGGAAACAAAGCGTGGAGTTTTCCCAAGATTTTACTTTATTTCAAATGATGACTTGCTGGAAATACTTGGACAGTCTAAGACACCAAACTCTGTTCAACCTCATTTGAAGAAATTGTTTGACAATATCAGTTTCCTGGACATGAAAAAAGAGGCAATATATCAGTTCATTATTCACGAGAAAAGAACACAACTTTATTGTAACGAAAGGAGGATTTGACATATAAATTCATGACACAAATTTCTTTCACATGCATAACAAGACCCAAAGCAAAGGAACAGTGCTTTTATTGCTGTTAATAGGTTTCATAACAAGTGAGCATGGGATATTGCTTGATATGAACTCGAGTTATTTAACATCAATATAATAATAAACAAGCCTTGTGCGAGTTTATTATTACTACTTAAATTAAATAACAAAAGTTGATATCAAGCAATATCCAATGTTCACGAGTTGTTAAACCTATTTCTCTTACGATAAACATTCTCATTGTGTTACATAAAAAAAGAAATAGATAACAGTCCTCGACCATAAGAGAATCTTTATTTTAAAACCAAAACTAGATCTTCAACACATAGTAAAAGCAACAACATTAAAACCAAACTTGAACAATGGAAAAGGAAGGATATGGTTTATCAATATTCATGACACAAAATCACTACATATACTTGACAATACCCAAAGCAACTATTGACAAATAAAGGATTGTATGCAGACTTTGGCAAAACCACAAAATCTAATATCCATGAAAATGCAGGTTTTCCACAATCCACAGAAATTGGTACGCACGAAAATAAATGAATCCACAGTAAAACAAAACTGTTTGAAGTTTTTCATTGATCTGTTATATAGAAATTTTTATTGATATTTCAGGGAAAACATATAAAGGCCATATCAATGAACTCAGAAGATGGAGAAAAAGTAGAGTTTATCAATACTGGGGTGTTTCTAGATGGTCAAGTAGAGGTAGGTATATAAGGAATAATTTAAAAGAATTTACTGTGGGTTGCCTAGTTTCTGAATTTTTTTTTTTACCCTAAACAGATGGAGAGCTTACATATTGGATAGTAAGAGCTATCATATAATTAGCTGCTTCCATTTGAATATGAACGGACAACGGACAAATTTGAAATAAACAAGCCTAAGCATTGGAAGATTCTTTTAACGATTATTCCTTTTAAAGTAGATAGACACTGTTGAACTTGACATTCATCTGAGAATCAAATGGCAGCCATCTTGTATGGCTTCTAAGTTAATACAGTAATTTTTTTTTTAAATTTGCCACCATTTAGAAGTTTGCACATACTTTACAATCATATTTAAGCCAAAATCACCTGATTTTGGATTACCGTTAAAAGGCTTGTATAGTCCGCGGTTTTATTCTCCAAAATTGAACCTGCCAGACAGGGTGCGGACTATAGAGTACGATAAGCAAGTAATAAGAGAAAAAATCGATTTCTCGAGGTGGTTTGTTTACGTTCCGCCATGTTTGTTATTGATATTGTAGAGGGCGCTCTTATCATTTTCAAAACTAATAATTTTACCTAATCCATATTAATATGTTATTTTAATCAATATCAAATATACACTGATAAATTAAAAAATTAAATGCTTAACTACAAATTTCTCGTTTCTTTTCACTGAAAACTGGAATCTGCTTGAATTTAACGGAATGAAAAAAGTATAAAAGTAAACCAAGAACCAGCTTACGATGTATAAACTACAAAACGTAATCGGTTATTCTTTCCGTTTTGGTGTTTCATACTGACGCATGTGTTTTGTTTTAGCTCAAGATCCTTCAAACATTAATGTGATAGATATATTAAACATTGTTTTACACAAGGATGGAACTGTTTTACTTTCAAAGTTGTATTCTAGTGATATCTATTAAGTACGGATTTTCTGTACACTCTCACTGTATTTATTTTCTTTTACACGTGCTATTCAAACTTCCGGTTTAAACATACACAAGTTTTTAAATTGTTTTTTGTGTGATTTTGACACATTTTAACACTTGAGAAGTGTTCTAGAATTATTTACAAGCAGTTTCAACTTTTATTTGATGATGGAAAACGGGTTTTTCCATGAAAATACCGCAAACGACCACACACGATTTGAAATTACCAGAGTTTCATTGGACATTTTCTAACAGTTACAAAAAGTTTTTTTACCTGAAATTTAGTGGCGAGAAGGGGGTGCAGACAATGTACCAGTGCGAACTATACAAGGCCGATTACGGTACTTCATTTTCCTATGCCGAAAAAGTCCTTTTGGTAACTCCTCCATTAGGATAAATCTATTGAATGTATATCTAAACATATTTCTATCATGTCCCATAGACTTACCTTTATAAAACCACAATTTTATGCTAGTCTGAATAAAGCTTTTACCAATTAAGGATCATTAATAGTCATTATATACAAACATAGTCACAAGGTTTTGTTTTATAAGTGTTTTGTAGATTTATTCCTGTTTGAACTCAGGCCTTATGTTCATACCACCCATATTCAACCTTTGCTTATTTTTAATGTTGCCCCTTTAGAAAAGTGTATGTCATATGATAAGAAGCAACAAGCACAGCCACAAATTTAAAGATATATATATTTATGAAAATAATGTTCCTAATTTATCTGATCCATAGAACTGGTTAGGAGATGTGGAAGCAGGTATGGTTGATACATTGATGGAAAGATTGGTTGCTACTAAATCTGCATTGAAGAAATCCAAGAAAGACAAATGGCTGAAGGAACATCCTGGGCAACTCTGTATTGTTGCTAGTCAAATACAGTGGACCAGTGATACAGAAAAGGCCCTGAAACACGTCAGGATTAGAGGAGACAAAAAGGCACTGAGGACAATGAAGAAAAAACAGGTAATTTGGTATAAAGGGAAGGCCCTTAAACCTGTCAGACTAAGAGGAAACTAAACGCCCTGAGGACTGTGAAGAAAAAGAAGGTAATTTGGTATAAAGCAAGGCCCTCAAACCTATCAAGGTAAGAGGAAACTAAATGCCCTGAGGACTATAAAGAAAGAAGGTAATCGGGGATAAAGAGATGGCCCTAAAATATGTCAGAGTTTGAGGAGATTATAATGGCCCTGATAATTATGAAGAAAAACAGTTAATTTAGGATACAGAGAAGGCCTTGAAACTGGTCATGCTTAGATGAAGCAGAAAGGCACTGAGGACCATGAAAATAAAAAAGTTTATTCATGGTACAGAGAAGGCTCTGAAACAGGTCAGGCTTAGATTTCACAAAATAGGCCCAGAGGATCAACTATAAAAAAAAACGGTAATTAACAATAGTTAAAGGATGGCACTGAACGGATGTGTTTCATATATACATATAAACTGTAAATTCAGAAATTATTCTGTGCATTTATTATTGTGATTCCGACAGGAGTCCTGTCACAGGACAGACAAAAATATAATAATTATTGTGATTACAGGAAAAGCTTCATACAAATATATGTGTCAGATTTCAGAATGCAAATTCTTATTGCCATACTCACCAAGTGGCATTATTCATTATCATTCCTGAATTTACAGTATATTTATACATGTTATACCATAGTTCATGCTTCTCTTTCTTTTCCTCATCTATCCTCATTGAATAATTTCTTCAAAACAAGTCAAAAGATGGCCCAGATCCAGAGATGTGAGAATTACTGCATTTTCTACTGTGAAAATATTCATACTGATTTTTTTTCAGGTGACCTCATTGAACAAGTACTCAGAAATAATACGGTCAAACTTGACAAAGATCCAGAGACTGAAAGTTACTGCCCTTGTTACTATAGAAGTTCATGCTAGGGATGTAATAGAAAAGTTGGTAAAGTCGGGATGTAATGATGAAAACGCATTTGAGTGGCTCTGTCATCTTAGATATTATATGGAGAAGGTAAGTTATAACTTATATCTCATATAAGGAAGTTGTATCTCATAAAGGTAAGTTGTATCTCATAAAGGTAAGTTATACTATGTTCATGTCCCGAGTAAGGAGCCTGTAGTCTAGTAGTTGTAGTTGATTGCCATAATTGTTTTTCCTTTAATATTGTAAGATTAAATAAGTATTAGAATGACTTTGTTCTTCATATCTTGTCTGTGGTTTGTCTAGTGGCAATCTGTGTGTAAAGCACTTTTCCAATCTGTCAGACACATACTTACTGTTTTCTGATGCTTTAAATTACAGTACTTAGCACAACAATTTCATAGTATTTAAAATGACCAGTTTAATGATAGTAATAACAGAAGTATGACAAACTGAAGATTCGTGAATTTACCTTCCAGTGGTAGAGTTGTTCTATCAGATTTGTTCTGAACATGATAATTCATTTAGTTTGAATGAAAGTTGTATGTTTGTTTGGAATTTGTCAAATAGTCTTGAGCTTATATTCACACTTTAGGGTTCAAGGTTGAGATTTTAGATTCAGGCTACTTTTTAGAAATTATACAAGCAAAAATATATTGAATGAAAAGTATTACAAATGTATATGTTCTATCTGCCAGGTGTCTTTTTACCATGACCTCATCTAAAAAGTTCAATGACCTTAAAGTGTTTGAAATGTTTCAGGAGTCGATACAGTTTTTAAACGGGATAACTATTGTTATTTTAAGGACTAGAAACTCTGACTAGTCAGTACTTTTTGTAATATTAGTGTAAAGCATTAGATTTCCGTTATCTAATCTATGTCACTTTTGTTCTTTTCTTAAGGATGTATTCTTCTGACGTTTCAGTCTCGTTGAAATCTTGTTCTGGAATTATTTCCAAAACATGTGAGACAAGTGGAAAATAGCAATGAATTTAATAAATATCATAATCAAACTTAACTCTGTGAAAAAATTGTGTATTTACAATAAGTAGTTTTTAAGTAATAAATTTTTCAATTTTATTACCAATCAAGTCAGTCTTTTAGCCAAAATTTTGAGAAAAAGGGTGAGGGGTACAAGAAATGATTTTATCAGAAACATGTACATCCCATATCACTTTTTTCTTTTCAAATTTCTTAGATATGTATTTTTTCAATCATTTATAACAAAGAAGTTGAAATAATATGCATTTTGTTCTTAAAACAGAGAAAAATCACAAATTTACAAAATTGACAGCATGGTAAATTTGACACAAAAAAGCATCAAAATATGATAAAACTTTCTTATATTAACACCTACCTATAGTTTTTTTAAATTAAATTTATTCAGATTGGTCCACTTCATCTTTATTGAAAGTATGAAAAAAAGTTTAATTGTGGAACTGTGATTTTTTTCACGATAATAGCCCAAAAATGGGTAAAAATTGGTGAAAAATGGGAAAATCATCAAAATTGGGTACTTTCAAAGGGCCGTAGCAAAAAAAGAAGTGCACCACCATATGGTTTTTTCTTCACCAATTATTTTTTTATAGTCTTATAAACCCAAAAATCAGGTTAAGAAAAAAAGTTTAATTCTAGAAATTTTTGGTCCTTAGAGGTGTACATCCTTAATATAAACTATTGTAAAAAACAAAGGATATGATTTCCATGTGTACAACAAATGTTCCTTGAATTATCCTTCATCCAGTATGCTCAAAACATAATGTTTTGAAAGCAAAAAATAGTAAAAATGTAATAATGTTTTATTTCAGGATCAGACAGATGATGTTTGTGTCATCAAACAGACCAATACTGATTTTAGATATGGCTGTGAATATCTCGACTCTAGACGTCTGGTCATCACACCATTGACTGACCGTTGCTACATCACACTGACCACTGCACTACATCTCCACAGAGGAGGCAGTCCTAAAGGTCCAGCTGGTACAGGGAAAACTGAGACTGTGAAGGATTTAGGAAAAGCCTTAGGAATGTATGTGATTGTTGTCAACTGTTCAGAAGGGCTAGATTTCAGGTCCATGGGAAGAATGTTCTCTGGTTTAGCCCAGGTATGTAGTAACTTTTACTTTTACACATGAACCCAATCTTAATCATTAATAACTGGCAACACATTTTCATGAATGATCATAAAATACAAAATGTTTTGATTGATTAAAATTCAGTTTAAGTCAGTCATAAAAATATTTTCAACTATTGATGTAGATTTAAATTATTTCTTGGATTTATAAATGTGATTTTTGATGAATAGATAAAAATATGAGATTAGTCAATGCCATTTAGAAAATGCTGCATACAGATGACGATAAAAGCATTTAAAATGTAAGGTCCCCTGAATAATATGATGATGATAATCCTGTTGCATGTTTCAGCAAAAACTTATTCTTAAAGCAATAAATAAAAAGAATGAGAAAATCACACGAAAAAAATATATTGTTGTTTATTATCCTTAATGACTAGAATTAATTTCTTTATTTACAGACAGGAGCATGGGGATGTTTTGATGAGTTCAACCGTATCAATATAGAAGTATTGTCTGTGGTGGCACAACAGATACTGTCAATACTGAGTGCCCTGTCATCAAGGGCCAAAAGATTTACATTTGAAAGAAGGGAAATAACCCTCATACCAACTTGTGGAATATTTATCACAATGAATCCAGGTTTGAGTTTTCCTTTTTACTTTTCAGGGTATAATACTGATGCAAAACATTAAATGGAAAGACAATATCAACTAACTAAACTTTTAAAGAGGTAAAGCATTGTGACACTGAAGAAAGCGCTCCACTTTATTTTATTTTATTGAAAAAATTTACACATTATAACAAGAAAATTTAACATCTAGATTTGCATATCTCTTAAGGTAGTATATGTACATTTAAAACTGTGATTGAATTGCATTTATTCACATAGAATATTTTACTAAAATTTGCAAATTTTAACATTAAAAATACAATTTATTAGCCAGAGCTTTGCTTAGAATGAAGATTTTGTACCCTCACTCAGATGGCTATATTGTTATCCAGTCCTTTGTCAATATGTTTGTCCAACTAATATATATGATATGAATGATTTTAATATTATAGCTATGGTCTCCTTTCTATTACAGTGTATGCTTGAAGGGCCAAGCTTCCAGTGAATCTTAAATCTATGTTTCGACCTATAGTTATTGTCTTCTTTCTATTACATTGTTTATCTTTAGACAGTCTTAAATCTATGTTTCGCCCTATTGCTATAGTCTCCTTTCTGTTACAAGGTATGCATGAAGGAACCAGCTTCAAGACAATCTCAATCTATGTTTTGTCCTGTAGCTATGGTCTCCTTTCTATTACAGGGTATACAGTATGGACAGAGCTTCCAGACAATCTAAGTCTATATTTTGACACTTTACTTTAGTCTCGTTTCTGTTACAGGTTATGCGGGAAGAACCGAGCTTCCAGACAATCTGAAGTCTATGTTTCGACCTATAGCTATGGTTTCACCAGACTCTACACTGATAGCAGAAATTATTCTGTTTGGTGAGGGTTTTAATAACTGTAAAGGACTGGCCAGGAAAACATACACACTCTACTCACTAGCAGAACAACAACTCTCTAAACAGGATCATTATGACTTTGGATTGAGAGCTTTGGTGTCTGTACTCAGATATGCTGGACCAAAACGAAGGACCTCTCCTAACCTATCTGATGAAGAGGTCTGTATAGTTATTTTTGTATTTTGTAAAAAAAACAAAAATTACCAGTTTTGTATCTCAAAGAAAAATTGTTTTTTTAACTGGATTTCTGAAAGAAAAATCGTTTATTGATTCGGGCATCCGGGCGGGCGGGCGGGCGGCTGCCAAACAGTGTCCGTGCATTTACTCATGAACCGTTCAACCAAAGCTTTTCAAATTTTGTTATGTTGTTACAAATAACAATCTTCTGACAGCCTCTTGTTTTATATTGCTATGATTGAAATAAATCTGTTGATCTTTGAAAATAACAATTTTAATCAAATGCTTGAAATTGATGAAATGATTATTTCTTTAAAGAATTGAAGAAGAATATGTTGGTTCTGTTTTAATTAAGAATGGGGTATAACAAATATACCTTTAAATAACCTAAAAATAAACTTAGAAAAATACAATGTCCACAGATACTGATTACAAATGATCCTTGTGAGAACAATTGACTATCATAGTCCTAACTTAGTACATGCACTAAAAATGGTGGGTAAAACCAGTTTCTACAGTCCTATGTTTCTTTGGGTCAAGGTCACAAAAGGTTCATGGCTGTGCTTTATGCATCCTGCAAGAAGGAAATGAAAGTAGCAAAGCTAACATAGGCTGACCTGCCATTGTTACGTGTGGTGTTGTGTAATTACATGTGTATTTATTTATAGGTGTTAATTTTGTCCATGAAGGATATGAATGCAGCAAAGCTAACATCGGCTGACCTGCCATTGTTTAATGGAATTATATCAGATCTTTTCCCTGGGATAGAAATGCCAAGTGTCGAGCATACTATTGTAAGTTTTGATGTTTGTACAAATAGTAAAAAGTAGAAATGAACCAATAATTATCTTTATTTATTTTATTTTCAGTTTTATTCTTGTGTTTGTATAAACCAAATTGTTTAACTGTATTGATTTTAGGTTTTACAAATTTTGTGTTTTGATAATATATGTAGAAACTTATAAAGTCAGAAAGGGAATATGTGTAAAGTTATAGTTCATTACTTTGAACATAAAACTGAAAGTGAATTTTCAGATCAACACAAATGATTACTCTGCCTTATCGTATGATGCTTTCATATTTCAATTGATCACATTCATGTTCACATTATACAGAATTAATTAGTGAAGAGTGCTCATAGCATAAAAACTTCTCCGGCAGGGTTATGAGGAAGCAGGACTGATATTGTCACTACACAAGTTTTACAGTCAGTCAGTCACTAATGCGAATTGGTTGACAAATACAATAAGTCTGTGTCTCAACTCATGAGAGACATGTTTTCAAAGATACCAAAACAGTTGTCAGATCTAAATTTACCAATATTGTCCTTTACTTTATTATGACATTTTGATCTCTGGGTGTCAATTAAAGACAACTAGCTTAAAGTTGATGTGTAAAAACAATGATTTACATTTTTTTTTAAATGTAAAAGGTCTTTGCAGTATGAAGTTTACAATATTTCGATGATGAAAATTATTTTTTTTATTTACAGATGAAGAATGCCATTGTAGCACAACTGAAGAGTACAAGTTTGCAAGCTCATACACATTCCATTAAAAAGGCAATGCAGCTTTACGAGACAAAGTCATCACGACACTCCGTCATGATAGTTGGAGGTACTCAATCAGGGAAGACAATAGCCTGGAAGACATTACAGGGGGCGCTCATATCACTCTTTAAAAAGGGGGATGAAAACTTCCAAAATGTTAAGGTAATTTAAAAACTTATTCAGTTTATCACATTTGAAAAAGCTATACTTAAAAGTAATCAAATTAAGAGGTTAAAGGTCACAATGCTTCAAGCTAAAATCTAAAGTGAATGATATAATAATGTATATGATAGGATAAACACTTGACTGTCAGTTATTTTTCAGTTGAAAGACACAATGAAAATTGAATAGCAGGAGATATCAAGGGAGCAATTAATCCCATAACTTGATGAAAGACAGACAATACCATGGCCTAAAAGAAAAACAATGAAAACACAAGTCCACAAAACATTAACAGAAAACAGAAGTTTAAGCAACACAAACCCCACTTAAAACTTATGTGAATTCAGGTGATCCAGAAAGTATAATTATTAATGTTATTAATTTTTTGTCTAATATTTAAAAATTCATTAGCCTATACACAGATACAAGAGCATTTGTGAAGTTTTTTTTCACAGAAAAATGATTAAACGTACAAAAACTCAAACTAAGAGCTTGATCTATTGCATTTTTTTATTTTCAGGTATTTCCCCTGAATGCCAAGGCTTTATCTCTTGGAGAACTGTATGGAGAGTTTGAGTTTAGTACCAATGAATGGACAGATGGAATATTATCAAGTATTATGAGAAATGCTTGTACTGGTATGTATTATTAACCCAAAACAATGTAACTCAAACTTCACATTACATTTCTTATTTCACTAAACATTATGAAGGTATGTCAAGTTTTGAAATCAGCTAATGTAACAACTAAAAAAGAAAAAGATCTATTAATTACTCTGTCAAATGACCGTCCCAGGGGTCAATGTTAAAATGTCTTCACAAATTGAATTCATGTTAAAGCTATGATAAAATTAGTTCAAAGATAAATCTGAAGAGAAATAAATGATTCTTTTTTTACGTTTTGTTTTATATTTTAGATAAGAAACCAGATGAGAGGTGGATTTTATTTGATGGCCCTGTGGATACACTATGGATTGAGAGTATGAACTCTGTGATGGATGATAATAAGATTCTGACTCTGATTAATGGAGAGAGAATTTCACTTCCTGATCAAGTGTCCTTGTTGTTTGAAGTTGGAGATTTATCAGTTGCCTCCCCTGCCACTGTATCTAGATGTGGTATGGTGTATGCTGATTATGAAGACTTAAAGTGGCTGCCATATGTTGAGAGTTGGCTACTTACTAAAAAGGAAAATGAGGTAAAAAGTTTAAAAAAATGAACAATAGATAACAACTTACACATAGTTCTAGATGGCAACATACACACAGTTTTCTCTTGCCAAAATAAAAAAAAATCATTTAAGATCACAAATTGAAGCATCAACATGTTTATCTTTTTCTTAGTACTTGATGAAATGAAAAGAATTATTGTAAAGAGAGGTTGTACTTCTGAGTTAGGATAGTGATCTTATATAACATTTAATGTGATTTGAGACAAGTAGAGTAAATACTAAATAAGGTTGATATCTATACAAGTACTGGTTGAATAATGAAAGAGAATGTTTGACAAATACCTTGTAAAATTCTAAATAAATTGCATTCAGGTATAGGTTGAAGAACTGAATAGAATATTTGATAAGTACTGTACCTTAGTTGTAAAATGCTAAATAGGGTTGATGTTTAAAGAAGTATTGGTTGAAGAACTGAATAAAATATTTGATAAGTACTGTACCTTATTGTAAAATGCTAAATAGAATTTATGTTTAAACAGGTATTGGTTGAAGAACTGAAGAAAATGTTTGATAAGTACCTTGTAAAGATTTTGACCTTCAAAAGGTACTACTGCCAAGATCTGATTTCTATTGCTCCCATGAATGGAGTTAGGTCCCTTTGTAAACTGTTTGATGCCTTAGCAACACCGGAAAATGGTGTAGATCAAACTGACCAATCAGAAGAAAGCCTTGCCCGGATAATAGAGTTATGGTTCTTGTTCTGTATGATTTGGTCTATTGGTGCCTCTGTTGATGAAGATGGAAGGAAGAGATTGGATAATTTTATTCGGGAAATTGAAGGAACTTTTCCAAATAGAGATACAATTTATGAGTATTATGTTGAACCAAAAGGAAAATCTTGGATACATTGGGATGAACAACTGAAAGCTGGATGGAAATATGATCCAAGGTTTGTCTTTAAGATTTTATGTTGTAGTTCTAATGGGACTAGATATATTCTAGGACTCATGCCTTTGTTTTTTTTATTCTGTTATCTTGTTAAAAATCAATAAGAATTTTGAGATGTACAAATTAAAAAAAAATTGTGACTTTCTTGTCAAATTCCTTCATGAGGACACAAATTTGTTATCTTTTTATGTACGTCTATTTCAGTATGCCATTCTACAAGATTATTGTACCTACAGTAGATACAGTGAGGTACCAGTACCTTGTGTCTACCTTGATTGACTCATTTAATCCTGTGTTACTTGTGGGACCAGTTGGAACAGGGAAGACATCAGTGGCAAACAAAACATTAAGGAAGAGTGATCAGAAGTCAAATTCTGTCCTTACCATCAACATGTCTGCTCATGTCAGTTGAATTTTTTATGCATTATTAATCTATTTGCACTTCTTTTTTAAAATGCATTTATATTTACACTGAAATAGAATCTTGATCAACAAAAAGGAGGCAGTATGATTTATGGTGTAGTTTTATTATAGAATTGAATGCTGTGTTTTGAAAATTTATACGAAATGAAAGCAAGTGAAGCATAGTGCTAAAAATATGATGATCACTTGCTTTCATATCGTATAAATTAAAAAAAAACACAGCATTCAATTCTTATATTTACAGATTTTTAAGACAAAATATTATATGTTATTCACATTTTGAATCTGAAAGTAAATCTTCAATCACAAAACTTCAGCAGAAATTGTCTAGTGAGATGAAAGCAGTATCATTCCACATGAAATCAACTATGATACGTCATATAGCTGAAATTGGCATATGAAGATGTTGATTTCAAAATAGATAGGTCGTGAAATATCTATCAAATTTTGATCATTACTGTACATGTATGGCATAGAATAATATATTTTTTGTTATATATTTATATATTTATATCTATTATCCATATTTAAAAGATATATTGTTAACTCCTTTTTTCAAATGAATAAAATGTGTACACAGTACAAGAACAATGCAAACAAAAATAGATTAATTAGGTAGGTGGAGCTAATAATTCTATAATATTGGGTTGCTTTCATATGAAATGAAAGCATATGATAAAATTTTTGACTGCATAATTCACCTTTTCCTCCCATCACAATTCCTTATAGATGAAAAATGTCTGCATGATTTTTCAGACCACATCCAACCAAGTACAAGAAATTATAGAGAGTAGAGTAGAGAAGAGGACAAAAGGAGTGTATGTACCGATCGGTGGTAAGAAACTTCTTACATTCATGGATGATTTTAACATGCCAGCCAAAGATTCTTTTGGATCACAGCCCCCTTTGGAGTTGATGAGATTGTGGTTAGATTATGGATTCTGGTATGACAGAGAGAAGCAAATACAGAAAGAAATCAGGGTAGGTTTAGATTACAGATGCTGGTATGACAGAGAAAAGCTAATACAAAAAGAAATCATTTTGTAGCAGAAAAATGTGGATGTGAGACATTCTGTTGTCTTCATTATTGAGGTTCAGACTGTGGTTAAAATTTGACTAAACATCAATAACTTTGTCAAACCTTCATGGAATTTTTATTAAACTTGGATAGGTGTTTTTTTATACGCCCGTTTACGGGATGTATTATGGTATACCGTTGTCCGTTGTCAACATGTCGGACAGTAACTCAAAAACGCTGTAACCAATTTGCATGAAACTTTGGTGAATTGTTTATATCTATTGACGTGAGCTCCCTTTTGATTTTTATAAATTTTAGATTTTACGTTTCTGAGTTATGGGGTTTTATTCATGAAAAAAGGGGGGATTTTCCAGTTTTCGGACAATAAGTCAAAAGTGCTTTGAGCAGTTTTCATGAAACTTTAGTGACTGGTTTATATCTATTAAAATAACCTCCCATTATTTTTTTTTATAAATTTCTGATATGACTTTATTCTTTGAAAAAGCGATGGGCGTATCATGCGCTCATGGCGTAGCTGTTTATTATAATCATAAGACAGTTTAGCAAATTTTTTGTTATCATCTTTTTTTAGATTTGGCTGTATTTTACTATTAAATGGACTTTGATTGTTTTTTTGCAGTAAACGTTAAGATACAATATAAAGTTAAAGTTTTTCAGACATCAAAAACTTTGCCAAACCTTCATGGAATTTTACAAGACTTTAAGATAAGCTTTTTTATGATCAAAACAAAGTTTTCAGAGCAAAATTTTGAAAACATTTTCTTCAATATTTCAATATTTGATCGATTAAAGAACTAATGTTATTTTTTGCAGTGTACATATAGATACATTCCGTGGTTAAAGTTTTTAGACAGCAATATCTTTGTAAAGCCTTTATAGAATTCAATCAAACTTTGTAAATGCTTATTTACAATTAAGAGACATTGACAGCAGCAATCATAGGCAAGACACAGGGTTCCATGTAACCCTTTACAAATTATTTTGGATCTGCATTTCATGTTGTGTTTATTTTAAATTTATAGGAGATGTTCTTGATAGCAGCAATGGGTTCCCCTGGTGGTGGAAGACAAGTTATCTGCCCACGTTTACAAAGTAGATTTAATCTGATCAACATGACTTTCCCTCAGGTTAGTATAAAGACTAGGAATGTTAACAGATAGCTGTAAGTTCTTCTTGTCCTGGACTTAAGATAGAATGTGTTTAAGACAGCTTTCCCTCATGTTAGTATAACATTGAGGATTTTAGTATGACATCAGTTAGTCCACTTTGTGGAGGTAGAAAAGTATTTGCCCTGATCTACGGAGCAGATTTATTATTCTTATCAAGATAACTTTCACATAGTTAAATATTAGGGGTGGGGAGTAGAATGATAATGCTTGGTCCACTTGGTAGTTGGAAAGTTATTTGTCTTTATCTACAGAGCAGATTTAATCTGATCAGTATCAAGTTCTTTCAATAGAACTATAGGAAGAATTGTAGAACAATGTAAGCTCGTAAATCTGCTCTGTAGATCAGGGCAAATACTTGTTTTCCTCCACCAATTGGATAACTGATGTAATCTTGGTTTTGGGAAAAAGTTTATCATCCTGATTTACAGAGATTATTAAGTTCTAAAAGTTCATCATTCTGAATGAAATAACTTTGAGAAATGTTCTCGTTTACTGAGTAATATGACTGTCCCTCAGGTAATTATCATGAGAAGTATATACTATAATTTGATAACAAGAGTTAGTGCCCTTTCTCTGATGCATTGTCACCATTTACAGCTCAGGTATACCTGGTAATCTTCTCAACATGATTCAGGTAAGAATGATGGCGAATGATAACAATGCCTTCATGGGACAAAGTGTTATTTGTTCCCTAATATGACAAAAATATTATGTTTTGCAACTTTTTTGCCCCACAATGATGAGCTGAGATGCATGCTAATTTACTCTTGTCTGTCTTTCTATCTGATCACAGTAAAGGTAAATGGTTTGTTCTGTTACTGTATACATACACTGTTGAACTGAGCATCCTCTTGAGCATGGGCTGCCATCAAGCATTAGTTGTCATGTTTATAAGTTTTTATCATAGATTTTATTAGTACTTGAGATGATTTATTACCATGATATACCCTTGTTCAAACATTTTACCTTATAAATAAAGATGTATTTAAAAGATTTAATTCTATTGACATGGCTTATTTATCAATAAAATAAATTGTTATCTTGCCATGGGGAGATAACTTTTCCACATATTTGACTAATTTTTAGGGAGATTACAACAAATTAATCAAGTTTTAAAGAACTTTGTGAAAAAGCAAGAAAACGAGATAACAATTTATTAGCATAGAAAACGAGATTGCAATTTATTAGCATCTTCAATTTTCCTCTCATTTTCTGGAATTTGAATTAAAATCTGTTTTTGTCAAAAAAGAAATAACTGTGAGAAAATACATAAATTCATTTATTTATAGTCCCTAGAATAATTTCAGCATCAACATTGGCTAATTTCAGTATAAATCTGGACTGATCATTTGCAGTCAATCCTAAACAAAGATTTAGGAATACTCCCATACTACCTTTTTATCTGTATTTAATTTATACACTTTCTATTAAACAGATCGTAGTCATGAGAATTCTCTACCGTTCCAGTACACCACAGCAAGAATAAAATTAACAAATAAATATGAACATGTTTCTGTATTACAGGATAATCAGATCCTAGTGATCTTTGGAGGGATGTTTAATCAGAAATTACAGGAATTTGAGGAAGATATAAAACCAATAGGAGATATTATTACCAAGGCAACAATAGAAGTGTATTTTGCTGTTCAGCAGAAATTCAAACCAACCCCTTCCAGAATGCATTACTTGTTTAATCTGAGAGATATTTCAAAGGTAAAATAAACTTAATTAAAACTCTTGCAGATAATAATAAAATGATATTAGAAGGTTTATGAAAACCAGATGATTTTATGTAAAAAGTGAATCTTCAACTGTTCATTGATTACTACTTATATAAAATAAGGAGATGTGGTATGCATGCTGATGAGTCAACTATTCTGTAAATCTGTAGGTCACTGGATAGCCTTTAAAAATGAACAAAACCAATACAATATTGTGCTCTATGATAAAAGACCCAAATAAAAACCAAAGATCTATTTTAAACTACAACAATTAATGAAAAACAATTATGTCAGACTTCAAACAACAACCACTGGACTACAGACTCTTGGATTGGGACAGGCACATAAAGAATTTATTATACTCACTTATTCTGAGTGTTTTAGGGAGACTTGTTTGTAAGTGGGTGTTGTAAATTAACTCCCTTTAGTTCTTAAGAGTTTTTTTTCTAATTTTTCTAACTGTATTTTCAGGTGTTCCAAGGAATGTTAAGAGCACACAAACATGTACATGATACCAAGAATGCTATGATCAGATTGTGGATACACGAATGTTTTAGGTAATACAAAGAATGCAATGATCCGATTGTGGATACACGAATTTTTTAGGTAATACAAAGAATGCTATGATCCGATTGTGGATACGCGAATGTTTTAGGTAATACAAAGAATGCTATGATCAGATTGTGGATACACGAATGTTTTAGGTAATACCAAGAATGCTATGATCAGATTGTGGATACACGAATGTTTTAGGTAATACAAAGAATGCTATGATCAGATTGTGGATACACGAATGTTTTAGGTAATACAAAAAATGCTATGATCAGATTGTGGATACACGAATGTTTTAGGTAATACAAAGAATGCTATGATCAGATTGTGGATACACGAATGTTTTAGGTAATACAAAGAATGCTATGATCAGATTGTGGATACATGAATGTTTTAGGTAATACCAAGAATGCTATGATCAGATTGTGGATACACGAATGTTTTAGGTAATACAAAGAATGCTATGATCAGATTGTGGATACACGAATGTTTTAGGTAATACAAAGAATGCTATGATCAGATTGTGGATACACGAATGTTTTAGGTAATACCAAGAATGCTATGATCAGATTGTGGATACATGAATGTTTTAGGTAATACCAAGAATGAATGTTTTAAGTAATACAAAGAATGCTATAATCAGATTGTGGATACACGAATGTTTTAGGTAATACCAAGAATGCTATGATCAGATTGTGGATACATGAATGTTTTAGGTACAAATGTAATACCAAGAATGCTATGATCAGATTGTGGATACACGAATGTTTTAAGTAATACAAAGAATGCTATGATCAGATTGTGGATACACGAATGTTTTAAGTAATACCAAGAATGCTATGATCAGATTGTGGATACACGAATGTTTTAGGTAATACCAAGAATGCTATGATCAGATTGTGGATACACGAATGTTTTAGGTAATACCAAGAATGCTATGATCAGATTGTGGATACACGAATGTTTTAGGTAATACCAAGAATGCTATGATCAGATTGTGGATACACGAATGTTTTAGGTAATACCAAGAATGCTATGATCAGATTGTGGATACACGAATGTTTTAGGTAATACCAAGAATGCTATGATCAGATTGTGGATACATGAATGTTTTAGGTACAAATGTAATACCAAGAATGCTATGATCAGATTGTGGATACACGAATGTTTTAAGTAATACAAAGAATGCTATGATCAGATTGTGGATACACGAATGTTTTAGGTAATACCAAGAATGCTATGATCAGATTGTGGATACACGAATGTTTTAGGTAATACCAAGAATGCTATGATCAGATTGTGGATACACGAATGTTTTAGGTAATCAAGTCATCTATAACAATGTAAATCTGCAACACAAATTCCTTTACAATATGTATTTATATAAAATAATTTTTTTTTAAATCAAAATTGAAATTCTGTTAAGCCATATTAAGAAATTCTGGGAATTTTTTCACAGTATTTGTTCTTGCATTATCTTGTAGATACAATGAAATACAATGTTTTGTATATTTGAAAGTTTGCAATTTCTTTTCAGGGTATTTTCAGACAGATTGGTTGATACCAATGACTATGAATGTTTTGTTGCCATATTAACAGAAAAGTTAGCATCTTTGTTTGATCAGACTTTCCACAACTTATGTCCAAATAAACAACCTCCTGTATTTGGTAAGTATTTTATGTAAATGTATGGTGAAAACTTAGTGTAAACCAGGGTAGGCTAGCCTTATACTGTTTTAGGCCTCTATTTAGGGTTTTATTTTATAGTTTTCCATTTAATTTTCAAATTCATTAGGTCAAATAAACCATTTGATACCTTATTCTTTTGTCTATTTGCAGTAATACTATTATATATTATATAAAGTTATCTCCCCTGGAAAAAAACACATTCTTTGTTCATGTAAGGGGAGGTTAGTTGGAAAGGGTAGAGGGAATTGGGAGTAGGTGGGAGGGAAGTGGGAATCAGCTATCCCTGTCCAACCCTCAATTTAACACTTTCTAATTTTTTATAAGTATATTAAGTTTATTAATACAAAAAGCATCCATGTTTCTTATAAATGGATAGTACTCTGAGTAATATCTTTACTATATGCAATGAAAGAAAAACACCAAATAAAAATGAACAGGCAAGATGGTTATTATCCGTCATTGTTGATATATTTTTTAACATCTTTCAATGATGCCAGTTAAAGGTCTGTTCTCAAATGCGGTATTTATTCATACCCAGTATGAATCAGTTTTGAATACATATGTTTGAAGACACTATTTTAATACAGTAGTAATATTTATAGGTGATTTTCTGAATGAAGAAAGGAGATATGAAGACATAACAGATATTGGAAAAATTAGGGATCACCTAAATGGTGTTCTAAAGATGTATAACAACACACCAGGGGCCATCAATATGGACCTAGTTATGTTCAGGGATGCCATAGAACATGGTATGATATCTGTTTTATGTGAAGGGAGGGTGACAACACATTCAGCACTATCAGGTTTGACCTTGTTATGTTCAGGGATGCCATAGAACATGGTATGATATCTGTTTTATGTGAAGGGAGGGTGACAACACATTCAGCACTGTCAGGTTTGACCTTGTTATGTTCAGGGATTCTGTAGTACATGGTATGATATCTGTTTTATGTGAAGGGAGGGTGACAACACATTAGCACTGTCAGGTTTGACCTTGTTATGTTCAGGGATGCCATAGAACACAGTATGATATCTGTTTCATGTGAAGGAAGGGTGACAACACATTAGGCACTGTCAGGTTTGACCTTGTTATGTTCAGGGATGCCATAGAACATGATAAGATATCTATTTCATGGGAGGGAAGGGTGACATCACCAGGGACTTACAGTATGGACCTTGTTCAGGGATGCCATGCCATAGAACATGGTAAGATATCAGTTTTATGGAGTGGAATGCAACATCATTCTGGGAATTGTAAAAATGGAGCTGGTTATATTATTCTTGAGGCTATATAACACAATAATATAGTTTCATGAGGAGGAGCAACACCCCTTGGACATGTAGAGATAATAGAATCACTGAAATATTGTTGATGTCAATAACTATTGATACATGCTTGATTGACAACTAGACATCTTAAATGTAATCTTTCTTCAATAAAACAATTATCATATTTTCTAGTGGTAAAGATAGTTCGAGTGATACGTCAACCATGTGGTAACATGCTACTTGTGGGGATTGGAGGAAGTGGACATAAAAGTTTGACTAGACTGGCTTCATTCATGTGTGGTATGTCAGCTTTTGAGATTGAGATTAGTAAACTGTACAGGAGAAATGAATTCAAAGATGGTATGTTAATACATCATTAGATATTAGATACCAATTATTCTGTATACAACAGGTTTCTATTTTCAATCCATGTGTGTTCTTCTTTTAAGAATCCTGGCTTGAATAAAAATCTGACAACCCTTCAGATACAGTATTTGAAAGATTCCATTGGACAAACCATTCGTTTTCATAAAAAAAAAGGAAACTGTTCCTCTTTCTTTCCATTATTCCACAAAAATATTTACAGACTACAAAATATTAATTTGCAAAACAAAGTTCTTATTCAATAGCTGAAGTTTTAACATTTTAATGATGTTTATAGAAAAGACAATGTTTTACAAAAATTAGAGTGAACAACACAAAATCAGGCTAAAACCTGCAAGGAACTAGGAAAAAAGTTTAGAATATCTATGAGTGGCATTAAACTTAATAAATGTTGGTGATTTTCTCTTTCATAGCTGTTTGACACCAATTGTGAAAAAAATCACGAAAGTCATTTGGAGTGCCTATGTTTGTTAAACTTGAAACTATTTTACTAGTGTATTGAACAAGCATTTTTTCTTTCTTTCTTCAGATTTAAAGAGACTGTACTGGCAAACTGGAGTTCTAAACAAACCCACAGTGTTTATTTTTAGCGACAGTCAAGTGGTAGAGGAGGAATTCTTAGAGGATGTTAATAACATCTTAAGTAGTGGAGAAATACCAAGTTTATATAATGAGGAGGAGTTTGAGGAGGTAGTGTATTGTCTTTTAGTACATAATGTCTGATATCTATTCTACAATTCTTGCCACATTTTTTATGAATTTTATATCAATTCAACAATGTTTTAAAGGAGTTATGTCTCCTTGAACTATATATTTTATGGAAAATTACATTGTAAAGGCTCTAGTGAAATTAATATCAAAAAGGTTTATAAATGCAATGTCTTTTGTGTCTTCTAGAATCAGTGTTGTTCATTTATTTGTACAGGAATTATGTCCCTTTGAAATGTAAATTATATGGAATGTTGCATTGTAAGCACTCTCACCCCCTACATTTCTTATCAGATTTTTTTGAAATTTATATTTGAGGTTTATATAATCAAGGTTTTGGACAAAATCATTAATTAGTGTAGATCAACTTTTTTTAAAAGGAACCATGCCCCTTGGAAATGGAAATTATACGGAAAATTGCAATGTTACCGATCTCATGCCTACATTTCTTGAAGAATATTTATGAAAAAATTTAAGAGAACCAAAACAAAATATTCAAGTAATTGGACAGATAAATTATGTGCTGTTCTTTTATTCCTCTAGTATTAAGACTTTAATAATAAAATAAATCAAAGTAAAAACAACCTTTTAGCCCTAAATTTGTAAATTGTCTTTCAGAAAATTTTATAAAATTTATTGTTGATTGATTGTTAGGTCAGAAATGAATTGTTAGAAGTTGCACAAAATGAGGGAATTGAGGATACTCAACAAAGTGTGTTCTCATTCCTTATTGGACGTGTGCGATCTAATTTACACGTAGTTTTGTGTATGAGCCCAGTTGGAGAACCATTCAGGCAAGAACTGTGTGACTTGAAATGTATATGTTTATTATTGTATTGGGAAACACATCTACTATTTGTGGTACTAGTATGCGTACTGTGAATTGCAATATTTTGCAGTATGGTTTTTTGGTTACACTTGTGTTTGGCTTAATGGACTGTGTTATCAGTTGGCACTATTGAGGGGATTTAATTTCATTTCACAGTTTTCATATGAATAATTTGAAATATTTAATTTAAATGGTTTATGAATGGTAAAAGAGGAATGTTTCTACTTTGAAATATTATTTATTTGTTTGAAGATTATATATATTTTGTGTTTTAGTACTCCTGCTGAAATCACAATAATATTTTTTTTCAGTTTTGTCCATTGTTCAATTATTACAATGATAAATGCATTTTAAAATTTCTGAATTTACAATATTATCTTCTCAGCAATATATAATCAGTGGTACACATATAATCTACGAACTTTGTACGAGTTTGAAATGACTGTCTTGTGACTATCTAGTGAGCATCTGATATAACTGACCCTAGACTATTTAATTTAGGGAATGATCTTTTCTAAAGTAGTGAATGACTGATCAGACTAACTATTGACATATTTTCTGAATAACTAATTAACTAATTAAGGAGTGACTGTTCCTTGGTTAATTTAGTGAGAAAATTGTCCATGACTTATTATTTTTAATTTTCCTCTTTGGTATCTTCTCCCCCTCACATTTGACTCATTAATTGGATGACTGATACTTGATTAGTTGAGTGCGTTATTGATCTAACTGATCTATGATTAATTTAGTAAGTGACTGATTTATGACTAACTAATTGAGTATCTGATTTATGACTAACTAATTGAGTATCTGAATTATGACGAACTAATTGAGTATCTGATGTATGACTAACTAATTGAGTGACTGATCCTTGACTAGTTAAGTGAATAATTGATCCAACTGACCCATCATTGATTTAATCAGTGAATAATTTAGTTAGTGACTTATTTATGACTAACTATTTGAATGACTGATCCTTGACTTGTTAAGTGAATGATTTATATGACTGATCCATGATTAATTTAGTTGTTGACTGATTTATGACTAACTAAATGAGTGACTGATCCTTGACTAATTAAGTTAATGATTGATCTGACTGATCCGTGATTACTTTAGTTAGTGAATTATTTATGACTAACTAATTGAGTGACTGATCCTTGACTAGTTAAGTGAATGATTGATCAGACTCATCCTTGAATAATTTAGTTAGTGACTAATTGAGTGACTGATCCTTGACTAGTTAAGTGAATGATTGATCAGATTCATCCTTGGATAATTTAGTTAGTGACTTATTTATGACTAATTATTTGAATGACTGATCTTTGACTAGTTAAGTGAATGATTTATATGACTGATCCATGATTAATTTAGTTGTTGACTGATTTATGACTAACTAAATGAGTGACTGATCCATGACTAGTTAACTTAATGATTGATCTGACTGTTCCTTGATTAATTTAGTTAGTGTCTTATTTATGACTAACTAATTGAGTGACTGATCCTTGACTAGTTAAGTGAATGATTTATATGACTGATTTGTGATTAATTTAGTTAGTGACTTATTTATGACTAACTATTTGAGTGACTGATTCTTGACTAGTTAAGTGAATGATTTATCTGACTGATCCATGATTTATTTAGCTGTTGACTGATTCATGACTGACTAATTGAGTGACTGATCCTTGACTAGTTGAGTGAATGATGGATCAGACTGATAATTTATTAATTTAGTTAGTGACTGAGTTATGACTCACTGATTGTGTGACTGATCCTTGACTAGTTAAGTGAATGAAAGATTCGACTGATCTATGATGAATTTAGTTAGTGACTGATTTATGACTAACTAATTGTGTGACTGATCCTTGATTTGTTAAGTGATGATCTGACTGATCCATGATTAATTTAGTTAGTGACTGATTTATGACTAACTATATACACTCCTTGACTAATTTAGTGAACTACTGAGAAAAGGAGATTTTGAGACGGCCCTTTTGAGTAAATGCTCCCAAATATTTGGTATCATGCTTACCCAATGATGATTACTCTGGTAACATCTTATGTCGTATGCACCAAATCATCAAAGGTTAATATTATTGATTCTTGTAAGGAAACATATTCCAGTGAGTGACTGGTCTGACAGATAATGAACTTATTTATTGAATGGTTTAACTGACTGATCTTTACAGTAAGTTGATGGTTAATTTTGTCAGTGAATTATCCATTCTAATTTTTAAATTGATGAATGCTTATGATTTATTCTATTTTACAAAAATTGTGTCTGATTATTATCTAAGTTTATGAAGTATGCCCAGTTGACTGGTTTATGAGTGATACTAAATTCATGGATGTTTATCATTTATTCTATTTCTACAGAAATCGTGTGAGAAAGTTCCCAGCTTTTGTGAACTGTACTACAATTGACTGGTTCAGTGAATGGCCAATAGATGCCCTAAATGAAGTAGCTGACAAGTACTTACAAGATGTTTCTCTTGACTCATCCTTGAATAATTTAGTTAGTGACTAATTGAGTGACTGATCCTTGACTAGTTAAGTGAATGATTGATCAGATTCATCCTTGGATAATTTAGTTAGTGACTTATTTATGACTATTTATTTGAATGACTGATCTTTGACTAGTTAAGTGAATGATTTATATGATTGATCCATGATTAATTTAGTTGTTGACTGATTTATGACTAACTAATTGAGTGACTGATCCATGACTAGTTAACTTAATGATTGATCTGACTGTTCCTTGATTAATTTAGTTAGTGTCTTATTTATGACTAACTAATTGAGTGACTGATCCTTGACTAGTTAAGTGAATGATTTATATGACTGATTCGTGATTAATTTAGTTAGTGACTTATTTATGACTAACTATTTGAGTGACTGATTCTTGACTAGTTAAGCAATGTTTGATCTGACTGATCCATGATTTATTTAGTTGGTGACTGATTTATGACTAACTAATTGAGTGACTAATCCTTGACTAGTTAAGTGAATGATTTATCTGACTGATCCATGATTTATTTAGCTGTTGACTGATTCATGACTGACTAATTGAGTGACTGATCCTTGAATAGTTGAGTCAATGATGGATCAGACTGATAATTTATTAATTTAGTTAGTGACTGAGTTATGACTCACTGATTGTGTGACTGATCCTTGACTAGTTAAGTGAATGAAAGATTCGACTGATCTATGATGAATTTAGTTAGTGACTGATTTATGACTCACTGATTGAGTGACTGATCCTTGATTTGTTAAGTGATGATCTGACTGATCCATGATTAATTTAGTTAGTGACTGATTTATGACTAACTGTATACACTCCTTGACTAATTTAGTGAACTACTGAGATAAGGAGATTTTGAGACGGCCCTTTTGAGTAAATGCTCCCAAATATTTGGTATCATGCTTACCCAATGATGATTACTCTGGTAACATCTTATGTCGTATGCACCAAATCATCAAAGGTTAATATTATTGATTCTTGTAAGGAAACATATTCCAGTGAGTGACTGGTCTGACAGATAATGAACTTATTTATTGAATGGTTTAACTGACTGATCTTTACAGTAAGTTGATGGTTAATTTTGTCAGTGACTTATCCATTCTAATTTTTAAATTGATGAATGCTTATGATTTATTCTATTTTACAAAAATTGTGTCTGATTATTATCTAAGTTTATGAAGTATGCCCAGTTGACTGGTTTATGAGTGATACTAAATTCATGGATGTTTATCATTTATTCTATTTCTACAGAAATCGTGTGAGAAAGTTCCCAGCTTTTGTGAACTGTACTACAATTGACTGGTTCAGTGAATGGCCAATAGATGCCCTAAATGAAGTAGCTGACAAGTACTTACAAGATGTTTCTCTTGACATGGACAAAGAGGTTAGAATACTTTTAAACATAAGTGACAGATTAACTTTCCTGTATCTTGACAGATGTCTTCCATTTTTTAGAAGTTCATAGAATCAGAGTGTTTGTAATATTGATGTCAGACGGCCACACTAAAGAATGAACAGGACATCCTCAACCAGTAAAATAGTTTTGTTAATAAATTTGTAGACTACCTTTTATTTATTATAATTTGGTCTAAAGTACACAAACTGTTTCTTCACTAATCAACTTATCAACAGCAGTGTTGTCTCATCCAATCATATGAGTTATGAAAACCAAAAAGGACAAATTTTAAAACTAATTCCAAACATAGACGAGGGATCAGAGCTATGCAAAAAGGTTTTTTGATATAACCTCTGTCAAATAGATATGATTAATTTGGACAAAATGTTCTGTCTAGACAGTGTTCAGCTTAGATAAGTATCACTATGCTTTAATGAGAATAGTTTTTGATGAATCGGTTGTTTTTATTTCAGGACAAGATTAAGCCATACTTGGTGAAGATGTTCTCAGTGATGCATAAATCTGTCACTGACCTTTCACATAAAATGTTATTAGAGATGAAACGACATAACTATGTTACACCTACTAACTATCTAGAATTTGTGACTGGATACAAGAAGTAAGTTTCAAAGTGATATACAATATTGAATCTTATATGAGCCTCTTTGTTAAGACCAACGATTAGGAAGGATAAAATTCTTTATTTCAAAAATGTGTATGGAGAATCCTGTTTCCTGTTATATAATGTTATAAATTAGGAAGAATTGAAGAATTTGTTCTTATAACACGCACAAGTATATTCAAAAGGACAGTATTATTACATAATTCTGAGTTCAAAAATTGAACAGGGAACTCATTTATTTTTATAAGAACCTGTTTTTATTTACTTATGTAAAATTAATTGACATTGTGTTTTGTCACTTTTTTATGCCCCCGCCGCAGCAGAGGGAGCATTTAGTGTTACTCTAACCTTAGTTTGCCTCAACAAAATTTAATGAAACTTATACACAATGCTTATTACCATAAAACACAGATCAAATTCGAATCTGGTTGGCGTCACTTTTACAGTTCTCTAGTAATGTCCCTTTATAACGTTGTTTGCAAACAGTGCATCAACTGTGTCCCATAGACGCATTCTCCATTTATTTCTAAATAAATCAACCATACATTTGTCTTTCCTTACATACATTATTTCGTGTTTGCTCCTAGTACAGGAAAACCGTAAAATTAAATATCTTTCCATTTTGATTGATTTGACAAGAGGTAAAATATCACATGACAGAAATAGTTACTTCACATGGATTATATTAGCTCCAGTCAATTTTGGGATGCAGTGATGTATTCTGTATTATGTATTACCAGGTTGTTGTATTCCAAGAGAAAAGAATTAGGTGACCAGGCCAACAAACTAAAGAATGGTTTGAGTAAGATAGACGAGACACGAGCAAAGGTGAAAAATATGACTGAGGAGTTAGAAGATGCTAGAGTTAAAGTTATTCAGTATCAGAAAACTTGTGACGAGTACCTCATTAATATTGTACAACAGAAAAGGGACGCTGATGAACAACAGAAGGTATGATATATATACATACAGTTAAGGAAAAAATAGAATTATAGTAATAAAGTATCAGAAAACTTGTGTTGAGTACCTCATGAATTTATACAACAAAAAAAGGATTTTGATGATCAACAGAAATATAAATACAATCAGGATAAAATTAGAGGCAGTAGACACACAGTAACAGTATCAGAGAACTTCCATTGAGTTCCTTGTTGGTATTTTACAATATAAAAGAGATGATGATTAACAACAAAAGGTTATAGTTCATTTATCTGCTTGGATATCAGACAGCCTATGATTGTTTTGTTTCCAAAACCATGCAACAGGAATCTTGGAGTATATTTTGTAACTTTATCATCACTTAAGGGGCAAGACTTCATGAATTAATTACCACATATAACTGAAAATGACTGAATATTGTTTTACTTGCTATCACCTATTATATGAGTTCATTGTTTGCCTTACTTCCCTATTACTTCCATTCATAATCTTTAATTGGATTTGTGAAGCCTGGTTCTTCTTGTAATGTCAGTATCTTTGATATTTCTATTTTAGACTGTAACTATTAAAAGTGAAAGAATAGGTGAAGAAGAGGCTAAATGTAAACATATGGCTGACATAGCTCAGCATGATCTGGATGAAGCTATGCCTGCTCTAAAGGAAGCTATAGAGGTAAGAAGGAATAATGTTTTATATAAACATATGGCTGACATAGTTCAGTATGATCTGGATGAAGCTATGCCTGCTCTAAAGGAAGCTATAGAGGTAAGAAGGAATTATGTTTTATATAAACATATGGCTGACATAGTTCAGTATGACCTGGATGAAGCCATGCCTGCTCTGAAAAAAGTGTAAGCATTTGACCAAGTGTTTGACACAAAGGCTAGGGACCATATGATACATGTTAAATGTGATTTTGCTGATTTGACATTAACCTATGTATTTATTGGTTACAGGCACTTGATTCATTGAACAAGAATGATATAACTGAGATCAGGTCTTATGGTAGACCCCCAGCACAAGTGGAGAAGGTTATGGAAGCTGTCATGATCCTCAGAGGCAATGAGCCTACCTGGTCTGAAGCAAAGAAACAGCTTGGTATGTAGAGAATTTGTTAGATGTAACTTTCACATTCATTGATAACTGATATCACATACACTGCAGATGAAGACATTTTTAGATTAAAGTTCAGGATAATAAATAGGCAGAGGTCATTGACATCTAAGAATTGTTTGATTAGTAATTTAGCAGGCTGACACACTTAAGTTTGAAATGCTATTTCACAAGGTGACAGTCTGCATCCCCATGTTGCATATTTTGCAGAGAAGCAGCAAATGCTAATAAGTCTTGGTTTGTCCTAGCCAAAGGTTTGATCCCATGACTATTCCAGCTCCCATAAGAGCGCCAAGGTGGTCACACCTTTTGGATGGCAAGAAATCTCCATAAGAGTGCAAAAATTATAAAAAGCAAAATACTGATGTAGTAGCAATGAAGATACAAGACAACAGGGACATTCCGACAACCTATTAATGCTTCACTCCTAGTTGTATTACCAGACATTAGTTAGTTCTGATTGGGTAAAGTCTGTATATGAGCTTTACCAATCGTCTTATTCGAAGGTCAGTGAAAAACATCAAATGAAAAAAATTGAACAGTGGAACACAATAATGAAAATAGTTTTCTTTCTATCATCTTTCTAAATGATGACTGTTATTATGGCCCTGTCACCAAGTGGTCGGGGCCATATAGTGTTACACCTTATCCGTCATTCCATCATTCCGCAAAGAACAGTTATACAGACTTTTTTAAATGCCTTCACAAGCTGATTTTTAGTATGTGAGTCTACTATGATGAGTTACAGGTCGAAATCACGGTTGGTTCCACTCCACTGATTTTTGCCGAAATTATGAGCTTTGGACTTTTTTTGCCAAAATTATGGGCTTTGGACTTTGTAAAAATAACAGTTATATGGACTTTATTCTCAAATTTCCACTCCTAAAAATTGCTTCAAGCTTTTTTTTGAGCTGGACCATTTGTGTCGTTCCGACACATCTAGTTTTTGTCTGCATAGTTTCTCACTTCTTAGTATAAGACTTAAATGACACATCCATTATAAATGTATTCTGTGTATATAAACCATAAGCATTACTGTAGGGGTGTGGCAATCAGCCTCTTATTCTGTAGTCTCTTGGAATTAATTTCCTGATTTATATTGGTTATACTGTATTCTTGAGGTAAACATGGATACAATGGAACTGCTTACTCTATGTTAGCACTCCGGTTTATGTCTCTTTTACTATTATTTCTGGTCCCATCCAACTTAATTAAAAGATCTTCATTACAGGTGATAACAATTTCATCAACAAATTAGTGGCCTATGACAAAGACAATATATCAGACAAAATGTTAAAGAAAATCAGCAGCAATTATGTCAACCAGAGTGACTTTCGTCCAGAGATCGTAGGTCGGGTATCTTTGGCAGCCAAGTCCCTCTGTCTATGGGTCAGAGCCATGGAACTGTATGGTCGTGTTTACAGGGTAGTCCAACCTAAACAACAGAGGCTGAATGTGGCCATGAAACAGTTGCAAGAAAAACAAGATGCTCTTGCCGAGGCTCAACAGAAATTGGCAGAGGTTTGTTTTATATCTTTATCAGATTTTAATTCTAATTGAATAGGGTTGTTTTGAGTTCAGCAAGGAGAGAGTTAATTGTAAATTATTATGAATTAAAAAGTTAGATATGCAAACACTTCTTTATTTATAAAGTAATTACGACATTGTGTAATAAAGATTGTATTGCAGTATTTGTTTTGTTTTCTTGGCTGTGGAGGTAGGAGGAACTAATTACAGTGGGTTCTTGTTTTCATGGACTATTGGGAAACCAAATATTCAAGTGATTAACAAAATTCAAATAAAATTGCCAACAGGCTTTTTAAGAGAATTTGCCAAACGTATCAAATATTAACAAATGTCCTGTTTTTCCTCAATCTCCTGAATTTGGTTCGTTTGAAAGTAAATTAATAATACAAAGATTTGAAGCACTGTTCATTTCCAATCAGGTTAAGAAAAGTAAACTAAACAGCAGCTTCTTACACATGATTATCTTCTTGTGTTTAATCAGAAGATATTAAATTAAAATCTATAATAACCAATGCAGGTTAAAGCTAAAATGGAGGAATTGAAGAGAGTTTATGATGAGAAGTTGGAACAGAAAGAAGATCTAAAGAGAAAGGCAGATTATACAGAAATGATGTTAGAAAGAGCTGCTAAACTTGTAGAGGGACTGGCTGAAGAAAGAGTCAGATGGGAAGCAACTGTTCAGGTAAATTAAAATCCAGCAATTAAACTTACTGAATGACTGACTGAGGTAATGGGTACTGTAGATAGGGAGCTTGAATGACTGGGATAGATTGGAAAGTTGAAGGACTTACTAAGATAAAAGTAAAAATGGAAATAACTTTGATTAAATATCCCACATTTTCCTATTTTTAGCTCACCTGACCCAAAGGGTCAAGTGAGCTTTTCTCATCACTTGGCGTCCCTCGTCCGTCGTCGTTGTTCACTTTTAAAAAATTCTTCTCCTCTGAAACCACTGGGCCAAATTAAACCAAACTTGGCCTAAATCATCCTTAGGGTATCTTGTTTTAATAGTGTATCTGATGACCGTGCTCACCTACCAAGATGGCCGCCATGGCTAAAAATTGAACATAGAGGTTAAATGCAGTTTTTGGCTTATATCTCTGAAACTAAAGCATTTAGAGTAAAATCTAACAAGGTTAAAATGTGTCCATCAGGTCAACATGACTAAAATTGTCAAATTGATCCTTTAAGGAGTTATTGCCCTTTAAATCAATTTTTCACTATTTTTCGTAAATTATTAATCTTTTACAAAAATCTTCTCCTCTTAATCTACTTGACCAAATGGAATTAAACTTGGCCACAACCATTATTAGAGTATATATATATCTTGATTGCAAAATGTATTAAATGATCCTGCCCTACAACCAACATGGTCCCCATTGGTAAAAATAGAACATAGGGGTTTACTATATAGAAGTCTATGGGAAAAATGTAAAAAAACAATTTCAAATGGTCACAACTTGAAAACTAATTTAAATAATGATAAGGGGTCTTCAGTAACTATTATAAGACTACAATGGGATGACTTGAATTTTTGTTCAAGAGGGGGGGGGGGGGGGGGGGTGCTAATAATTTCTCCTTGATATGTTCCATTTTCAGAATTTTTCAGTGTTACTTTTTCTATAAACCATTATTATATCTTTTCTTTCAGCATACTTATATTGGGTGAATGCTCCCCAAACCTGGCGGGTTAGTCGGGGTCAGGGGAACCCCTGCCCAAATTTTTTTTGAAAGGTGTTCCATAAAAAAATTTAAAGGCATTTTCAGCATTATACAGGCCCTGGTTGAAATAAATTTTGGAGCAGAGGAAAGGAAATTTTTTATTTTTTGTTAATTATCTTGAATATCATTATAGATTGAGATATACTGTAAACAGCAAAAATATCAAGCAAAGAAAGATCTACAAATAAGTTACCATGACTAATTGGAAATTGACATCTTATTGGAGTTATTGTCCCTTAAAGTAATTTTTTGCAATTTATTGGTAATGTTTATAAATCTTTTCAAAAATCTTCTGCTTTATATGATTTTAACCTTATCTTACATGATTTCCAAAGCCACAGTAGATTCAAGTGAGCGACACAGGCTCTTCAACACCTCTAGTTTTTTTTTTTCATTTTTGTATCAAAATTGCAATATCACAAAGACTCACAATATATTAATAAAAGATTATCAATAGAATGAAAATTGTTTTCTTCAGAATTTGAAAGAAAAGATAAGTACTCTACCAGGAGACTGCATGCTAGCTGCTGCCTTCCTGTCATACATGGGTCCATTCTTATCCAACTACAGAGAGAAAGTTGTCAAAAAATTATGGATTCCTCAGGTTTGAACATATAGAATATATTTGAGCACAGATAATTAAATACAGATGCTTTCAAATTTTGAATTTCATATATGTTTGTTTAAATGTTTCTTCATAATGAACCCTATATAACTACAGTAAAAAAGCAGCATTCAATTGTTAGAATTACATTTTAATGCTTTAACCAGGACATGGCAAGGTAAGTAAATTTATGTTTTTGATTTGAAATTGCCCATACATTGATGTATACCGGTATGCTCATACAATGAAAAAACCCTGATACAACTTACTAAAGAAAATGGATGCAGTTTAAAATAAGAACATATAAATGTTTATGTACCGGTACATCAATTCATCCACACACCACATCTCTCTGCTGTTAATAGTATTAAGTGCCTGTGGTCTCTTTGGAGCTGGAACCAAAATGATATAATATACAGTGCAAAAAAAAATCATCTGTTTTACACTTATTAGAGAGCAGTAAGGGACCCAAGACATGCTAAATGGTTCTTGTATAAAGGTATAAACTAGACAAACACAGGTTTGGGAGAATATTTTCTTTGCATATCAAAAAAGCAATTGACAAATAGAGCAAAATCAAGTTGAAAATCTGTGGTTCTCCAAAAATGTCAAACTTCCAGTCAATCAAATGTAATATATTAAGGTAAAATTTTTTTGGATACAGATTGCCAAACTAGGAATTCCATGTACACCAACATTTGAATTCAGTGAGTTCATGGCACGACCAACACAAGTAAGAGAATGGAATATTCAAGGTTTACCAAGTGACAGCTTCTCTACAGAGAACGGTGTTATAGTAACAACTGGTAGTAGATGGCCACTGATGGTGGATCCTCAAGGACAGGCAATCAAATGGATCAAGAACAAAGAAGCAGAAATGGTAAGTCAATAGTTTATAATTAGCTTTAATTGCATACAGGCAAGACATATCTTTGTGTCAGCAGATTATTTTTTTCAAAATAACATTCTAAAACGTGACATCACTGGTATTAAACATTGTAGTCAGAATTGACAATGTTATTATGGAATTACAAGTATGGATGTAGAAAAATAAATGTTTTATGATCTAAGGAATAATGATTTTTTTATCTAAGGAATAAAGTTTTTATGATCTAAGGAATAATGTTTTTATGATATAAGAAATAATGGTTTTTATGATTTAAGGAATATTGTTTTTTATGATCTGAGGAATAATGGTTTTTATGATCTAAGGAATAATTGTTTTTATGATATGAGGAATAACATTTTTTATGATCTAAGGAATAATGTTTTTGTATAATCTAAGATATAATGTTTTTTTTTATGATCAGATGAATAATCGTTTTTATGATCTGAGGAATAATGTTTGTATGATCTAAGGAATGATGTTTTTTTATGATCTAAGGAATAATGGGTTTTTATTGTCTTGCCTGTGACGAAAGTCACAGAATACGAGACATAGGAACTGCAATCTGGCGGTGGCATAAACTATTTGTATTAAACCTTATATTCCAGAGGCCAAAAGAGCTGGAGGCTTCATACTTTGTAAACAGATGTTTTATGTTACGAACTTTCCGTCTATCATATGTCTGTTGTCCTTGACCACATTCTGATGGTTCAGCAACTGCTTGAACTAAAAAAAAATAGTTTTTTTTGTCATGTGAATTTCTCACTTATTATGAATAATAGGATAACTATATTTGGTATATGGTTTCCTTGCAAGGTCTACATATCTGCCAGACAGGGTTCACCTGACCTCGACCTCCTTCATGGATCAGTGTTGATCAAGGTTAAAATTATGTAATTAGGTCCATTTCTCAGATACTGTAAGTTGTAGGTCAACTATATTTGGTGTATAGAATGATTGTGAGGTGTACATGTATGTCTTGTGTATTTGAACTGACCATGACCACACTTTCACAGTTCATTTGTCAATGTTAAGTTTTTTGTGTTTTGGTCTGTTTTTCTAATACTATAAGTTATAAGTCCACTATATTTGGTGTATGTAATGATTGTACAGTGTACATATCAGTCTGACAGGTTTCATTTGACCTTGACCTCATTTTCACAGTTCATTTAGTCAATGTTTAGATTTTGTGTTTTTGTCTGTTTTTTTAATACTATAAGCAATAGGTCAACTATATTTGGTATATGGAATGATTGTAAGGTGTACATGTCTGTCTGGCAGGTATCATCTGACCTTGACCTCATTTTCATGGTTCATTGGTCAATGTTAAATTTTCCTGGGTAAGTCTGTTTCTTAGATACTATAAGCAATAGGTTAACTTTATTTGGTGTATGGAATGGTTTTAAGGTACACATGTCTGTCTGGCTTGGTTTATCTGACCTTGACCTCATTTCATGGGTCAGTACAGCAGATGAGACATTTCAGCATGCACTCTTGTTATCTAGGGAATAATGTTTACTTGATAAAGAGATTGTTAAATATCATTTTCAATATTAGAAACTTGTATGAGTCCTAGACCTATTTACAGTCTTGAGCTGATACTTTGGCTAATAAGGAAAACAAAGGTTAATTCTAAACATTCCATATTATGTAATTGTTAAAGAATTAATTGATTAATATTTTAGGGATTAAAAGTGATAGATTTTCAGCAGGCAGACTATATGAAATATCTAGAGAGTGGGATACACTTTGGAACACCTGTTTTACTACAAAATGTCCGAGAAAAACTGGAGCCATCACTGGATCCTATACTAAACAAATCATTGATTAAAAAAGGTAAGATAATAAAAATTGGATCCATTACTGGATCCTATTCTGAACAAATCATTTGTTGAAAAATATAAGATAATAAAAACTGAAGCAATCACTGGATTTATACTGAACAAATCTTTGATTAAAATAGGTGAGAGAATAAAAACTGGAGCCATCTCTGGATCCATTACTGAACAAATCTTTGATTAAAATAGGTGAGATGATAAAAACTGGAGCCATCACTGGATCCTATACTGAACAAATCATTGATTATAATAGGTGAGATGATAAAAACTGGAGCCATCACTGGACCCTATACTGAACAAATCATTGGTTAAAAAAGGTAAGATAATAAAAACTGGAGCCATCACTGGACCCTCTACTGAAAAATTCTGTGGTTAAAAAAGGTGAGATGATAAAAACCGGAGTCATCACTGGATCCTATACTGAACACATCTTTGCTTAAAAAGATAAAAACTGGAGTTTTCACTGGATCCTATACTGAATAAATCTTTGGTTAAAAAAGGTGAGATGATAAAAACTGGAGTCAATACTGGATCCTATACTGAACAAATCTTTGGTTAAAAAAGGTGAGATGATAAAAACATGTCATCACTGGATCCTATACTGAACAAATCTTTGGTTAAAAAGGATGAGATGATAAAAACTGGAGTCTTCACTGGATCCAATACTGAACAAATCTTTTGTTTAAAAAAGCGAAGTAATTATTTTTAACTCTTGTGTCAGAAACAAATGGTTTCCTGGATGAAATCTTAAGTTTCCTGCTTAATTAGTACAAAACTTACACCATTGGAACATATAGGAAAGGGAATGAAGTATATCGATTATGGAGTCAAATTTTTAGATTTAAAGAAACTTATAGATGAAAAATAATAATAATATGCTTTTTAGTTTAAAAGTCAAGGTCACACTGGTAAAATTAGACTGAAAATATACAAATATGAGGTGCATTTTTTTTGTTTCCAGGGGTGATAACTTGAGGTACACTTGTTTGATTAATGGAGGTAAGGGAGGAAGCCAATGATTTTTAAAGTCAGTAGGTCAAAAGTCAAGGTCATATTTACTAAAATATAACTGTTCATAGTATGAAATTCGTAGATTTAAGGCTTCAGCTTTTCTGGAATATTTCTATTGGACTTCACTGTGCCTCCAAATCTGGCAGGTAAACCTGGGTCTATTGAACTCCCGGCTCAAAAATCAAGGGTATGGAAGAAGCATTTATATCACATGACAGCTATAATATTTAGATTGAAAATTCCTCAGAATGCTTGTTTCTCGATGAAATCTCTTAAAATATAACTTTTAAAAAATCAGGAACATTTTTGGCAATTAGCCCCCAAACGTGCAAAGTTTTTTAAAGGGTGTACCCTGCTTTCTCTCAATATATGTGCTGTTCCAGCAGCATCTGATGGCCAACTGTTCACTGGTTATAATTGTATTATTATATTTACTGATCAATATTATTATTATCAAATTCTTATTAAAAGACTATGTTTTCACATATATTGTGTAAGTTTAGCTTAAAAAGAAATACAAAAAAAAAATATGTGGATAGTTGTTCTTAGAAGTCTCTTTTTGACATGATAAGAAATGTAGTCAACAATTTCTGCAAGCAACAATCAATTGTAAGCATGTTTTATCATTTAAGTATTAAATTACATTCTATTAAATGAAAAAAGGAATTATCTATCTAATTTAAAAAAGATAAAGATTAAATGAAAGGATTTATATTCATTTATCTATATTTCAGTATAACTTTTTATGATAAAATAAGTTGGTTTGTATTTAATTTGTTTCAGGTGGTGTCACTTGTATTAAAGTTGGTGATAAAGAGATAGAGTACAACTCTGATTTCAGATTCTACATCACAACAAAACTTGGTAACCCCCACTATATGCCAGATATATCTACCAAAACTACCATTGTCAACTTTGCTGTTAAAGAGCAAGGTAAATATAACAATAAAACTTGGTACTCCCCTCTGTACACCAGAAATATCTACTATTGTCAGCTTTGCTGTTAAAGAGCAAGGTAAATATAACAATAAAACTTAGTACTTCCCTCTGTACATCAGAAATATCTACTAAAAATACTATTGTCAACTTTGCTGTTAAAGAGCAAGGTAAATATAACAAAAAACATGGTACTCCCCTCTTTACACCAGACATATCTACTTAAAATACTATTGTCAGTTTTGCTGTTAAAGAGCAAGGTAAATATAACAAAAAACTTGGTACTCCCCTCTGTACACCAGACATATCTACTTAAAATTCTATTGTCAACTTTGCTGTTAAAGAGCAAGGTAAATATAACAATAAAACTTGGTACTTCCCACTGTGCACCAGACATATCTACTAAAAATACCATTGTCAACTTTGCTGTTAAAGAGCAAGGTAAATATAAAAGTAAAACTTCAACACCTTCACTATGCACCACAAATATCTACTAAAAATACTATTGTCAACTTTAATGTTAAAGAGCTAAGTAAATATCACAACTTAACTCAATAATATCAACTACTTATCTCTGCTAGAAATACCTTTATCAGTTTTATAGCCCAATTTAGAAGTCTGGCTTATATTGCATTAAACTTGTCCCTCTTTTGTTTGTCAGTCCGTTTGTCCAGCAAATTTTTCCATCACAAGTCTTGTTATTATAAATAAAATAAAAAAAGCTGCCAGCAGAGGTCAAGACTTACATTGAAACCTATGGGAAATAATTATTTGTTTTCTATTTAAGAACAAATAAATGAAATGAATATGAACCATGCTGAAATGCTCTATAGAATTCATTTACTATATGTTATTTCTTTGGTTCTTAGGACAAACCTATTTTGCTACAATGCTATTTGGGCAAAATAAATGCACCAGAGTCAATCTGGCTCCCATGAGCTTTAGAAGTGATTAAATTAAATAATAAAATGACGGATGAGGGGATTAGCTTTATGATGGCTCTATTCCTGTTTCATAGACATGGGAGCTGAGTTCACCTATTTATTCTCATTATAGGATTACAAGCTCAGTTTCTTGGTATTGTGGTAAAGAAAGAGAAAGCAGAACTAGAGGAAACTAAAGATCAACTTGTGAAAAGTATTGCCAGTGGAAAGAAAAAGTTAGAAGAATGTGAAGATGAAATTCTCAGGTTTGCTTTCATCCTAATGCATCTTGTTTTTTCTTTATTTACTTAATCCTTTACAGAAAATCCACCAGCTTAAAGGTGGACTTGCTTATCTGACACATGACATTGACCTTAACCTTAGATTTGTAATTCTGTGAATCACTTTGTGTTTTGTGAAATTAGTTTCTCTTTTTATATGTTTTGTCTAAACACTTGCAATAGTGCAGATTTTACTGTGAACTTTGTCATTATTTAGACATAGATATGTTGTGTAGTCTTAATCAAGAACTTCACACACATTTCATTACTTTCAAATATTTTGAAATATATTTCAGACTTTTAAATGAGACGAAAGGGTCTTTATTAGACGATGAACAGTTAGTTAACACATTACAGACATCTAAAATGACTTCACAGGAGGTGTCAGAGAAACTCCAGATATCTGAACAAACTGAACATAAAATTGATGCTGCTAGAGAGGTTAGTATATGTCTATAAGAGATGTGAACTAGCTTCATAGGAAGTGTCTTAGGAACTCAACAGAAACATTTATCTTTTAACAGACCAATTCCTTCCTAAATCTATTCCATTAGTAAATGATCAATCCAAGGGCTTGAATTGGAAAAAAAACAACTTTAAAGAGGTATCTTATTTGAAGTCTAGTATTTTTTTGTTCTTATGCAATATATGTTCCACTGTCTATTTTCATGTTCCCTGCTAAAGTTTGATAAATTCTTTACATATTTGTATGGCTACAGATCATGTGCCCGAAAGCTGTCATTAATTTATTTGTCTTGAATGACATGGGGCTGATTGATCCAATGTACCAGTTTTATTTTGACCTATACAATAAATTTTTTACATATTTGTATGGCTACAGATCATGTGCCCAGAAAGCTGTCATTAATTTATTTGTCTTGAACGACATGGGACTGATTGATCCAATGTACCAGTTTTATTGTCGAGCCTGCGAGTTTTGTCGCAGAAAGCTCGACATAGGGATAGTGATCCAGCGGCGGCGGTGGCGTTAGCTAACTTCTTAAAAGCTTTATATTTTAGAAGGTGGAAGACTTGGATGCTTCATACTTTGTATATGGATGCCACATGTTTTGAAGTTCCTGTCAGTCACATGTCCAATGTCCTTGACCTCATTTTCATGGTTCAGTGACTACTTGAAAAAAAGTTAACATTTTTTGTAATGTTAAATTCTCTCTTATTATAAGTAGTAGGATAACTATATTTGGTATGTGCGTACCTTGCAAGGTCCTCATGCCCGTCAGACAATTTTCACTTGACCTCGACCTCATTTCATGGATCAGTGAACAAGATTAAGTTTTGGTGGTCAAGTCCATATCTCAGATACTTTAAGCAATAGATATATTCGGTGTATGGAAGGACTGTAAGATGTACATGTCCAACTGGCAAGTGTCATCTGACCTTGACCTCATTTTCATGGTTCAGTGGTTATAGTTAAGTATTTGTGTTTTGGTCTGTTTTTCTTATACTGTATGCAATAGGTCTACTATATTTGGTGTAGGGAATGATTGTAAGGTGTACATGTCTAGCTGGCAGGTGTCATTTGACCTTGACCTCATTTCCATGGTTCAGTGGTCAAAGTTAAGATTTTGAGTTTTGGTCTTTTTTTTTCTAATACTATATGCAATAGGTCAACTATATTTGGTGTATGGAAATATTTTATGATCTATATGTCAGTCGCGCAGGTTTTTTTTTACCTTGACCTCATTTTCACAGTTCATTGCTCAGTGTTCAGTTTTTATACGACCGCAAAAAATTTTTGTGGTCGTATATTGGTATGACGTTGGCGTCGTCCGAAGACACATTAGTTTTTGCACTTTAACTTTAGTTTAAGTAAGTGGATCTCTATGAAATTTTACCACAAGGTTCAATACCACAAAAGGAAGGTTGGGATTGATTTTGGGGGTTATGGTACCAACAGTTAAGGAATTAGGGGCCAAAAAGGGGCCAAAAATAAACATTTTTGTAACTTCCAGACATAACTTGTGTGTTAGTGTATAAATCTCTCTGACATTGTACCACAAGGTTCTATATCACAAAGGGAATACTGGGATTGATTTTGGGGGTAATTGCATCAAAATTTAAGAATTAGGGGCTAAAAAAGGGGCAAAAAACAAGCATTTTTTTAGTTTCATGACAATAACTTGTGTGTAAGTGTATGGATCTTTCTGAAATTGTACTACAAGGTTCTATATTACAAAGGGAAAGCTGGAATTGAGTTTGGGGGTAAATACCCAAAACGTTTAGGAATAAGGGGCCAAAAGGGGGACAAAAATACGCATTTTTCTAGTTTCCAGACAATAACTTGTGTTCAAGTGTATGGATCTCTCTGAAATTGTACTGCAAGGTACCATACCACAAAGGGAAGGCTGGGATTGATTTCGGGGGTAATTGCCCCAAAATTTTAGGAATTAGAGGCCAAAAAGGGGCAGAAAAACAAGCATTTTTAGTTTCAGGACAATAACTTGTGTGTAAGTGTATGGATCTTTATGAAATTGTACAACAAGGTTCCATATCACAAAGGGAAAGCTGGGTTTGAGTTTGGGGGTAATTGCCCTAAATGTTTAGGAATTTGGGGCCAAAAAGGGGCAAAAAAACAAGCATTTTTCTAGTTTCCAGACAATAACTTGTGTTGAAGTGTACGGATCTCTCTGAAATTGTACTGCAAGGCACCATACATTGTAACACAAAGGGAAGGCTGGGATTGAGTTTGGTGGTGATGAATCATAAGGGGGTTCAAAAAATTTGAGGGGGGATTTTTTTTCCCTTTTTTTTCTTTAAAATTTTCCATTTTAAATTGGTTATTTCTGATTTATATATAAAAGCAAATAATAATGATATGGTTTGAATAGGTAAATTAAAAATTTTTAAGTTCTTAGACCACATTCATTCTGTGTCAGAAAACTATGCTGTGTCAAATATTTAATCACAATCCAAATTCAGTGCTGTATCAAGCTTGAATATTGTGTCCATACTTGCCCCAACTGTTCAGGGTTTTGACCTCTGTGGTCGTATCAAGCTGCGCCCAGCGGAGCATTTTATTGTGTTTTGGTCTGTTTTTCTTAAACTATAAGCAATAGGTCAACTATATTTGTTGTATGGAAGAATTGTTAGCTGTACATGCCTGCCTGGCATGGTTCATCTGACCTTGACCTCATTTTCATGGTTCATTGGTCAATGTTTAGTTTTCTTGGTTAATGTTAAGTTTATGTGACAGTTTTAATAGAGCTTTATATTTAGGACTATCAACATAATATCAATGATTAGTAAAGAAGGCGAGACATTTCAGTGTGTGCACTCTTGCTTGGACCTATACAATAAATTCTTTACATATTTGTATGGCTACAGATCATGTGCCCAGAAAGCTGTCATTAATTTATTTGTCTTGAATGACATGGGACTAATTGATCCAATGTACCAGTTTTATTTGGACCTATACAATAAATTCTTTACATATTTGTAGGGCTACAGATCATGTGCCCAGAGAGCGGCTATTTTGTTTTTTGTCTTGAACGACATGGGACTGATTGATCCAATGTACCAGTTTTCTTTGGATTCCTACATTGAATTATTCTTACAGTCAATAGACAGAAGCCAGAAAAGTCAAAAGCTTGATGAAAGAATTGTCAATTTAAATGAATACCACACTTATGCTGTTTACAAGTAAGTTATTGTTACAATATGTAGGAACCTTCAAATATGAAAAAAATTTATCTAGATATACATAAAGTGATATTCAAGTTAGATACTAAAGTCTTCTTCATATGATATCTGTATTTGGTCTTTATACTTATTTTAGATAGCAGATGATTGAATTTGCAGTGATGTTTACAGGAATTGCCATATTATAATGTAAATAGTTGTCATATTGGAAATATGTAGTCTTTTACACTTAAGGGGCAGAGCAATATATAAGTAAACTGTGCTTTAAATTTTGAGAATAAAAAAACATTTTTTTTTACCTTATTTAGAATGCAGATGTTCAACCCCCTCTTCTGTGGACAATAGCAAAACAATGCAATAAACAGCATATATATGTTTATAACTATGTATTTGCACTTATTTCACCAGATTGATAATTTAGATAATATTTACAAAAGAAAGAAAAACAATACCTGAGTATACTCACATAAACTAATCACTGCTTAGAGTTTAACTGTAACACTAAATGTCTTTTGTGTGGCATTGTCAGTATAAGGATTCATTAATTATCATACATGTTGGCATTGTCAGTATGGGTATCCATTAATGATCTTACATATTGGCATTGTCGGTATGGGTATCCATTAATGATCTTACATGTTGGCATTATCGGTATGGGTATCCATTAATGATCTTACATATTGGCATTGTCAGTATGGGTATCCATTAATGATCTTACATATTGGCATTGTCGGTATGGGTATCCATTAATGATCTTACATGGTGGCATTGTCGGTATGGGTATCCATTAATTATCATACATGTTGGCATTGTCGGTATGGGTATCCATTAATGATCTTACATATTGGCATTGTCGGTATGGGTATCCATTAATGATCTTACATGGTGGCATTGTCGGTATGGGTATCCATTAATGATCTTACATATTGGCATTGTCGGTATGGGTATCCATTAATGATCTTACATGGTGGCATTGTCGGTATGGGTATCCATTAATGATCTTACATATTGGCATTGTCGGTATGGGTATCCATTAATGATCTTACATGGTGGCATTGTTGGTATGGGTATCCATTAATGATCTTACATGGTGGCATTGTTGGTATGGGTATCCATTAATTATCATACATGTTGGCATTGTCAGTATGGGTATCCATTAATGATCTTACATATTGGCATTGTCGGTATGGGTATCCATTAATGATCTTACATGGTGGCATTGTTGGTATGGGTATCCATTAATTATCATACATGTTGGCATTGTCAGTATGGGTATCCATTAATGATCTTACATATTGGCATTGTCGGTATGGGTATCCATTAATGATCTTACATGGTGGCATTGTCGGTATGGGTATCCATTAATTATCATACATGTTGGCATTGTCAGTATGGGTATCCATTAATGATCTTACATATTGGCATTGTCGGTATGGGTATCCATTAATGATCTTACATGGTGGCATTGTCGGTATGGGTATCCATTAATGATCTTACATGGTGGCATTGTCGGTATGGGTATCCATTAATGATCTTACATATTGGCATTGTCGGATGGGTATCCATTAATGATCTTACATATTGGCATTGTAAGTGTTATTTTTGTCGTTGGGTTGCTGTCTCCTTGAGGTAGAACTCATATCTGCCATTATTCATATGTAATTCTAATATTTTCAGATATGCCTGTAGAGGATTGTTTGAGAGACACAAACTGCTAATGTCATTTCAAATGTGTGTGAAGATTTTAGAAGCAGCTAATAAAATCAACATGGATGAGTACAGTTTTTTCCTTCATGGTGGCATTGTAAGTATGGGAATTCATGTATTGTCTTTCACAGTGGCATTGTAGGTATGGGTATTCATTAGTTATCTTACATGGTGGCATTTTAAATATTATCTTACATGTAAGCATTGTAAATATTATCTTACATAGTGGCATTGCAAATATTATCTTACATGGTAGCATTGTAAATATTATCTTGCATGTTAGCATTGTAAATATTATCTTACATAATGGCATTGCAAATATTATCTTACATGGTAGCATTGTAAATATTATCTTACATGGTAGCATTGTAAATATTATCTTACATGGTGGCGATCCATTAATTGTCTTTGACTGTTGCAGTGTAAGTATAGGGATCCATTTTTCTACATGGTGGCATTATAAATAATATCTTACATGGTGGACTGTAAGTATTGGATCCATTAATTAACTTACATGATGGCAATGTAAGTTTAGGGATCTATTTCCGGTAACTATCTTACATGGTGGCATTGTCAGTATAAGGATCCATTAATTACTTTATTTGGTGGCAATGTAAGTTTAGGGATCTATTAATTACCTTACATGGTGGCTGTGTAAGTTTAGGGATCAATTAATTACCTTACATGGTGGTGTGTAAGTTTAGGGATCAATTAATTACCTTACATGGTGGCTGTGTAAGTTTAGGGATCAATTAATTACCTTACATAGTGGCTGTGTAAGTTTAGGGATCAATTACCAGTAACTATCTTACAAAGTGGCATTGTCAGTGTAACGATCTATTAATTACCTTACATGGTAGTGTCTTCAGTAAAGGGTATCCATTAATTACCTTACATGGTGGCAGTGAAAGGTTATGGATCAATTACCAGAAACTATCTTACATGGTGACATTGTCAGTATAAGGATCCATCAAATACCTTACATGGTGGCTGTGTAAGTTTATGGATCAATTACCAGTAACTATCTACATGGTGGCATTGTCACCTGCTTCATTTTTGTGCCTGTCCCAAGTCAGGAGCCTCTGGCCTTTGTTAGTCTAGTATATTTTTTAATTTTAGTTCATTTATATGTTTTGGAGTTTAGTGTGACGTCCATTTTCACTGAACCAGCACACAATTATATTTAGGGGCCAGCTGAGGACCACCTCCAGGTGCAGGATTTTCTCGCTGCATTGAAGACCCATTGGTGGCCTTCGGCTGTTGTCTGCTCTTTGGTCGGGTTGTTGTCTCTTTGACATATTCCCCATTTCCATTCTCAATTTTATCAGTATAGGTATCCATTAATGAATTTCCATGGTGGCATTGTCAGTATGCATATCCATTAATTATCTTACATGTTGGCATTGTCAGTATGGATATCCATTAATTATCTTACATGTTGGCATTGTCAGTATGGGTATCCATTAATGATCTTACATGTTGGCATTGTAAGTGTAAATATTCATTAGCTATCTCACATGGTGGTAGTTTATGTATGGGGATTCATTGATTATCTTACTTGGTTGAATTATATGTATTAAATATATGTATTGACATTATATGCTGTATATTTCAGGTTATTGTTAGGGACTGTCTCAGGACATTATTTGCTAAATAATTCAGGTTATTGTTAGGGATTGTCTCGGGACATTATTTGCTCTATATTTCAGGTTATAGATAGGGACAGTCAAATAGATAATCCTTGCTCTAACTGGTTATCAGACACAGCCTGGGATAACATTACAGAGTTAGACAAACTTACTAACTTCCATGGAGTTATTACATCCTTTGAACAATATCCAAAAGATTGGCACACATGGTACTCTTCTGCAGAACCTGAAATATCACCCCTACCTGGTAAGTATATATATATAGAGAGAGATTCTTACATTGGTACCAGTGTATTATAGGAAGTGTCCAATCTTGATAGTTCAATTATCGAATTTTAAAGTCTGAGTCTCTGCAAGGACTTTAAAATTAGATAATTCAACTATCGAGATTGGATAAATCTGATAATCCATGAGTAACTATGCAAGAATCTGTTTCTTTCATGATTGTCAAATATTTTTTCTAATTTTTGTTGAACGAAATCCCCTTAGAGTGTCTTCCACATTCCTGATTTGTAGATACCTGGTAGTTATTTGTGTCATTGGTTTGATGTCTCATTGATATACATTCTTTACTCATACATAAAGCCTAAAATAAAAATAAAAATATTAAAGATATGTTTTATACAAAGATGAGTGAACTGAATTATAAGAGATATTATTTGTATGATCCTGAAGATTAAATCTCCAGTTGTGTTTTACTCACTCATGATGTCTATATTACAGGAGAATGGGACAATGCATGTAATGAATTACAGAAAATGTTATTTGTTCGATCCTTGAGACCAGACCGTGTGTCATTCTGTTGTACAACATTTATTTTGAACCATCTTGGTGTAAAGTTCACGGAGCCACCAGCCCTAGATATGTCCCAAGTTATTGAAGATTGTAATTGCAAAACTCCGCTGATATTCGTTCTGTCTCATGGGGCAGTAAGTAAAAGCATATATCCTACTTCATACATTGACTTTCTCATTAACAATTGATGAACAAATTAGCACATTCAAAATTGAAAAGGTAGTGGATTAGTATTCTTATTAAGGTGGCTGGGGTGTCTTCCTCCATCTTGGATTTTGAAGTAGCAGATAACAATTGGTCTATATCTTTAATGAACTGTGCAAATTTTGAGAGTAGTATGTAATTCATGTTAATATAGAAAATTATGTGTTTTATCATATTTACAGCTGTATTTTCTAAAAAACACAATATTTTTGTTTGATTCATTTTTTTTCAACTTTGCCAAATAAGGGGAGGTAACTCAAATAGTTGGGGAGATAACACAAATAAAGTAATTTTTATAATAGAAAGTGTTGTGAATTTACCTATTTTAATATGTAGCAAGAAAACAAGTCGGGTGACCCCATGTTTTCTTTTTCTTATCTGAAAGCATGTTATAAGAGCTATCTTCTCACATTTTATCTTAAAATTCTATGGTGTAGTTTTCCTTTTATCACACAAAATTAGATTTTCCGTGCATAATCTATTTAAAATCTGACAATTTTGCACAACCTGTAGTGTGAAAAAAGTCCGGTGACTCATACTTTTTATTATATTTTGGAAAAAAGCATGATAAAATCTACATTTTGACAAATTATTAAAAAAAATTCTATCGATTTTAATTAAGACCCCCCATCCACCTTAATTGAATCGTTGTCAGTCTGATTCAATATTTTTTTTGTTTAATGAGATAAATATCCTTTTATATTCCTATATTGATTGAAATTGTGATAAATAGTGCTGTGAATTCATAATATAATTCATGGGATACCAAATTTCCTGGATTTCGTGAGTATAGGTAAACCACAACTTAATGTGTTCAACAGAGTACTAATTTTCTATAGGCTTGTATGCATACAGGCTTTGGAAAATGCAGGAAAGCAAATATCCATGAAAAAAAAATCATTTTTCCTCGATCTACCAAAATTGGTATCAAAGAAAATAAATGAATTCACAATATTTGGTTAAGGAGTTTGGACCACTTTAATACTAACATTTTACACTGATATTGTACTCTCTTTATATGTATATTATTTTAAAGATTGAAAAAAGTAAGAAACATAAAGCAGAAAAGCATGAAAAAAGAATGTCCTATATCCTTTGTAAGAGAATTAATGCAGCAAAGTGTAAAACAAAAAAGGTCTTACCTGTTTTTTTGTTAAGATTTATAAGGTAAACATAAAGTGACTTCCTTTATTACAGGACCCAACAAATCACCTTCTACAGCTTGCTGAATCTAAAGGTCTAGCCAACAACTTCAATGCCCTGTCTTTAGGACAAGGTCAAGCTCCGATAGCAACCAGACTCATCAAGGAAGGAATTCGTGAGGTATGTAATAAAGTGTAAAACATTCGTGTACCCTAGAAATAAGATAAAAGTAGTTTTTTGCTCACCGGGGCCCCATGTGAGCTTATGCCATCACTTGGCGTCCATCGTTGTCCTTTGTCTGTCGTCGTCGTCTGTTGTCGTCTGTCGTCGTAAACTATTTAAAAATCTTCTCCTCTGAAACTACTGGGCCAAATACCTTGAAACTTTAATTAAATGTTCCTTAGGGTATCTAGTTTATAAATTTTATCCGAAGTTTTGATCCATTGACAAACATGGCCGCCATGGCTAAAAATAGAACATAGGGGTCAAATGCAGTTTTTGGCTTATATCTCAAAAACTAAAGCTTTTAGAGCAAATCTGACAGGGGTTAAATTGTTCAATTGGTCAAGATCTATCAGCTCTGAAATTTTCAGACGAATCGAACAACCCATTGTTGGGTTGCTGCCACTGAATTGGTAGTTTTAACAAAATTTTGCAGTTTTTTGTTATTATTTTGAATATTATTATAGATATATATAAACTGTAAGCAGCAATAATGTTCAGCAAAGTAAGATCTACCAAAAAGTTAATATGACCATAATTGTCAATTGACCCCTTAACGAGTTATTGCCCTTTAAAGACAATTTTACACAATTTGTTCATTAAGTTTGCTAACATTTAAAAATCTTCTCCTCTGAAATACAGGTGAGCGATTCAGGCTCTTGAGAGCCTCTTGTTTTAATGGTTACATGACTAATTTGTTTTTCCTACAATGCATTTTTGGGGGATTATTGTGGAGTTGTCACTCAAATGTCAAAAATGAACATACATGTTTTTAGCAATATTTACATATGTGTCATTATTTTAAATTTTTAGGGTAACTGGGTATTTTTAGCTAACTGCCACCTATCACTCAGCTGGATGCCACATCTCCATAAGATTATAGAACAATTCCAGACCCAGAAACCAGAGCCACATCCAGAATTCAGACTGTGGCTTAGTAGTAGTCCACATCCAGATTTCCCTATAACCATCCTACAGACTAGCCTTAAAATGACAACAGAACCTCCTAAGGTAAGTAGTTAGTAGTAGTTCATATCCAGATCATGCAATAGAGGTATCTCCAGAGTAATCAATCATGCAATAAAAGTATCTCCAGAGTAATCAATCATGCAATAGAAGTATCTCCAGAGTAATCAATCATGCAATAAAAGTATCTCCAGAGTAATCAATCATGCAATAAAAGTATCTCCAGAGTAATCAATCATGCAATAAAAGTATCTCCAGAGTAATCAATCATGCAATACAAGTATCTCCAGAGTAATCAATCATGCAGTAGAAGTATCTCCAGAGTAATCAATAATGCATTACAAGTGTCTCCAGAGTAATCAATCATGCCAAAAAATATCTAGAGAAATCAATCATGCAATAAAAGTATCTCCAGAGAAATCAATCATGCAATAAAAGTATCTCCAGAGTAATCAATCATGCAGTAGAAGTATCTCCAGAGTAATCAATTGTGCAATAAAAGTATCTCTAGAGAAATCCATCATGCAATAAAAGTATCTCCAGAGTAATCAGTCATGCAATACCAGTTATTTCAGAATAATCAGTCATGCAATAAAAGTATGTTCAGAGTAATCAATTATGCAATTAAAGTATCATCAGAATACACAGTCATGCCATAAAAGTATCTCCAGAGTAATTTATTATGCAATTAAAGTATCTTAAGAGTAATTGAGTTATCTATTGTTCAAGAAAGGTTTCCCAAGAGTAATCATGTAATAAAAAGAGTAATCAATCATGCATTAAGAGTATCTTTAGAGTAATCAATCATACAAAAACTTATCTTTGAAGTAATAAATTCTCATTATAGTATAGTCTGAGTTATCATCAATCATGCATTAAAAGTATCTCAAGAATAATCAATCATTTGATAAAAGTATCTTCTGAGTAATCAATCATGGAATAACAGTCTCATAAAAGTCTCTTTACAGTTATCAGTTATGCAAATAACCTCCCTTTACAGTGTATACGGTACAGCACAATCCAATAAAAATGACAAATATTACAAAATAATCACATAACTAATGCTTATAAGAATAATTTGTTAACTAGTATTTTGATGTGTTATTTCCTAAGAAACATTCATATATCTTCCATTTTTTTTACATCATATTTTTAAGGGTCTGAAAGCTAACTTGAAGAGATTGTACACTAACATTTCTGAATCCCAGTTCCAGAGATGTCCAAAACAAGACAAGTATAAAAAGTTACTGTTTTCTCTGTGTTACTTCCATTCCTTACTGTTAGAGAGAAAGAAGTTCCTCATGCTGGGATGGAATATTCTGTACGAGTTCAATGATTCCGATTTTGAGGTAAGAAAATGAAGCTTCTATATACTTGAAAACTTTAAACACAATTTGGAGATCACAATTCAGAACTTGAAATACCAGAACACGTCAGTCAACAAAGAAGAGATTTTTCTTCACATTTAGACAATTACATCGGAAAAATTGTCATATAGATCTACATTGTAAACTGTGATTTACTTCACATAAGAAGCAAGGAAACTGGTCTGAAATTAATTTTGATCTACATTGTAACTTCTATTTTATTTACCTCAGGTATCAGAGAACTTGATGTGTATATATCTAGATCATTATGAGGAAACACCCTGGGAGGCAATGAAATTTTTAGTCGCTGGTATAGTGTATGGAGGTCATGTAACCGATGACTGGGATCGACGCCTGTTGATGACATATATAAATGATTATTTCCAAGATGGAGTCATAAGTACATTATTTTACCAGTAAGTAATTTGTATGGCCATGAATGTTAATTATATAATGACACTTATGACACATACATCAACTACTGTTTCCAAGATGAAGTTTATAATACCATATTTTATCAATGATTTTTAACCTCTCCTAACCAAAAGTGACATTTCTACATTAAAGTGATTAGGTCATATATCAATAGAAATAGCATAATTTAGAAAGGATGAGACAATTTAAATTAATTTTGAGATTTCTGAGGTCAGATAACGGCTCTTAAACTGCCACTTTTTGTTAGCTTTGACACCTGACCTTGACCTCATTTTGTATGGTTACTTCAAGATTCCTATTAAGTTTTAGTAACTAGTTCATCCTAATTTGAGTATATAATCATTATTTAGTTGTCATGCTTTTCTATCTTTGACTTTAATTGCATGGTTGTTGACATTATTATTTTATAATTTAGATGAAATCTATTTAGTTGTTGTCCTTCACATCATTAATATTAGACGGAAAAAAAGGAAAAAATTGTATCTTATTTTAGACTGTCATCTTTGCCAACTTATTACATACCTAAAGATGGTCCTTTAGCTGTGTACAGAGAGTATGTCAGTATGTTACCAAGTGTGGATCATCCTGAGGCCTTTGGACAACATTCTAATGCTGACATACAGTCACAGATACAGGAAACTAAGATGATGTTTGCTACATTGCTGAGTCTACAGCCCACGGTGTCCCTTGTAGGGAGTGGAGAAAGCAGAGAGGACAAGGTATATGATGGGAACATTACTGAGTATTCAGCCACTGTGTCCCTCATAGAATAAAACAGGGGGGATAAGGTACAGGGTTTGTTTAGGTGACATTACTAATTATACATCCCACTGTCCCTCATAGGAAGTGGATAAAACAGGGGGTATAAGGTTCAGGGTTTGTTTAGGTGACATTACTAATTATACATCCCACTGTCCCTCAAAGGAAGTGGATAAAACAGGGGAGATAAGGTACAGGGTTTGTTAAGGTGACATTACTAATTATACATCCCACTGTCCCTCATAGGAAGTGGATAAAACAGGGGATAAGGTACAGGGTTTGTTTAGGTGGCATTACTAATTATACATCCCACTGTCCCTCATAGGAAGTGTAGAAAACAGGGGATAAGGTACAGGGTTTGTTTAGGTGACATTACTAATTATACATCCCACTGTCCCTCATAGGAAGTGTAGACAACAGGGGATAAGGTACAGAGTTTGTTTAGGTGACATTACTAATTATACATCCCACTGTCCGTCATAAGAAGTGTAGAAAACAGGGGATAAGGTACAGGGTTTGTTTAGGTGACATTACTAATTATACATCCCACTGTCCCTCATAGGAAGTGGATAAAACAGGGGGGATAAGGTACAGGGTTTGTTTAGGTGGCATTACTAATTATACATCCCACTGTCCTTCATAAGAAGTGTAGAAAACAGGGGGGATAAGGTACAGGGTTTGTTTAGGTGACATTACTAATTATACATCCCACTGTCCCTCATAGGAAGTGGATAAAACAGGGGGGATAAGGTACAGGGTTTGTTTAGGTGACATTACTAATTATACATCCCACTGTCCCTCAAAAGAAGTGTAGAAAACAGGGGATAAGGTACAGGGTTTGTTTAGGTGACATTACTAATTATACATCCCACTGTCCCTCATAGGAAGTGGATAAAACAGGGGGGATAAGGTACAGGGTTTGTTTAGGTGGCATTCTTATTATACATCCCATTGTCCCTCAAAGGAAGTGTAGAAAACAGGGGATAAGGTACAGGGTTTGTTTAGGTGACATTACTAATTATACATCCCACTGTCCCTCAAAGGAAGTGGATAAAACAGGGGGGATAAGGTACAGGGTTTGTTTAGGTGACATTACTAATTATACATCCCACTGTCCCTCAAAAGAAGTGTAGAAAACAGGGGATAAGGTACAGGGTTTGTTTAGGTGACATTACTAATTATACATCCCACTGTCCCTCATAGGAAGTGGATAAAACAGGGGGGATAAGGTACAGGGTTTGTTAAGGTGACATTACTAATTATATATCCCACTGTCCTCATAGGAAGTGTTGAAAACAGGGGATAAGGTACAGAGTTTGTTGAGGTGACATTGCTTATTATACATCCCACTGTCCCTCATAGGAAGTGGATAAAACAGGGGGGATAAGGTACAGGGTTTGTTTAGGTGTCATTACTAATTATACATCCCATTGTCCCTCACAGGAAGTGTAGAAAACAGGGGATAAGGTACAGGGTTTGTTTAGGTGACATTACTAATTATACATCCCACTGTCCCTCAAAAGAAGTGTAGAAAACAGGGGATAAGGTACAGGGTTTGTTTAGGTGACATTACTAATTATACATCCCACTGTCCCTCATAGGAAGTGTAGAAAACAGGGGGATAAGGTACAGGGTTTGTTTAGGTGACATTACTAATTATACATCCCACTGTCCCTCAAAAGAAGTGTAGAAAACAGGGGATAAGGTACAGGGTTTGTTTAGGTGACATTACTAATTATACATCCCACTATCCCTCATAGGAAGTGGATAAAACAGGGGGGATAAAGTACAGGGTTTGTTTAGGTGACATTACTAATTATACATCCCACTGTCCCTCATAGGAAGTGGATAAAACAGGGGGGATAAAGTACAGGGTTTGTTTAGGTGACATTACTATTTATACATCCCACTGTCCCTCAAAGGAAGTGGATAAAACACGGTGAATAAGGTACAGGGTTTGTTTAGGTGACATTACTAATTATACATCCCACTGTCCCTCATAGGAAGTGTAGACAACAGGGGATAAGGTACGGAGTTTGTTTAGGTGACATTACTAATTATACATCCCACTGTCCCTCATAGGAAGTGGATAAAACAGGGGGATAAGGTACAGGGTTTGTTTAGGTGACATTACTATTTATACATCCCACTGTCCCTAGTAGGAAGTGGATAAAACAGGGGGAATAAGGTACAGGGTTTGTTAAGGTGACATTACTAATTATACATCCCACTATCCCTCATAGGAAGTGGATAAAACAGGGGGGATAAAGTACAGGGTTTGTTTAGGTGACATTACTAATTATACATCCCACTGTCCCTCATAGGAAGTGGATAAAACAGGGGGGATAAAGTACAGGGTTTGTTTAGGTGACATTACTATTTATACATCCCACTGTCCCTCAAAGGAAGTGGATAAAACACGGTGAATAAGGTACAGGGTTTGTTTAGGTGACATTACTAATTATACATCCCACTGTCCCTCATAGGAAGTGTAGACAACAGGGGATAAGGTACGGAGTTTGTTTAGGTGACATTACTAATTATACATCCCACTGTCCCTCATAGGAAGTGGATAAAACAGGGGGATAAGGTACAGGGTTTGTTTAGGTGACATTACTATTTATACATCCCACTGTCCCTAGTAGGAAGTGGATAAAACAGGGGAAATAAGGTACAGGGTTTGTTTAGGTGACATTACTAATTACACATCCCACTGTCCCTCATAGGAAGTGGATAAAACAGGAGATAAGGTACAGGGTTTGTTTAGGTGACATTACTAATTACACATCCCACTGTCCCTCATAGGAAGTGGATAAAACAGGGGGAATAAGGTACAGGGTTTGTATAGGTGTTAGGCTGGAAACATTCATACATCAGGACATTACTTATGAGACATTTTTCCATCAAAGACCAAATGATGTAGATATAAGCAACTTTAGGATACTGTATGGCCTTCAACAATGAGAAAACCCATACTGTAAGCTTTAAAAGGTCACGAAATGACTAAATGTAAAACAATTCAATGGCTTGATTTATTTACAAAGCAGTCAACAAAAAATATATATGATAGACAGCATGTAATGACAACCACTGAATTACTGGCTCCTGACTTGGGACAGGCACATACAGAATGTGGTAGGGTTACACTTTTCAGCTCAACCCTCCCCTAACCAGGAGCAGTTGTGTAACAGCGCAGCATAAGAAACTATAAAAATCAGTTGAAAAAAGGCTTGATTCATCAGATTGACACAAATCACAAAAAAGACTAACAAAAAGACTAAAGACACAAAGTACGAATCTAAGAGTACTTGCAGTTACGGAAAGCCAGCTCAAAGCCAATTAAACCCAATGAATAAATCATGTTTCCCAGACTGAATAGGCTAGATCCCAATTTGTCCTAATAAGGGATGGAGATAGCAGGGAGGACAAGGTTTGAGATGGGTTTAGGTATTGAATGGGTATAATAGTACAAGATGAGATTACTTTGGGCACCCAATATGGTATAGGTGGTAGGTTAACTGGGTTAACATCCAAGTGTGTAGAGAGAACTAAATAAGAATGCCCTTGTTTACACCTAGTATATAAAGTGTTGACTATTTGACAATAAAAATATGTGGCATGACTGTCAATGAGACAACTCTCCACCAGAGTCCAATTAAGTCCCATATGAAAGAGTCTATATTCTGTACTTTTCAGGCATTAAAACTAGCTGTCAATACATTTTTGTACTTCTAAATAGATCCCAGATGATACAGACTATATTCTTTAATTTCCAGGTATTAAACCTAGCTGCTAATATCTATAAACAGATCCCAGATGATAGAGACTTTATTCTTTAATTTCCAGGTATTAAACCTAGCTGCCAATATCTGTAAACAGATCCCAGATGATATAGACTATGAAGGAACAGTAAAGATTCTAGAGATGGATCACCGACCAATCAACATTGTATTATTACAGGAAGTAAGAGTGATTATATTATAGATATCACTGTACATCAAAGAAACAGTACTTTAATTGCTGTGCTTTGTCCTGGTATTTATTTGAAGTTCTTCACCTTCATCAACATAAAGCATGATCACCTGTAATTTGAGTAATATTATCCTAGGCCGTTATAGGGAACAAATATAGCCTGCCACTTTAAATTTGAAAATTTAACTTTCTCGAAGGAAAAAGAAGAAATATTGTAGTAAATTCTTTCATGTCATCACAATAGCAAAGTTAAGAAATTTATTTTACCAATGAAAAACTGAGAACAAGGGAACCACATGTTGATTATCAAAAAATTGTGAGCATGAGATCTTGGAATCCAAAATTTAAAACAAGAACACTGGCCCATTCTTGTCACAATTTAATTTTGATGTTGTAACATAAAAATATAACGTTATGATATAGTTTTTTTACTGTTAGGAATGCTGTATAAAAAATGATTATTATACCATGGAAGTATTATATTGACAGGAACTCCAACAAGCGGACTTCAAACGTTTATAGTGCGATGCCGCAAAATCGTTAAGTATTTGTTAATTAACTCGACATGTCATATGGATGCATGGGTTCCGATCAAATTTTGGAACCTCGTGATTGATCGTAATTACGGAACATACCGAAATAACAGGATGTGTACTTAATTGTCAAGGAAACGACAATAACCGACCATGTCAGTTAAAATATGTCAGTTTTTCCGGTTTTGCTGCGTAAAAACAAATACAAAGAAACGAAATCCCCGCAACTGTTTTCACAAAAAAAAAAAAACAAAAAAAAAAAAACAAACAAAAAACTGAAGAGTAAAAATACTCACAAGCCATAAATACTTCAATTTAACTTACAATCAATTTAAATAGTAAGATTTTTTATTCATGACTGAGAGGGCTGTTGGCTAAACACGCATAACATGCTAAGCTTGAAATTCATAAAATTCTTATAGAATTAAACGGAAAAGTTTTTATCAGCAATTATTATCGCGTTAAACTACTAACTTTGACAAATATTTTAATTTTTAGTGTTTAACAAATTATTAATTCAAACTAAGATGGTTCCCCGTAGCGGCGGGGGCCAGGGGATGTTAGAGGGCTTTGATCGGAAAAATTATCAAATATTTTGATTAATTGTTTACGTAAAGTCCTATGGCAAATATTTCATACAATTCAACAAGAAACAAAAACATAAATTGCTTAACATACGGTGTAAGGTGTTTCAGAACTGTTAAGCATTTACACACATAAATAAATTCAAATTTGGTTTCCATCATAAAATTTTAAAAATAAAAAAAATAGAAACTGCATATGGACCATCATGGTGATCGTTCTTTAAATGCCGATCCAGAATTAATAAATGCCATTCGTAAAAAAATCTGTCAGACGTCAGAGTAATCTCGGACTAGGTTGAATGTTTAGGGTTTGTTTACAACTTTGGACTTATTATAAAAGGTGTAACAATTCATCTGTCTCGTAACCTGATATTGCTATGTAGAGGTCATCACGTGCGTGTAATTATAAAGCTCTTTTAGTCTTTAAAACATATTTGTTAAATACGTTAATAACATTTTTCAAATTGAGACGATAGCCTGAGAAAACAATAAATTTTCTTGTAACATTCGATAAAAATTAACAACCTTAAAACTTAAATTTAAGCTATCTGGCACCATCCGGCACACTACACGTGCATCACATTGTTTTCCGCAAACACCCGACTTTAAGTACATGTAATTTTTAATATCGGATATTTCTCGATTTCCAAGTTTCAATGATTAAAACATATTAAACAAAACTAAAATTAAGCTTGCCCTCTTTCCGAATGCAGTTAATTTTCTTATGTCATTCTGTTAAATATGGACCGATTTTTTCGATCTTTTCAGCTTTTGTCTTTATTTATTGAACGGAAACATGTGTCGTTATTACTTTGGCGATTCACAAATAACCACGGGAGTTTCCGTGTTTATTTACATTGGTAGGTAGATAAGACACTCGATACCAAATCACGTGATAAGACCAGCTTCAGTTAACAGAACAGGCGAAGGCGGCATCGCAGTTACCCCACAAAGGAGTTATCACGTACTTGACAAACTGAGTCGGAACCTTTTATTTTCTTCAAGAAACCAGTGGGATGGGAATGTGCTAATTTTTCGTTGGAGTTCCTGTCAAAATAATACTTCCATGATTATACCAAAAGTAAGAATGTAAACAAATCTTAGTACAGTGAAAATTGTAGCTTGAAAACAAGGTTTTTGTCGAGCCTGCGACTTTTGTCGCAGAAAGCTCGACATAGGGATAGCGATCCGGCGGCGGCGGCGGCGGCGGCGTTAGCTAACTTCTTAAAAGCTTTATATTTTAGAAGATGGAAGACCTGGATGCTTCATACTTTGTATATGGATGCCTCATGTTACGAAGTTTCCGTCAGTCACATGTCCAATGTCCTTGACCTCATTTTCATGGTTCAGTGACTACTTGAAAAAAAAGTTCAGATTTTTTGTAATGTTAAATTCTCTCTTATTATAAGTAATAGGATAACTATATTTGGTATGTGCGTACCTTGCAAGGTCCTCATGCCCGTCAGACAGTTTTCACTTGACCTCGACCTCATTTCATGGATCAGTGAACAAGGTTAAGTTTTCGTGGTCAAGTCCATATCTCAGATACTATAAGCAATAGGTCTAGTATATTCGGTGTATGGAAGGACTGTAAGGTGTACATGTCCAACTGGCAGGTGTCATCTGACCTTGACCTCATTTTCATGGTTCAGTGGTTATAGTTAAGTTTTTGTGTTTTGGTCTGTTTTTCTTATACTGTATGCAATAGGTCTTCTATATTTGGTGTATGGAATGATTGTAAGGTGTACATGTCTAGCTGGCAGGTGTCATCTGACCTTGACCTCATTTTCATGGTTCAGTGGTTATAGTTAAGTTTTTGTGTTTTGGTCTGTTTTTCTTATACTGTATGCAATAGGTCTTCTATATTTGGTGTATGGAATGATTGTAAGGTGTACATGTCTAGCTGGCAGGTGTCATCTGACCTTGACCTCATTTTCATGGTTCAGTGGTCAAAGTTAAGTTTTTGAGTTTTTGTCTTTTTTTCTAATACTATATGCAATAGTTCAACTATATTTGGTGTATGGAATGATTGTAAGGTGTACATGTCTAGCTGGCAGGTGTCATCTGACCTTGACCTCATTTTCATGGTTCAGTGGTCAAAGTTAAGTTTTTGAGTTTTTGTCTTTTTTCTAATACTATATGCAATAGTTCAACTATATTTGGTGTATGGAAATATTTTATGATCTATATGTCAGTCATGCAGGTTTTATTTGACCTTGACCTCATTTTCAAGGTTCATTGCTCAGTGTTAAGTTTTTGTGTTTTTGTCTGTTTTTCTTAAACTATAAGCAATAGGTCAACTATATTTGTTGTATGGAAGAATTGTTAGCTGTACATGCCTGCCTAGCATGGTTCATCTGACCTTGACCTTATTTTCATGGTTCATTGGTCAATGTTTAGTTTACTTGGTTAATGTTAAGTTTATGTGACAGTTGTAATAAAGCTTTATATTTAGGACTATCAACATAATATCAATGATTAGTAAAGAAGGCGAGACATTTCAGCGTGTGCACTCTTGTTAATTCTAATAATGCTTCCTTTATAATGGCAGATGTAAAAAAAACTTTTTATTCTTAACAGTTATTTAGTAATCACACCCAACTTATTTTGTTCCAGATTGAGAGATACAATACTTTAATGGGAATAATAAGAACAGCATTGACAAATTTAGAGAAAGGAATTCAAGGCTTAGTTGTCATGACAATGGAATTAGAGAATACATTCCAGTGTATATTTGATGGTAGAGTTCCACCCACTTGGCTAAAGGTTTGTTGGGGTTTACTTTACATTAAAGTTGAAGAGTCAATAAAAAAGTGAACATTTAGCAATACATTGTAATATGATATATCTTCAAATACTTAAATGCGGTTGGTGTAGTGTTTGAACAATAGACAATTAATTCCTAGTGACAGATAATTGAATATTTAGGTTACACATTCTCACAACCTCTGTAAGGTATTATCATTGGGATGATAAGGTCACGTTTCATCCTGTGTATGCATGCCATTGTCTGTTCTAAATAAGATATTATGTACCTGGTGATATCGTGCTTAGTTTTTGTGAAAGTTAGATTAGAAACAAGTCATATTTTGTGCCATGAACATAACCTTTACAATTGGTTCATTAGCATTTTTTCCATTGGTTTACACTTGGATAAACCATGTTGTTAAAACTACTTTTGTAACCTATGTCGATTTCACTGTGATATATCCATGCACTATACACATGAATGAAATCCTGTCGAAAGAAAAAATAAAACAAATGTAAGGGTTGAGAGTTAATATGTCAGTTTACAAATCAATACAGCATACTGGAAACAATATAAATAGATGAACAAACTCACCAACTTTTATATGTTTGTACCCATTAAGAAATAATTCTTTCATGCCATGCTGTAACTCAGAATTTTGTACTTTGAAGCGGACCTATAAGATACATTTGAAAGGTAGCCATTTTGATTTGATGAAGCAAAAATGTTCTTGACAGCAAACAGTTTCACAATTGAAAATGTAGATACATGACAATTTATTTTTTGGTGGAAGAAGACTTCAAGTCTTCTGAAAGCCTTTACTGCCGGTTGTAAAATCATTGAACCGTCACCAGGACGTATGCCGTATCCCTTTCTGTGCTTTACAATTTCATAACAACTTCCGTGCCATATCTTGACACCGATGTTTACACATGATCTAAGCATCTGCATCATTTAATTTATTAGTTAGGCTTGAAAAACGATCACTATCGTTAGTGTTATAATTTCTCATGTTTTAATGTATTAATATTAACCCTTTTATTTATGTAAATTATTAGATTTCATCTCATCTTACATGGACATGATTTGTTTACTTGTAACCAGATGTCTTTAAAGTAGAGTTTGTAGTACGCATGCATGAATTTGGTATCGGGTCGGTTGGCCCTGATTACATGTTCGCCCTTGGTCCGTTCACCCTGAGTTCGTCCCCATAGAGTACGTTCACCCTGGGTTACTTCTCCTTACTTTTATCGTGGAAGTATTATATTGACTGCTTTTATCAAGGACGTTTTATACGTCCTTGCAATTATTAAAAAATAATAATATTATGGTTATTAAAGTTTAATAAACTTGTTCAGATATTTATATGGTATAAATTCTCGAAATTCATAAACACACATGAAAAAAAATTAATTAAAAGTTGATGGCTTGTTTTGGAGCATTAATAGATCATGATAATAATTCTCACTGATTGTTGTAATAATTGTCTTTGGTAGATTAATAATTGGAATTATCGGAATAAAACAACTGGATTATTCGGGTTAATTTAAACCACGTTGGTTACGTATCTGTGCATGTGCACAAATGGGAAATTTAATTGTGCATCTGAAAGTTTCAAAATAATGATAAACAGAATTGTCATATATTCATACAATCCATCTTGAGTTAAAGTAAAGTATATACGTGGAGAGTACGACTTCAAATCAATGATGCTTGAAAAAATACACAGATTTAGTTGTTCCGTCTGCGTTCAGATCTTTAATGCAATCAATTGAGTCATATTCCAGTTATAGAAAACATGTATTTTTTAAAACGAAAGTTAGAATATCTAAGTATGTTATTGCGATAATAAAGAGTCAAGAGCACACGTGAATCTGGTGGTGTTTTACACATCAAACGATGCACCGTCTGTTGACAGAAATATTAATGTACAAACTAATGTCTGTTGACTGATTCCATTTCGAAAGTACGTAGTTTTCATGTCGGTCATTGTTGGAATGTCCCCAATGATTGCCTTTATTGCCTTAATACGTTTCAAAGTTTTAAAAGTGATAAAAAACGGGATTTAACAACTGAATAGTGCAGCTCTTATTCGTCATTAAGGTACACACAAAAATGACACATTATCGAGGCTTGAGTACGGAACCAGTAATTCGTTGCTGTCAATAGTTTTATTTTCATGAAAAATTTCAGAAAAGGGCTGTGTGACTCCTGACAGAAAATGCCTTTCCTACCCTCATACTTTTGTGTAAAAATATTAGATGAAAAACAAATATGATATATGGGTCAAGCACTTTAAGTGAACGGGTTTGAAATGCTAAAAGAGTCAAGCGCACACGTGATTCTGTCAACTGACGGTGCATTGTTTGATGTGTAAAACACCAGCAGATTCACGTGTGCTCTTGACTCTAAATTATCGCAATAACATAGCAAGGTCATCACCTGACATGACCGGTCAACCCTTTGCCTGACACATATCTGCATTGGATATATTTAGAATTTTTCAATATATGCTTATTTATTTAAAACCCTAATTTAAGCAAACTTGACTAAAATCTTGGTGGCCAGTTTTTTTTTTTAAAGTTAACTATCTGCCTTTGACAGAAAACTTTCAAGTGAAACCAAATCAATTACTGTTATAATTGCTTGGCGAAATTGCATTGCATCAAGTTGACCATGCTGAGACGAATGTATGGAATTTAGTTATAGAAAATTTAATTTGAATCAACAGTATTTGCAGATTTTTATGTTAAGTATAGTGAGTTTTGGTTGAGTTATGAGTATTATTATTTTTGGAAGAAAAAAATACGTCGAAAGCAATAATGGGACAAAGCAGGCTGGGTTGGTGTGGGCTGCTTTTATGGTAATTCAAGTTACCTTTTATGCATCTTCTTCCACCTCAGAGCAATCAGCTCTTTGATTGAATGATTTTATTTTAATTTCCTAGCAAGCAACTACAGCAAAAATGTCCATTTCAATATCTGGCATTGTTAAAAATACAACTGATATTGCAATTTTAATTGTGAAGTCACACACACCCCATGTATTACTGGAATTAGAACATTGCTTTGTTTACAAAGCAAAAGAAGAGCTTCTTTTAGAAGTTCTTATTAACATTAACTAAATCATTTCACTAAATTATTTGATAACTATTGTGATACTGTATACAAAGATTTAGATGATTATTTTGTGATTAATGCAGTATGGGTTTTTTCTCATAGTTGAAGGCTGTACGGTGACCTATAGTTGCTAACTTCTATTTCATTTGGTCTGGGGGAGCGTTGCCTCATTGGCAATTATACCACATCTTCTTATTACCTGTGTCGTAGAGGGCAGAAGGCCCGAAGCAGGTCTAATAACTGCCTGACTCTGTCCGTCCATCTGTCCGAAAGAAAGCTTTCATCAAAGTTTTCTTGGTTTGTATGAAAGGAAATGGTTTAATATTTGCTCTGCAGCTTGGTAATGTTGATTTGAAGCAAGTCAATATTTTTTTAATCTGCCGTGTTGCCACTTCCTTTTTTCTGATAGTTTTAATTTTACAACACTAATTGTACAAGGAAAATTTTTGTCAAAGTTTTCTCGTCTCCCATTGAAGGGAATTATTTAATAATTGGTCTGCACCTTGATAATGTTGAGTTGTAGCCAGTAAGCAATTTTTACATCTGCCATATAGCCACTTCCTTTTGGCTGATAATTTGAAATCTTACAACACTCATTGTACAAGAAAAATGTGCATCTAAGTTTTCTTGGCATTAGTGAAAGGGAATGATCAGTTATGCTCCAGTATACAAATTACCTCAACCAATTGCATGCACAACGCAGGTCCAGACCTGGTATTGGTCTTGTTTTTATATTTAAATCAAGTGAGTGAAATGTCTAGCACTTATTTTAATTTAGAAATTATTTTTATAGGCTTACCCATCACTTAAGCCGTTAGCTTCATGGACCAGAGACCTTGTTGCCAGGGTAGAACAGTTTTCAAAATGGTCCAAGAGAGCAAATCCCCCATTTATATACTGGATACCAGGCTTTACTTTGCCTACTGGTTTCCTGACTGCTGTACTACAAACATCAGCCAGACAAAACAATGTAAGTATTATATGCTACACCAAACACTGATATATTAAAGGATACCAGGCTTTACTTTGCCTACTGGTTTCCTGACTGCTGTACTACAAACATCAGCCAGACAAAACAATGTAAGTATTATATGCTACACCAATCACTGATATATTAAAGGATACCAGGCTTTACTTTGCTTACTGGTTTTCTGACTGCTGTACTATAAACATCAGCCAGACAAAACAATGCAAGTATTATATGCTACAACAATCACTGTTATACTGGATACCAGTCTTCACTTTGCTTACTGGTTTTCTGACTGCTGTACTACAGACAAGGAGACCTTGATCAAGATGTCATTATGCAAATGACACCTTGTGAACACAACTCTATGAGACCAATCGACAGAGAGCTCTCATACTTGGTAGGATTGTTTGCCATTGTGTGAAGTTGACCATATAATACCGTAATTTTGATCTGACCGTTTTCATGGCAGTAATAAGACTAAATTTTTTTAGTTTCAAACAATAACACCTTATGAATACAACTCCTCTGAGACCATTTTACCAAACTGTCTAATATTTAGTAGGATTGGTTGCCATCATGTGTAGTTGACCATATTTTACTGTCATTTTGATCAAACCATTTTACGGGAGTCATGAGATTTTGACTATTTTTTTGAGTATTGTAATAGTGTTACTATGTGAAAGCAACTTCTCTGAGATCATTTGGCAGAAAACTAATATAATTAGTAGGATCATTTGCCATCATGTGAAGTTTACCATATTGTATTATCATTTTGATTTGACCATTTTTATGGAAGTTATGGGACTTTACCCTATTTTGACTATTGTACCACAATGACACATTGTGACACACAATAGAATTCCTCAATTATCCAGTGCAAGGACATTTTTGTTATTCATTGAATTAAAAGTTTTTATTTTTGAAATCAATTGTCCATAGCCTTTGATAATTTGATCAATATAGTCTCTTGTCAGGTGTAATTTTTTTTTTTATATAAGGCTGAAAACTAGAAGTCACAAACAACATTGAATTAACGGCAGTTACCTTTACAGTGCTCTTGTGTTTTGATTACTTTCCCTTCTGGTATAAGAACTTTGAAGAAAATAGATTAGAAAATTTGTTAGAAAGGAGATTTTCAATACTGGTTTCTTGTCTTGTTGAAAGATGTTTCATAATTTTTGAATTTGGATTATTTATTTTTAAACACCTTTGTTTGTTGTCAGATTTAGAATTATAGCTGTCAGTGTTTTTATTTTAGTGTATTTTCTATATTATAGGTGTCTATTGATACTTTGTCATGGGAGTTCAGCATTATGACGGTCAGTGATGAAAACATTATAGGACCACCAAAGGTAAGGTAGTGTGTTAGAATATTGAAGGCAGCATCATAACTTGTGTGAATTAATGTTATGATAGAGATGAAAAAATAGTATAAACAAGTGTGCACAAAGAAAATTTCTACACAGATTATTTGTATCAAACAACTTTATATAATTCAAGGTAGATACAGGGTCTTTTGCTATCTTAGAATCTTAATCTTCACTGAAATATAAATTCTGAGCCAGGAATGCAATTTATTCACAAGTCTTTTCATTTCCATGAAGAAAATTATGATATTTACTTTATTGTTGATTGATTGATTGTTGTTTGCTTAACGTTCAGTTGTACTTTATTGTAGCTGTTTTTACAAATCCAAAATATTTTTTGTTTGATTCAATTTTTTTAAAGCATAGCTGTAAAAGTGGAGTTATAAAGAATTTTAAGATAAAATATGGGAAGATATCTCTTATAATGTGCTTCCATTCTTCATTTAAGCACATTAAAAGAGCTAGATTCTCATATTTTATTTTGAAATTCTATGGGTTTGTTAATTTTTTTTTAAATCAAACAAAAACTATTCTGTATTTGTAAAAACAGTAATAATTTATCATAATTTTCTTCATTCAGCTGAAAAGTCTTACAAATAAACTGCAGTCCTGACTCAGAATTTGCATATTTTATCAAAGATCTAGAGACAGTGTTTTCTTCCTTTTTACAACCCATGATGGCAGAAGACATCCATTCTACCTTAACGGGTGTCCAAACAGTTTCAGGGGAGATAACTTTTAACGCAATAATAAACGTTCCATATCAATTTATACAAAAATTATGATGTTGAAATAATCAAATCAAATCACATAAAAAATAAAGCTAATGGCAAAAGCACCAATAAAATGAGTTACAAAAAATGTTTTTGCCGCTTTCAAATGAAACTCTGGACAAGTTTGGGTTTTTGTCAGAATTATTTCATATTTTCAAACTGCATTTTGAATTTGACTAGAGATGTCATTGAACTGTTTCAAACGTTGCTAAGTGATTTCCCTGCAAATATGAAGTGAGAATGGGGAAAACAATTTCTGGAACAATTTTAAAGTTTTCACAGTAACACAGTCTTTTTATGTATTTATTGCAAAATGCGCAATGAAAGCTAACATATGTAAAAATTGTACAAAAATGATAAGACAAAAACCATGTCAACAGTTCTATTAATGTCTACAAATTCAATTTGTTTTGTCATGTAATACAAAAATTCAACCAAGTTTTAAAAAGAAATAGAAGTTTTGACTTGTAATTTTATTTTTCCCTAATGCATATTTATCAGAGCTTTTGAATTAAACAAAATTGGCTATTTTATTGCAGAAAATACCAGTTTTAGAAAATTTTTAAGTTGTAATTCTTTTTTTGGCCTCATTTATCTTGAAAAAAGCATGGTTACATACTTTTATTTTATAATTTGAAAATGTTGGTCTTGATCTACAGCATATTTTTAAAAGGAAATAAAATGACTATATAATATGAGACTGTATTAACTCCCCTTAAGTAAAAAAAACACATAGATATGACTAAAGACAACCACTAAGTTCCTAACTTAAGACAGACATATAATGTGAGACTGTATTAACTCCCCTTAAGTAAAAAAAACGCATAGATATGACTAAAAACAACCAATGGGGTTCCTAACTTAAGACATACATATAATGTGATACTGTATTAACTCCCCTTAAGTAAAAAAAAAGCATAGATATGACTAAAAACAACCAATGGGGTTCCTAACTTAAGACAGACATATAATGTGATACTGTATTAACTCCCCTGAAAGAAAAAAATCTACATAGATATTACTAAAGACAACCACTGGGGTTCCTAACTTAAGACAGACATATAATGTGATACTGTATTAACTCCCCTGAAAGAAAAAAATCTACATAGATATGACTAAAGACAACCACTTGGGTTCCTAACTTAAGACGGACATATAATTTGATACTGTATTAACTCCCCTTAAGTAAAAAAAACACATAGATATGACTAAAGACAACCACTGGGTTCCTAACTTAAGACAGACATATAATGTGATACTGTATTAACTCCCCTGAAGTAAAAAAAACACATAGATATGACTAAAGACAACCACTGGGGTTTCTAAAGACAGACATATAATTTGATACTGTATTAACTCCCCTTAAGTAAAAAAAACACATAGATATGACTAAAGACAACCACTGGGTTCCTAACTTAAGACAGACATATAATGTGATACTGTATTAACTCCCCTTAAGTAAAAAAAACACATAGATATGACTAAAGACAACCACTGGGGTTCCTAACTTAAGACAGACATATAATGTGAGACTGTATTAACTCCCCTTAAAGAAAAAAAACACATAGATATGACTAAAGACAACCACTGGGGTTCCTAACTTAAGACAGACATATAATGTGACACTGTATTAACTCCCCTTAAAGAAAAAAAACACATAGATATGACTAAAGACAACCACTGGGGTTTCTAACTTAAAACAGACATATAATGTGATACTGTATTAACTCCTCTTAAAGAAAAAAACACATAGATATGACTAAAGACAACCACTGGGGTTTCTAACTTAAGACAGACATATAATGTGACACTGTATTAACTCCCCTTAAAGAAAAAAAACACATAGATATGACTAAAGACAACCACTGGGGTCCCTAACTTAAGACAGACATATAATGTGACACTGTATTAACTCCCCTTAAAGAAAAAAAACACATAGATATGACTGAAGACAACCACTGGGGTTTCTAACTTAAGACAGACATATAATGTGACACTGTATTAACTCCCCTTAAAGAAAAAAAACACATAGATATGACTAAAGACAACCACTGGGTTCCTAACTTAAGACAGACATATAATGTGATACTGTATTAACTCCCCTTAAAGAAAAAAACACATAGATATGACTAAAGACAACCACTGGGGTCCCTAACTTAAGACAGACATATAATGTGATACTGTATTAACTCCCCTTAAAGAAAAAAACCAACATAGATATGACTTAAGACAACCACTGGGGTCCCTAACTTAAGACAGACATATAATGTGACACTGTATTAACTCCCCTTAAAGAAAAAAAACACATAGATATGACTAAAGACAACCACTGGGGTTTCTAACTTAAGACAGACATATAATGTGAAACTGTATTTACTCCTCTTAAAGAAAAAAACACATAGATATGACTAAAGACAACCACTGGGGTTCCTAACTTAAGACAGACATATAATGTGACACTGTATTAACTCCCCTTAAAGAAAAAAAACACATAGATATGACTAAAGACAACCACTGGGGTTCCTAACTTAAGATAGACATATAATGTGACACTGTATTAACTCCTCTTAAAGAAAAAAAACACATAGATATGACTAAAGACAACCACTGGGGTTCCTAACTTAAGACAGACATATAATGTGACACTGTATTAACTCCCCTTAAAGAAAAAAAACACATAGATATGACTAAAGACAACCACTGGGGTTCCTAACTTAAGACAGACATATAATGTGATACTGTATTAACTCCCCTTAAAGAAAAAAAACACATAGATATGACTAAAGACAACCACTGGGGTTCCTAACTTAAGACAGACATATAATGTGACACTGTATTAACTCCCCTTAAAGAAAAAAAACACATAGATATGACTAAAGACAACCACTGGGGTTCCTAACTTAAGACAGACATATAATGTGACACTGTATTAACTCCTCTTAAAGAAAAAAAACACATAGATATGACTAAAGACAACCACTGGGGTTCCTAACTTAAGACAGACATATAATGTGACACTGTATTAACTCCTCTTAAAGAAAAAAAACACATAGATATGACTAAAGACAACCACGGGGGTTTCTAACTTAAGACAGACATATAATGTGACACTGTATTAACTCCTCTTAAAGAAAAAAAACACATAGATATGACTAAAGACAACCACTGGGGTTTCTAACTTAAGACAGACATATAATGTGATACTGTATTAACTCCTCTTAAAGAAAAAAAACACATAGATATGACTAAAGACAACCACTGGGGTTTCTAACTTAAGACAGACATATAATGTGATACTGTATTAACTCCTCTTAAAGAAAAAAAACACATAGATATGACTAAAGACAACCATTGGGTTCCTAACTTAAGACAGACATATAATGTGATACTGTATTAACTCCCCTTAAAGAAAAAAACACATAGATATGACTAAAGACAACCACCGGGGTTCCTAACTTAAGACAGACATATAATGTGATACTGTATTAACTCCCCTTAAAGAAAAAAACACATAGATATGACTAAAGACAACCACTGGGGGCCCTAACTTAAGACAGACATATAATGTGATACTGTATTAACTCCCCTTAAAGAAAAAAACCAACATAGATATGACTAAAGACAACCACTGGGGTTCCTAACTTAAGACAAACAGCTCATTTACTTTAGTATTCAACTACCTAACCTTTTAAAAATATAAAAATAAGAAGATGTGGTATATGATTGCCAATGAGACAACTCTCCACCAAAGACCAAATGAAGTAGCAGTTTGTTTTAAAAATTGTTTAATATGTACTGTAGGATGGTGTCTATGTGAAAGGTTTATTCCTACAAGGAGCAGGTTGGGACATGAAGAATTCTTGTTTAGTAGAAGCCAAGCCTATGGAGTTGGTATGCCCTGTACCAACCATTCATTTCAAACCTGTGGAAAACAAGAAAAAGTCAGCAAAAGGTATTCAAACAACTTATTGTTATGAATCTTCAAATTGTTGTTTACTAAATAATGACAACTGGAGTTTTAGATATAGATTAACATTTTAGATTTTGTTACGTTGTATCCATCATTTTAATTCAACCTGAATATTGGGCTACAATGTAAACATATATGAAAATTCTTCTCATACTATATTTAATTTTGTGGAAATGATGTGTTTAATGGTTCTTTAACTGTGTACCAATATTAAATTCAAGATAGCTTTACTACTGATATTTCAGCATTGGATCATATGAGAAATACATGGGAATTTTGTTATCATGGAAACAGCTTCATAAATTATAATTTAGATATTATGCAAGACTTTTTTGAATGTTTCATTTGATGCAATCTTAAATCCAAGATGGTCATTACTGCAGAACAGAGTTTAACATTACATCCTACTGGAAGTGCAAAGCTATTTCTGTTACTGTTACATAAATTCAATTCATATTATAAATGAATGAATCTGAAATCCAAGATGAATGCCTTCACAGATAATTTTTAACCAGATTTTCAAAGTAAAAGTCGGTTATTGATTTGGGGATGTACGGTGGGCGGACGGGCGGCTTCCAAACAGTGTCTCTTCAATAACATGAAAACCCTGTGACAAAATTTTTTCAAATTTAGATATGTTGTTTCCTGTGACTAAATGAAGGTCAAGTTTAATTTTCACGATTTTAGCTTTTCTCGTTTGTGAGTTATCGCCCTTTTTAATATCCATAAGTGGTATTTTTTTGTGATTGAGTTATTTTCCTTTGAACAGAAATTGTTAATTATATACATAAAGTTTGATTACACTAAGCCTTTATAGATAATTTTCACCTGTTTATATGTCCTGTTATCAGTTTACTAAACATATGGTTGATGTCTTTATCTGGAGTGACAGATTTATTTGAAAATTTTCTGTTTTCTAAGTGTTGATGATTAAAAGCTATATAGGAGTAAATATAGTTAGAAATTTACTGTTCATTATTAGACATTTTTAAGATAATTGCAGATAAGTTTTATAGATTTTTAAAAGACATTGTATTAATGATAAATATAATTTTTGAATTTTTTTCTTTTCTTTGGTAAATTGTAAATTGTTTGTTATTCTGTAGAAACTTATTTTCTGAATTATATATATACTTTTTTGATTAGGTGAACTCCTTTCAAAACTTAGCTTATATTGTCTATTAATAAACTTATATTTAGATTTCTGATTTTGGGCCCAGTTTTCAAGTTGGTCCAAATCGGGGCCCAAAATTAAACTGTGTTTGATTTCAACATAAATTGAATATTTATAGGGTTCTTTGAAATGCTGAATCTAAACATGTATTTATCTTCATTATAAGTTAAATAGTACCACATCGAGGTACAAAGGGTACTAAATTAAACTTTTGTTTAATCAACAATTGAATTTTAGGGTTCTTTGATATGCTGATTTTAACAATGTTTGAGTGTTAAATCATATCTAATTTTAGAGAACTTAGTCATCACTGGTTGTTGTTATTATATTATTGATTTTAATATGAAAAATTAAATTCTATCTAATTTCATAGAACTTAGTCATCACTTCACTGGTTTATTGATTACTAGAACACGCCCACGAAATAGCGGGCATTTAGAGCATTGTTGATGATATGTAAACTGTTGTAGGATGAATTTTTGTAAAAGATTTTATGACTGGAGTATTTCAAGAAAGTTATCAAAAGTCAAAGGTACTTGGGGACAGTACAATTTTTTTAGCCCTCCCCCTTTTTCCAAAGTCCATTATTTTTTTGTTGTTTTCTGTTAATTTCAATTATATTAGCGTTTTTTTTCTGTACACTATGAACAAACATAATAACATATACTATATATATACAGTTTATTTGGTATTTATTATCAATCCATTGAATTAAACTTGGAATTGATAGCAAATAGCAAATACACTGTATTTATATAATATACATGTATGTTTGTTCATAGTATACAGAAAAATGCGAAAATAATTGTCCTGTCCCCTTGTACCTATGAAAATAATGTGTAAGTTTAAGTCCTAAACGGAAGTCTTATCTATGACTTAAAAGTTAGTTCGAGGACGGAAACAATATCCGGACGTCTTTATTTTCGTTTTTCTCCCAAAAAAACCCAAACGAAATATTTGTAAGCGAGGATGACAAATGCAACTATGCATGGTACCTATAGGACATAAAAGCATGATGATTGATTTAATGTGGAAGGAAGAGAAGCAAAACACAAAATGAGGTCTTCTCATTTAATAGTATAGATAATCATATCTATTTATCCAGTTTGAGTTATTTCCCTTTGCACAGAAAATATATGGATAAAATTAAATTGTGTTTCATTTCAACTTAAATTAAATATATATAGGGTTCTTTCAAATGCTGAATCTAAACCTGTATTTAAATATTAGATTTTTGGGCCCAGTTTTCAAGTTGGTCCAAATCGGGGCCCAAAATTAAACTGTGTTTGATTTCAACATAAATTGAATTTATGTGGTGATCGTGAGCTCCTTTATCAAATTGGTCCACATTGTTGTCCAAAGGGTCCTAAATTAAACTTTTGTTTGATTTCATCAAAAATTGAATTCTTGGAGTTCTTTGATATGCTGATTCTGACAATGTACTTAGATTTTGGATATTGGACCATAATAGGTAAATGTCCAATTTCAAATATTTCAGTTCTTTGACCACATTCATTTTGTGTCACAAAACTATGCTGTGTCAAATATGCAACCACAATCCAAATTCAGAGCAGTTTTAAGCTTAAATGTAGAGTCCATACTTGCTCAACTGTTCAGGGTTCGAACTCTGCAGGAAAATCCGGTTTGCTGTCATTCAGACAGCCTCTTGTATATGTATATTCAGTACAAGTAAAACCTATGTTTAATAATTATGCAAAGATTGTAGACAGGTCATCATTATAGGAGGAGTTGAGTGAACCCCGATTCAAAATAAATCTTGATCTTTATCTATTGCAGGAATATATACATGTCCATGTTATTACTACCCCAACAGAGCAGGGAGTGGAGAGAGGTCATCCTTTATTGTAGGGGTGGATATGAAAGCAGGAGAAAAATCCCCTGATCATTGGGTAAAGAGAGGAACAGCTTTACTGATGAGTTTAGACTATTAAACAGAGTCACCATAAATATACAGATAAAAACTTATTACTAAAATTTATTAGAGCCATCTCTACACTGAATCTATGTAAAATATAAAAAAAAATCATATAACAAGAAGTAACTGATACAATTTTACTGTTGTAAACTTAAGTTTGTGTCATATTATATATTGGAACTATTTAGTGCTTTTTATGGACTGAATTTATTGTATGTTTTTCTCAGCACTTTTCTTATTCCATTGATCAAGATAATAAAGGAATAGTTTTGAACTATTTTTTCATGTCAGAATTAAAGTAGCCTTTTATTTATTTTAAATGTGTCATGATTCTTGGTTATTTATGGCTAAATTGACATGTTATAGGCACTTATCTATGATTGAATTCGTATCATAATGTTTGGATATCTTTTTCATTGGTAATAGCTTATGAATAATGGTTTGCAGTTGCAGTCTGATTAACATTTACTTCACATATTTTAATCACAATTTATTTGCATGACATTTAAAAACTTAATTACTATTTTTAGATTTTCTGTAAAATAAATAATCAAGGGAAGATGACATGTTAGATTTGTTAAACTTGAAAATAAGGGAACTCATTTCTGGAAATGCATGATTAATTGAATTTGAAAGATAAGGAATATTTTTTGTAAAAATTATCATTATTATGATAACCAATTTCTTTCTTCAGGTAATACAAGAAATTAACCAGCTTGATGTTTTTTCTCGCAAATTTATATACTTGAACCTATTATTATTGCAAAGGAAATAAAAATTTTCCCAGTTGGTGTTTAAATTTTTGCAAATTGAACTGTCACTTTAAATAACTACAATTTGTTCTCTGTGGTGTTCATTCAATGGGAACTTTGAAAAACAAATCATTCATTAAGTGTAAATTTTCATTGAGTTGACTCCACAGAGAATAATAGCTACAGTTCACTTTGCCAAAATGTAAATGGCCAGGAAGACAACAACTGATTCTGGGGAAAGCTTTTATTTCCTTCGCAATAATCAAATCCTGAAAGTGAGGACACTTAATTGGGTTAGATTCTGTTTTATCATATTGTAAGTCCCCAAAATATATAATAATGTCCTAATAAAAAAAGAACACATGTATTAGTGTTATGTGTAAGGCTATATCATGTAGTCATGCAAATGTTAACAGCAATAATATAATTGAATATAAGCCAGTGTGGAATTATGTTAAGTCAGGTTCACAAAATACTGATAACTTGTGCAAAAATTCTGTTTGTGTTTGCTTTTAAGTATTTATATAATAAATATTGTAATGACATATGTCTTTATTGGAATTATATTTTTTTTTTTTTTTTTTTTATTTTTATATGTTAAATGAATTGATTTTTTAATTGTACTCTGTGAGAGAATATTTTGTATGTATTTGCATTCATATTCATTAAAACACATTAAACGCTAGTTAAATATAACTATTTATGTTTTCAAGTTCCTCATGGATGCACCTTGTTTGTCAAATCTTTGGTGAAAATTACACCTTGATTTAGGTATTGTTTTTCTGGTGACAGCAGGGTAAACTTTTTATATGTATTTTGAACCCCTTTGTACCTACATCCTGTCGATACCATATTTTGGCATTGCATAATATCTTGCTTTTCTCAGACTTCTTATGATGTCTTAATACTAAAGGAGTAGGAACAATAAGCTCTTATTTGGCCCAAATGTTACTGCAAATTTAAAAGTTATCATACATATTCTTAAACTTGTCTTAACTAGACTAAGATACAAGGGATTCAGAAAATAAAAACTAATTTCACATTTAACAAGTTACCATGACAACAAACCATGATGAAATTTGTATATTTTGTAAAATTTCTTGATTTTCATTGTTTTTCATCAAATTTTAAGTATATTTTAGATTGGCAAAGTATGTGCGCACCCAAGAAACAACTTTTATTTGGTGAGATTTTGTCAATAGTTATAATAAAGCATCTGTTAAATTATTTTGTTGTTTCTTGGCTGCGCACGATGTTCCATAATTGAAATAATGCTGGAAAACTGCATAAATTCTGTATTTTTCATCGTTTTCATGAAAAAGTTGCATAATTGTGATGTCATCAGATAAAAAATCTTATGTTTTACATCTATATTTTTTTACTTGATACATTTCCAAACATTATGTGCCAATTTGAAATAATTGTCCAACATTTTATTTTGTTGGGCCAAAATCGGGCCTTAATGCCCTACTCCTTTGTTGGAGGTGTTCTGATTGATATTCTAATCAGGTAAACCAGTTTATTTATTTGTTGAAATTTGGTTTTTAACTGGCTTTCATTCTCTTACATTGGTGTTTTTTGTCTTTTGTACTGATGAGTCAATCCCGTTTCCAACTGTTTCCCAATGGTGGATGCCCTATAGTGATCAGTCTGTCCGTCCGTTTGTCCGTCCGTCCCTCCGCCTGTCCGTCTGTCTGTCCGTCCATCCGTCCGTAACAAATTGTGTCCACTCTATATCTAGAGAACCGTTATGATTTCAAAGTTTATACTTGACATGTATATTACCCAACACCAGAGGGTGTGTCATAATGTATGTACAAATTCCTAGGTCAAGGGTCAAGGTCAAAAACTTTGGTTTCAGTTGAGAACCCCATGTCCTATGGTAAAGATCGTGTCCGCTCTATATCTTGAGAACCTTTATGATTTCAAAGTTTATACTTGGCATGTATATTAACCAACACCAGAGGGTGTGTCATAATGTATGTACAACTTCCTAGGTCAAAGGTCAAGGTCAAAAACTTCGGTTTCAGTTGACAACCCCATGTCCTAAGGTAAAGATCATGTCCGCTCTATATCTTGAGAACCATTATGATTTAAAAGTTTATACTTGACATGTATATAAACCAACACCAGAGGGTGTGTCATAATTTATGTATAACTTCCTAGGTCAAAGTTCAAGGTCAAAAACTTTGGTTTCAGTTGACAAACCCATGTCCTATGGTAAAGATACAAATTTTTTAACGCACATTATTCACAGCGGGCCCACAGAGATGGCTCCAATCTCAGTGATATCTAGTGTGTCTTGTTATGCCACTGTAGTATGTAAAAGATTTGGGAGGGTTGACCTCTAACAAACATGTTTGATCTGCCTCATTCTTTTTGTGTCTGGCCAAAGCCAGGAGCCTGTAATCCAGTGGTTGTCATTGGTAGTTGTCTGTCATCCCTATTTAATGTTTGTTGTTGGTAGTAGAAATCTGACTTGGTTTTCTTTTTTGAATTGAAGAAAATTTGTTTTTAAAATTCTGTATATTACTGATAAATGGACTCACTTTTTAAGTCAACTGACAGCAGTCACACTATAAACTATCAATTGAAATGGCTTAACTCGATCAAAAGGACATATAAACAAAAACAAGTAAACATAAACTGAACAAATAAGTTTGATCTATGACACAATATAAAGACAACTCTAACCTTAGACGATAACGTTAAATAAGATAACGTACACAAGTAAATCAAAATATGATAATTTTGTTGTTAGGAGTACGCGCGGAAACATTTTTTGCAAAATAAATAAATTTGTTGTTCGAGTACAGAAGTGAAAATTGATCGTCATACTAAATACTTATCAAAGGTGGTACATATTAAAAATAGTGAGATGAGATATAACACAAAATAAGTAAACATTGAATTACAGAAATGCATTACAAATTGTGTCAACAGGTCAAATTACATGAAAGTATGATTTGAGAGTACTTGCAGTTACTGAAAACTAGTTAAAAGCCAAAAACAATTAATAATAAAAATTCATGCATCAGAGACTAAAATCAATTAAAACACATCCCAGGGATTTAGTGTTTTAACGCCATGGACAGTCAAAGAAGACATGACTTGTGCAATGCCAAAATAAAAGTGTCGACAGGCAGTAGGATAGTTAGGATTTAACCTTATACGATGTAATAAATATGTATCATGTTATATATAGATAAAGCAATCTCTATATAGAAAATAAATGTGGATGTGTATTTATACATCCCAAAAACCATTTGAAAAGATATGTTTTAATTTGTTGATGACAAAATTGATGTAAGTGCCAATGTTCAAAGATCTTATAACAACATAAATAAGATAACCTTTACTAACAAGTTTGTTTAAAGGTTTGATGAGCTTACACGGATCACTTAGTGATTTCCGCGCTTTTAGTACAATATTATCCTTAAATTTAGGTTGTGAAATACTGTTTTTAATAAATTTTCTAAAGGTACAGCCAAATTTACTAATCAAATCTTTGTATCTATGAAAGAATTTAGTAAATGTTTTAAGTAATTTATGGTAACGAAATCCCTGACTTAATAATTTACCAGTGATGCATTGATTAAGTTCGTTAAAATCTATGACAACACTACACACACAGGCATAACGAACGAGTTGGGATATATAAACGCTGTATGATGGAGCCAAAGGAACATCGCCTTCTAAAAAAGGAAAACTAACAATAGGAAATGAAGAATCATCGCTTTTGTAATTTTAATATGGAGTTTCCCTTTAGAAATTGAAATGTCTAAATCTAGAAAAGGACAACTACTGCTGTTTATGTTAGATTTATTTGAAGTAAGTTCTTTTGGGTAAATTTCGGTAGTATATTTAGAGAACTCTGGATTATTTAACGAAAAAATATCATCAAGATAACGGTAGGTATTGTTGAATGTGTCAACCAAATGTAACAATGACATGTCTTTACTGAGTATTGCCATAAACTGCGATTCATAGCAATACAGGAATAAATCTGCTATTAAAGGGGCGCAATTAGTGCCCATAAGAATACCTACTACCTGTCGATACACTTAATCGCCGAAACGTACATATATGTTGTTCAGGAGAAAATTTAAAGCTTCAGTCATATCTTCACATTTCCAGTAAGTGTATCTAACATACTTTCCTTTTTCGTTACAGAAAAAAGGCTTTAAACTAGTTACAGCAAATAAATTTGCAATGAGATTTTTCAAAAAACCATCTAACTAAATATGAAAACTTTTTCTTGATAAGTCTGTTGTGAAGTGTAGTGTAGAGAGTAGTAAAATCATAACTGTCAACAGAATTAAAAGGACCATCAAAAGCACATGTTTTATCTAAAACCTCTAAAGAATTTTTAACACTCCAAAAATAATTAATACCATTATTTTCATAAACTTTATTACAGAAGTTAATAACAACTTCTTTGATAGTAGTAAGGGAGGTAGTTAAAGGCACTGACAGATTAGTAGTAGAACACTGACTAGATGCAGAGATGAAAGGAAATTTAAATGGTTGTTTGTGTAATTTAGGTAACCAGTACATAGTCGGGACTTTCAAATGTTCGGAAGAGGCATTAAGCTGGGTAGTGGCAGTGATATGCTTGTTTACAATTTGACACTCTGTGTAGCGTACAGACGTGAAAGTAGAAGAATTGATAATTTCGTTTTGGAGAACTTCCATGTAGTATATGCGTAACACCACCACTACATTATTGACTGCTTTGTCTGCCGGTACGAAAACAAACCGCTTTGCGAGTATTTGGATTTGTTTTTTTATTCTAGAAATGGGTATATCGTGATTGGTCTGTTTTTCAAGTACATGTACTATAAGCAATAGGTCAACTATATTTGGTGTATGGAATGACTGTAATGGGTACATGTCTGTCTGGCATGGTTCATCTGACCTTGACTTTATTTTCATGGTTCATTGATCAATGTTAAATTTTCATGGTTAAGTTTGTTTCTTAGAAACTATAAGCAATAGGTCAACCATACCCCACATTTGAAGTTAAATGGTCGTTCCCAAACATGATTATATAAATAGGGGTATAGGAAAATAAAAAACCTCATTATCATGGTTCATTGGTCAATGTTAAGTTTTCGTGGTTTGGTCTGTTTTTCAAGTACTATCAGCAATAGGTCAACTATATTAGGCATGGACCTTTTGACTTTCTGGGAGGGGGTGGGGTGGGGGGGCTGGGCTTTTATATCAATCCAGATTTTTTTTTATCATGCAAACCGAGCAAGAATATTTTTTTTTCAGTCAATACAAAGCCAAGAATATTTTAAAAAAAAATACATCATACATGTCACACTTGCTGAAGATGAAGCCAGAATATTTTTTTTAGCAACTGAATAGGCCAGATTATTTTTTTTTCAAAAAAACCCAGCCCCCCTACCCAGAAAGTCAAATGGTCCATGCCTTAGGTGTATGGAATGTGTCTGTCTGGCAGATAACATAAAATGCTTCGATGAGCGCAGCCTGATACGACCAGAGTGGTCGAATCCTGAACAGTTGGGGCAAATTTGGACACAATATTCAAGCTTGATACTATCTGAATTTGGATTGTGATCAAATTTTTGACATAATATAGGTTTCTGACACAAAATAAATGTTGTCAAAGATCTTACAAATCTAATGTGCAATATTGTGCAATTGAAGATTTCTTCTTGAAACTTTTC